AAGCTATTCGTCGCTTCTAATAACACCCTCTGTACATATTTTAAAATAATTGCTTTATATTGTTCTATAAAACAAATAAGACATGCAGGGATTCCATAAAATTATTAAATGAACAAACATTGTTGTATTTAAAATTTGTGTCATCAGCAAACGTGCCTGTGTCAACACCATGTATTATACGTTATCGTACTTAGCCAATATTTTTGCCACGCTGGTATTATGTAATTCTAGGAATTGTACATCAATGTTATGTTTTTTAAAGTATTTTAAAGCAAAGTCGATAAAACTGGTGTTGCTGTAATTATATAGTGCCTATTTATTATGCTACATGCCTATGTACATTATTGTAAACATTGTTTATGTAATTTTTTCTTGTTTAACAATTGCTATGGCTATAAATTGTACTTATTATATTAGAAAGCTTATATCCATAATTGTACATTTTGTTACGTAATGTTTTTTGTGTTTTACGCATTGGTATAGCTATAAAGAGGAATTGTCATCGTCAGCACCGTGGCGGGAGGAATCAATTGCATTAATAATGGAATGATTCTTAAGGTGATTTTCTACCGGCGAGGCGAGACAGGACGAGGAGAGACGAGAATTGAAATCTCGCCGGCCTATTTCCGCCAAAAATTGCCATTAATAGCTCGCGCGAACATCACAATCTCGCGCTGTGATTGTGGATAGTGAAGATCCAGTGCTGTTCAGTTCATCCAGCGATAAATACGCGGTTAAAGTAACATGTCCTGTAAATTATTATTATTAAAATGTTAACGGAAGACGAATCAGATGAAACCATTTTTTTTTTATCTAAAATCGTAAGTATCCCACAATCTTGCGGTTAATGTCAATAGCCATCGCGAGATTGCGCGAGCTCGCGCTAGACTGTGCGAGCACTCGCGAGAAAGTGTTTCCGTTGTAGAGTATAATACTCTATGTAGGCAGCAATACGATTCAATATTACATCAACAAATATTTTAATTCTTGCCTCATCCATCCTCGTCAATCCAGACCATTTCCACCGAATATGAGCTAGGAGAGAATTGATATTTTGTCATTCAAATTTCAATTCTTAGCTCGCCTCGTCTCGTCTCGCCTCACTGGTGGAAAACCACCTTTATTCACTTTCGCGTTGCATTATACTTTTCAAAAAAAGAATAAACGCTATTAAACACTTTTCCTTCCTTAAATCACGTAGCCTATCGAGGCTGACTGGAGAACAACGAGTCACCAATCAGCTTTAAACACGGCCAATACAACCTGGCCGAAATGTCGGGCCATGTGCAACCTATTAAATATTATGTATACCGGAGCCAGTTATGACTTTAAACGTAATGTAACAGAATTCGATTTATTGTTTACGTAATGTGGTTTACGAAAAGATAAACATTCGTTAATATTTATACGTGTTGTTTTCTAATGTTTAGAGAAACGATTTATTAAGCCATCTATGAACCATATTAACTAGTCTCGATCGTCGGCTTTTTGTGCGAGTTACTTGGAAAGTGAACAAGCGCGGCCGCGCCCTGTGAACTTGCCGAGTGATATTTAAAATCCGTTTCAACCTGATCCATCTTTTCGATTTAAAAAAAAATAATTACTGTGAAAAGTGATAGTCGAATTTATTGCAATCAGCTGACGTTACGAACGAATCGTGAATAGGTCAAATTATGAAATAATTTCTGACTAAATCAGTAACAGGGGTATTTTTTCCTCAACGTCTACCTCACGGTTATATTCTGACATATGTACACATATAATACCTGTTAAATTGTTTAATCGCGTATACATTATCATTATTGTATATTTTTTCATTAACGATTTGTTAATGTTGTGTATTATGCTGCCGCTGTTAGTTGAAAGGCCGCATGTGACATTTAAAAAAATTATGTGTATTGCTGTGATCATTAAAAGAAGCCCGATCTGTCACTATATTTTCCTAGGTGGATAAGGTATGAAGGTACTACAAGAGAAAAGTGCATATTTTCTTGATTTCATTTCTTTAAACGTTATTTTCTCGATTTTGAGTTTTTGTCACAAGCCCTTCCTCCTGTTTGTTTTTGGTTAAAGGAGAATGGGCAAAATACAAGGGCCTTGGACCTGGAAGCGGCCACTTCAAAAACATAGTTTTTATAATTCTTTATGTTACGACAAACAATACTTAGTATGGAGTCAGAGTCGTATTTTGTGTGTAAAAAAAGTTATGACCAATACAATTGTCCAAGTAATAAATGAACACGTGTTACATTTTTGACAAATATTCCTTTGTCTACTGGATATTTCTATAAAATAAAACAATGCTTTGTGGAGTCATGCCGCCGGGACCTAAACTAGCCCCCCCCCTCCCTCCTACCCTCTTATGTGCACGTGCATCCAGGTGCATGCGTGTTTAATTAACTTAGTTTAGTTGTTTGTTGACTTGCTTCACTAACAACTGTTCTGTGCTGTCGATTCTTTGCTGATCCTCATAAGACCTTGATTACTGTTTACCGGACTACTGATTTTGCTTTGCGATTTGTATCGGTGTTATATTCTTGGATAACAACTAGGCTTGATCTTGGACATTCTTGTTTAGTAAAGTGGTGTGTGCGTGACTGAAATGGAAACTTGCATTACATGTCACGTTTCAGTTCGAAACAGAAGACGTTATTCTCTCTCACAAGAAGTTCTTGATGCTAATCCATTTTTAATGGATTATATTGGTGACCGCGTGGATCCTAATCCTATATTTGAAAATAGAAGAAACTACATCTGTCGCCCTTGCTGGCAAAGAGCTGAACGTGCTCAATCAAGAAACCAACCACAAGAATCGGCTCGTGATGAAATCTCGACAGATCAGGTCCCTGTTTCTATACCTAATTATTACCGTCTGCCAAACACTGCTTCACGTTGTTTGTTTCCGGGATGTGAATCAGAAACGCACTTGAGGATTCCACATGGCATTAAAACTAAAGTTTTTTGTGATCACAATATATACATACCTGACGAGGCTAGAATATGCCCAGAACATATACGATCAAACCATTGGGAGATATTAATTGGTTCGCCTATTTTATTAAATTCATTTACCATAGAACAAGTCACGGATGTATTTGAAATGGTTAAGAGATCTTTACAAAAGTCTGCACATTTTAATTTCGAAAATATCGAAAATATTGATGCTGATGAATTATTTTTCTGGACTGGAGTTACACCGGCGCAGTTTCAACAAATTATAGAAGAGACACCTTTATTGACTCAAAGGTGTAAACGACCTAAAGTTGCTCTGGGCATCTACCTTAGTAAGCTAAGAACGGGAGAGTCAAATACAAAACTGTCTGATCTTTTTAATATATCTCGACGCACCTTTGAGCGCTTATTAAAACAATCAAGAGAATGTTTAAGCAACGATTTTGTAACGCGTCACCTCGGAATTGACCATATTACGAGAGGAGAAACCTTTTAATACCTAATGCTATTTTTGGGAATCCAGAATCTGAAGAAGATAGAAGATTAATCTTTATATTTGATGGCACGTACATTTATATACAAAAGAGTTCTAATTTTTCATTCCAACGTCTTACATACAGCTTACATAAGTTTCAAAACTTGCTAAAACCATTTATTATTACGTGTAGTGACGGATACATAATTGACGTAGTTGGACCTTTTGCGGCAACAACATCTGACTCAACTATTATGACACAATTAATGTCAGAAGACTCGGTATTTCATTGGTTTTTTAAAGCAGGGGATGTATTTATCTTGGACAGGGGTTTTAGGGATTCATTACCAGTTATTGAATCTTGTGGTTACACAGCTCATATGCCAGCGTCAAAGCAAAACAATGAAACGCAGCTCTCAACTAGTCAAGCAAACAAGTCGCGGCTTGTTACAATTTGTCGATGGGTAATTGAAGCCATTAACGGGCGTTTTAAAAGAGATTTTAAATTGTTACGGCAGAAGTATTTTAATAGGGCCGTACCACACATGTTCCAAGATTTTAAAAATGCCGCAGCCATTCTTAATGCTTTTCGGGAACCTTTTACCGATGGACCTTACGCAAATGATATATTAAATGAAATTCATTTGAAAATTAATCTTTTGAGAGGACGTATTCAATCAAGACACACCAGAGCACGAGTATATTATGTATATATAGTAGTAAATAGGGAAGGCGTTGGAAGAGCGCGCATAATACAACACTATTGTACGTGCCTTACTGGTAGACGGACCTTGGGTTGCTGTGCTCACGTCATGTCGATTGTATGGTATTTAGGGTGGGCACGGCACCAAGGAGCTCTTAATCTTCCAGCATCATATTTAGATGAAGTGATAATAGACGAAGTAAATGAGTTTTGAAACAATATATTTTATTTTATTTCATATCTTTTATATTCCCTAAAAAATATTATAACAAGAAATACTGGACCAGATTCCAAAATTGTGTCATAATTCCACAGCTCACAGAACCCTTTTAAACTTAAGACACCATTTGGGTAATCATTTTTAACATACACACCACACAAACAAAATTCCAGACAGAAGTTCAAATATTAAGTATCTACATTAAAAAATAAACATTTTTCAAGATATTTCGAAAACTTGATGACTTACGTATTGGTGCCCATAATATTTTTTGATCGTATTAATGATATCTATTGATTGAAAGTAGTTTTTGAAGTGGCCGCTCCCAGGTCCATTTTGCCCATTCTCCTTTATTTTTCTTCCGACACAGTCAGGGATCGTGTCGAAAGAAAACTGCTATTTAAATAAATAAATAAATGTTTGCATTGATTCCAAAGTAAGTAACTAAAGCACTTGTGTTAAGGAAATCGGAAATAATATAGAAAAGTTAGTTTTTCTGCATTGACCCGGTCGGGGATTGAGCCCGGGGCCTTAAGAGTGACACTGTGAAAACCGATGTGCAAGCCACTCGACCAGGAAGGTCGTCATAGTTATGGAAATGAAAAAATAAAAATACTATGAACAGTAAAATTATTGTAATCTTGTTACAGACGTGGACGTCCTGCATGTAATACCGAACCCGTTCCCGCCCGTATGGCACACGCCCGGTGACGACCTTTCCGCCTTGGACTTCAACACAATCGAAAACCTCAACAAGGTCTTCCGCGTGTTCGTGGCCGCGTATTTAAACATCTTCTAGCACACGATCCCACTTCGCGAGGGCCCGAAGCGCCTTCGTGCGAAGCCCCCACTCCGGCCGAAGCGACTTCGCGTACCACCGCACCAAGTACGTGCAACACAGCGCACGTACTGGACGTTACACAGGGTTATTGTTACTTAAAAAACAACGATACTTAAAAACAAAGGTTGTGACGTCACGAACGAACATTGGTCGTAACGTCATAGCAAAGTTAGTGACTGCGTTCCTAAAAATAAAAAAGACATTTATTTAAGACAAAAAGGGCATTCCACACGGTCAACGATGATATTTATTTAACAATAATGATAAATAATGCATATGTAAACTCCTTGTCCTGTCCCTGATCGAATATGATTTATCACAGAATTTATACAATAATATCTACAGAAATTATAAATAGGTGGAGGTAGTTACCCTATGTAATGTAAAATAAAACATTTGATATAATTTCTGTGTCGAGTTGTAACTGTAAAATCAATCTAATGTCCCCTGTAATGAAATACAAATAATTTATTTTAAATGATACGGTATATTTTTTTTAAATTATATACTAGATTATTTTTTTATTACAAAAAAGAGTAACTGTGAAAAGGACTATTAAGTTTACAAAGACAGTGGCGGTATATCGCGTTACAGCTTAATAATTTAATATGCCATGTCCGATTTTTAATTAGAGATAAGAAACTGACAAACATTAGTAACACTTTACACAAAAATAAAGTTGCTATGATGCTATGTTTATTGCATAGTGATGCGTTTGGTTGTTTTTCTTTTTTTATTCATTTATAAACATAACAGAATTGATTGGGTGTGATATAATTGTACTGTGTCACAAAAACCAAGTTTGGTTGTACGGTACTGCCACTCGTCAGCTAGTACAAAGTATACATTATATTTAACAGTAAGTTGTAGCTGTTATAAAGTATTCTAAATTATCAACTCGGCAAACTCTTCTTAATTTAGTTGTCTTGATGAACTCAGTGAAACAGAATCACTTCAAATTAATTGTTTAGATTCTTAACTATTAATCTGGTAAATAATGTTTAAGAGTTCTATTGAATGTCAGGAGTTACTCCACTAGGTTGTTATAATTATGAATACAAAGATTCGAACCAACGTCTTCTAGCAAACCGTGCCAGACACTATGCCAACTAAGCCACGGAACGAATCAGCGGACCTCACGAATTTATCTATGTGCTTGTTTTGTAGGAACTTTGTATCTAGTTTTTAACGACTTTTTAGCCGTAGTATCTATGAGAAATCTTCCGAACCGCCAAGATCGAAGGAATTTTTTCTAAGTATTCGATTTCTGTATTAATAATTATAACTAATATTTAATTTACTTAGTCTTTATGATATTTGAGGCTATCAGCGAAAATGAGTGTAATCCTCATTTAATTTTTTTTTATACAATATTATTTTAAATGATACTAAAGTACATAATTAATTTACCTATATTTGGATGCTATTTTCATATAAAAAATAATAATAATTATGTCCTTTAATATCATTTAAAGTATATTGTAGAAAAAAAAGTGGGTTACACCATATTTTTGCGCTGATAGCCCCATTTAGTCTATATACACTTCTATCATTATATATTTCCGGTATTCGTGATTTTTTTTACAAATAATATTTGCATCGATTAATAATAATAATTACTTTGATTACTTACAGAGTGAATCAGTGAAGTCGATTCTTTAAGACGCTATTTTTAGTTAAATTAAAAACTGGCAACCCATTAAACGTCAGTTTACTATCTCTAATTAAAGAAAGTATGTAGCGTGTCTTAAGTTATGACGCTTTTCAACGTTGTGGCGTTAGTTATTTTTGCTATCGCATCACATGTGGCACAGAAGTATTTATTTATATTTCTTTGCCATGCCTTGTTTTATTTTATTTTGATTAAGTACAATTATACAAAATAAATGAAATTAATATATATGTATATACGACGAAGAGATATTATATAATAGGCATCACATTTATATTTTTAAATATAACGACCTTATTTACTGTGAATTTTAATGCTATTTACTACTGGTTACTTGTATTTTATTGGGTGTTTAAATTATATTGTTTATAGTTTTAATAACTTATATATTGTTGTTTATATTGATGTTAATACTATTCTGCGTATACTTTTATGGCTATTTAAAGCCTATGCCTTTAGGTTTATAATTTTTTTTTTATTTCAACAAATTTTGCTATAATTGGACCCAAATGATTACAGAAGAATTACATCTATTTTCTTATAACTTTTTCAGTTTTTCAGAGTTCAAATGTAGTAAAAACCACATGCTTGCTTTTATAACATTCCTGTGTTGTATATTGGCGTATAGATATAGCGTGTAGTTGCCTCTTATTTGTATTACCATACAATCTCACGCATGTCCATCTTTTTAATAGGTTTTTACCTAATATCTTTGTGAGTGGACTTTGTTTTCCACAAATCACCACTTCGTAGTGGGAATGGGGATTTGTGGAATAAACCACCTCTTTCACTTCCCCCGCTTGCCGCAATGTTTTCTACGCCCGTTTATTCTGGCCCTTTTTAAACGCGTACTCCGTTGTTTAAATATGTACGAGGTCGAACTTTCCCCGTTTCCCTTTTTTTCGCCATATTTTTATTATTATAAGACCTTCTTATGTATAGTACTATTTTCTTGTTGAAGTAATAAAGACAATAGTACATTTATTTGTTCCTAACTCAGGTTGTGTGAATTATGTATGCGATTTTATTAATTACTATATTTTCTGAGATTTTTATAATAGTAAGCTTAAATTGTAAATAGTAATGTTGATTATGTAACGTATATTTCTAAACAGAAACAAATTAAATATGTGATTTCATTATTATAGATTGACCAACACCAGCGGTACGTCAAAGATTTATGTCTAAACTTGCAACTTGGAATTCCTTTTCCTAAACCTTCCCAAAATCCCCATACGTGGTACGCCAGAGCCGCATCAACAATGGCGCCCATAGACAACATTTTTTCTTTAGTTATCTATGAATTCTTCTAGAGACACTATGGGTTCATAAATTGTTTGATGATGTTATGATTCCTTTCCTTATTTCCTTACGAGCTCACTCTTTCCTGCAGCTCTGAATGAGCTATAGGAGGTAAAAAATTAATTTTCAAATGCGCCGTCCATAACAATATAGCCACAACATATTGACGTTTTCTTTTTCCACGTTTTCGTCAACATACTGACGACAGAGAGCTTTAATCATTTGTTCCCTCATTGGACCCTCAGTCCACACACACAGTTCAATTAGTTTATTTTAGAAATACCCGTTGCAGAATGGACTGTATTATATTTATTAAAGAAACTAGATGCTGACTTTAAAGTTTTTATTATAAAATCCACATTCCATTAAAAAGTACTTAATACATAAAGTTGTCTTTATTATTTGATCTATTCTTCCACCTTTATTTGATCTATTCTGCCACCTGTGAAGTTCCTGCATAATGGATCGATGAGTGATAGAGTGAGTATAGATCATAGCGAATGCGCCGCAAACACAAATCGTACTACATAATGTATGCGCGCAGCTCGCGAGCCTTTCACAAACGGGCATTTGTGGCGAATTCGCTAGATCTGTACGCACCCTTAGATTACATCTCCCTGTTTTTTGACTAATTTGGCGGGTTATAATCGGTTTTAGCGTCAGTGTTACCGTTTTATATTACTACCAAAAGTATTTCATTTGTGAGAGTGGTAGAAATAAATTAAATGGTAATACTGGCGAAACGTATCAGTCACAAAACGAAGATTTCTCTTGTTTGGAAATACTTATTCATTATTAGCTAAAGTACAACGCTTACGTCATTGTAATTTAGCTCATGAACACGCATAATATGCAAATACAATTAAGACAGCAGTTATAGTATCAAGTTATTTACTCGATGCAGGGGGTCTACTCTCGATCTCCGTCCGAAACAATTACTGTCAAATAAGTAATATTCGACAAAATTAAAAGACAATTATCAAGTGTGAAGCTTCATTCACATCACGCGTGTTTTCATTTGGTCAAGTATTGCTTATTTGGCAGTAATTGTTTCGGACGGAGATCGAGAGTAGACCCCCCGACTCGGTCATAAATCATAGTTAAAATTATTGCCGGAAATTAAATTAAATCAGTGTTAATAATTTGATCTCAATTAGTAATATACATTTTCTGTGATGTACATTAAGAAATGCAAATAAATAAGAATCCCGTGAAGGAAGTATTAATTTCGCACGCCTTCATGATTTTACTAGTTTTTAATATTGTAAATTTGTATAGTATTGTAAATCTATATCGATAGCACTTATCAACTGCAGTAATGCACAGCCCTGCCATTACACAAAATGCCCGTACCTGCCCGTATCCTACTGTTAAGTGGGGAAGAGAGTGCAATACTGCTCCGATAATTTATAGCCTATAACGAGAAAATAATATCACTATATTGGTATTATAGATTTTATTGCACCGAAAACCCAATTTCATAGTTCTTTATCTCTCACCAACGATATCTATGCACCGAACCAATGATCTTAGAACTAATTTAGATAGAGATATGAAGAGCACGCTATAAAATACAATACAATTTATCACAAAAATACAAGATGTAATTAATACACATCGAAAAAATTCGGAAACCACGAATTATGCTGCTGCCGCATCTTTAACTAACAACGAGGCATTCGCTTCTGAAGTAAGTACACAAATGATAAAAAGTTAATAAAAAATGGAAAGGGCGTAATTCTGCTCACATGTTATTTCTTTTAAATACGCAAATAATTAAATTTTTCATTTTAATTTGATGTACGTAATTTTCAGGTTAGTTTATTGTACCTGTTTCGTTTTTTATTTCACGCCAAATAATTCTTCCAAAAATATTTCTAAACGAAAGAACATAATATGAGCCGTCGAATTATATTTTTCCAATATTTAAAAAAAAAACCAATTTCTAAGAAAAATAAATCCCAAAAACGTTTCCTCTACGTATATGATAACCGTCAATTTGTCTAATAACCGCTAAAGTATTTTAATAACCGGCAATCTTATCTCACCATCTCACTGAATCTTTATTAGTTTAGGGCAGTTTTTCAACCCTGACGTTGGCCAAATAATGCATACGACAAGTTGACCTTTTTTGGACGTAGTTTTAAATGCCATAGATCTTTTTTTATTAAAAATTACAAAACAAACTTACATAATTCGTGAACTTGAAGTTTGGAGTCACGAACAGAATAATACATCTAAATCCCAATTAATAGTTAATAAAAAAATTTCACTGTATTAAACATACAATAATTTTAAAAGTTACAAATTTCAAACACTGACAATTTCTAAATAGAATTCGACAAAGATTACTAGTTAATTACTCTTACGTCAAACTTATTTCCTGCTTTGCCTAAATTCCTGTTTAAGATACACTACACGCTGTTGTCACATTTCGATATTGGTTTTGAATTACATTATACACATGTACATCAATGGTGAAGACTAGACATCGGAAGACGGCAACCCTAAGTAGAAGGTTCGCAGAAAATATTAGTTGCAAGCCAATGGGAATTGTGAATCAAATTTCGTTGAAAACGATGGGAATCGTGGATTCTCTTAGTCAAGCCGATGGGAATCGTGAATAATTTTCTTAGTCAAGCCGTTGGGAATCGTGAACGAATTTCTTAGGCAAGAAAGAAATGAAAAGAGTATGGAAATGACAGCGGATAGGGGAGAATGGAAGAAAAAAATACATATTGTGCCGACCCCACCTAGCGTGAGGTAAGAACAGGAAGAAAAGAGTTAACTGGCAGCAATCATTTGTGTCAGTCCATTGCCACTGATGTACATATATTGAATAAAAACAAATAACGTATAGGTACTCAAGATATAATTTTCAACAATAAATATTTCACAGTCTTATTAATTTTGTGACGTTTTAAGTCAACATTTATTGAAATAAAAATGTTTTCAACACGGACGCCATAAAACTAGTGCCCGTATTTAAATATTGTATAATAGTTGTATAATAAAAAACAGAAAATTAACCATTCAAAGCAATCCATAAGTAGTATTGTCTTAATTATGTATTTAGAAACTTTTATAAAATACATCATTAGGTATATCTATAGTTCATCTCCATACTAACTGTCCGATATTATGTCGTCATAGATTAAGGGAGCCACCACACTTACTATCGCAGAATCGGCTTGAGCCGGTGAAAAAAGTCTTTACGTCCATGTAATATGAGTTAAAATTGGTTACGCATTAAGACCTTTTTGGAATATACAGTAGAGGTCTGCTCTTTAGTCGGCCGCGTAAAAAATAATCATTTCCTCGCCGCAATTTTCAATTAAGTAAATATAAACAGTTTCACAAATGGGCAAGCGCACGGGTTTTAACCCGGCGTTTTGTTAACGCCGGGATTTAATGAGGTTAAAACCCATTAACGCCCAAAATCGAGTGCAAAAACTATTTACAACTAATTGAGTTTTGTTCAAATGTTATTACAAAATGTATAATGCTTCTTATTTTGCCTTCTATAGAATGGATTCGCTTGAAAATAGCATAGCAACGAATCGATACAAAAACTCGTTACCGATATGCATTGAAAATCGATTTTCATAAAAACGGAACGGTAATGTGTACCACTAGTAGTAAGTGAGAGTACACAGGATTGCAATGTGGGTGTTATATGGAATTGCCTCTTTTTCGTCTAAAAAGATTTTTTATATCAGAATTTCTAATAAGTATGGAATTATACCAAATTCAGTATTTGCCGTTTCTGCCCACAATTTAGGACAGAAACGGGCTAAACCCTGGCGCTTTGGATAAAAACCCGAGCCATTAATCGAGTTTTAACCCATTACCCATTTCTGAACAGTTTTGTGTGTCCCGCATTGTAATTCATTGTCAGTGCGCGGCTATGGTCAGGATTATTTTCTCGCTCCAGACTCTCCCGTAAATCATCGGAGCAAAAGTGTCAAGATAATTTAACCATAAATGTAAAAAAAAGTACCACAAAACTAAAATATTTTTTTACAGAGTTTAAATGTACCTAACCATGTATTTTAAAACTTCAGTCTTGTTGTAGGTACTCAAAATTATGCGTCGTAAAGAGTATTGGATATATAGTAGTTATAGGTACTATAGTGAGACCGTTTAAACTTTGCTGTCTCCACCGATCATTGGTTGTAAATTTTCTGTACTATAGTTATAACAACAACTAGGTACGACAAAAAGTTTCAAAAATGCATTTTCCTACCCTTTCCCTCGTTGCATTTCTGCCTAAGCCTAAACAGTCACACTACCTTCCTACAACCTATTAAATACTAAGTCAACATTATAATATTACAATAAAAACATCTCATTACCATTTATAAACTAGACATATATAACATCGAATCCACAAAATATTAAGCTTATTTTTATTAGCTTTAAGGTAATATGAAAGCTTGATATTTATATGTAGGGCCCGGATTAATATGTAATCACATATTTTTGATATCATTAATTGACGATCTTTAATTTGTTTTCTTCTTATATGTATAATGATACTTAGAGAATAACAAATTTCAACTTTTCCATAATTTCAAAAATCTCATTTCACATATTTTTACAGGTTTGCACCATATTTCTACACGAAACTTGCAATAATCCATATTTTCAATATTGCGTGATATTTTATTTAATTAAAACAAATAAAGGTGCGTGCGTGCTTGAAAAAAAAAAAATTTTAATACACTAAAAAAAATTAACAGTGTACTGGATTCGCTCTGGACCTTTTGGAGGGAAAAGTGTCGTTTTTATTTTGACTTTCAATTATTTTGTGAAATCTAGTTTAAAGTGGAATAGGATAGTGCTAATGTGCCTTAATCGAAGATTAAAACGCGAAATTATACGAATCTCGAACTAAAATACCCGTATCGGCCCGTTTTAAGGAATCCCGAGTCAATCCAAGCACGCCGCCTCAAATTGCCTATCCTCTTTGTGGCGGCCATATTTACAGAAACATATTTAAACTTCATGTTTAGGTTGATGGCTTTGCCAAAGCCTTAATAAATAAAAAAAAAAAAAAACAGTGTACTGTGCGGAAGATTAGAAGACAACCTAGACGTGACATATTCACCTGTGGACTTGTGCAAATTTAAGTTTGCTCTAGTCACATTCTGTGACGTCGAAAGGTCATTCAGCCAGTACAAAGCGTTGTTCGGACCAAATATGCAAATTTTAATTTTGAAAATTAAAAATAACATGTACATGTGTTTTCTAACAATAACAGTAAAGAAAATATAATTGAAGTGGAATAAAATGTGTTGATTTTTTTTTTTAATAAAGCGTAGTCCATGTGACAACAGTTGTTTTTCATCTCCATGTTTATTCCATATGTTAAGATTTTTTGCCCATACTATATGTACATATTTTGTAGTTTATACTACATATATAACCGAGCCCTATTTATATGACTTATCGACTGTGTACTGGTAATCGGTACTATCTCAATTTTGACAACTTTACGGGATGAAGAATAAAATCATTTATCTGGTTTATTAAATAAAAATACGTACATGTGTAATAAAAATATTTAAAAACTACGTGTTTTTATTTAATAAACCAAATGCTATATAAATGACGCAAGCAATTTTTTTCTTCACCTGTAATGTTGTCAAAATTGAGATAGTACCTAATGCCAGTTCACAGTCATTATGTTAACATAATGTCGTGCAAATTTACTATTTTAAATAGCATTATAATTATCGTAAAATAGCGTAATCCCCTGCTTTTCACGATTTAAGTATTTTACTAAGCACAATTTTGTTGCAAAACACCGTTTTCGATATCCAATGACGACATAATAAAAAATAAAAAAATTAAATTCTCATGTGACCTGTAAAGGGCCCGAAATGTTGGTTTGTTTGAAAAAAACAATTTTCCCGCGATTTAATTCCGGATATTAATAGTTTGATTAATAGTTTCATTTCCTATGTGTAACAATCGCGAAAACCCAAGAACTTGATTCATAAGCATTTTTAATTAAAGTCTGCCTTTATTGAAGACGGAGTAAAATGACCGTTCATTACGCAAGTGTTGCCCGCTTGTGAGCAACTAGCGATTGCAGTCGATAAATATTCTGTCAACAGAACGTTGCTTTCGCTGATGAAGTAAATAGGCGAAATTGTTTAATTTGATTCATCATCGAACCATTATACGTCCAACTGTTGGGCACAGGCTCATTTGAATTGTTGATTTTTGAAAATTCATTAATGCATACATTAAATTTAGAAGTATGTGTATTAAAAATGCAAATAGGAGACATATTTTAAAAAATCATTTTAGTTTAAGATACGTGTCGTTATTAAAATGTGTGTATATAAAAAATGATTTTGATAATATACCAACTGTCAAAATAAGAATAAATAATACAGTAATGCAATTAGTAATCAGTCACAATTCAATCATTTTTGACAAAATTCGTCCTACATTCACAATCTATCAATAAAACTGTCGATAACTACTACATGACCATTTCAAATTTTACGAAAGCAGGCAACCCTGCAAATGTCGTTTTACTCCATCTTAAAAAAGACAGATTATAGAAAACCACCATGAGTCTCAGACATATAGGTACTGCGTCTTTGGTTAGTGTGGATGAGATTTTAGAAAGTGACGTTGTTAGTGTAGTGTGCAATCTTGCGTACGACTTTAATAAAAATAAAACAAACGAGGGTAGTTCCTCGCCGCCGCCGCCGCCGCCGCCGCCGCCTGCACCCGCAGCCGTACTGAGTGACCGGGCTGTCAGGGCTTTGGCGCGCAGTTTCGGTCGAGTTACCGCCGCGGAATCGCATGACTAAGAACCACAGACTGGTTCAAAACATGTCGAGCAAAAATTCGACTTAAATACGTGAGTTATCCGTTAGTTTAGTTAACGTTCATAAACATATCATTAACCTAATTTCACGTTATAATTACAACATTCTGTCCAACAATGACCCCTTAAACTGATCCAATACTTGCTTTTCTAATTCTAACAGTTTTCTTTCTACGTCATCACTTTCTTCGCTTTTTGCTTCTGGAACATTCGAATCTTCAGTTTTTGTTGCATTTTTGTTGTTTGCATTATTGTCTCCAGGTTTGCAATGTACAATACTAATATCTTCATCTACTTTGACAGTTTCTGGAACCTTCAATTCATCGTCCGATTCTGTGGTATCGGACACGTTATTAGACTTTTGTTTATTATTTGAACATTCTTCGACGTGGTTTTTTACTTTTCCACTGTCGATAGATACATCTACATATTTCATTTTGTCACTCTTCGCGGAGGTATTTATTTTAATCGTAGATGTATTGTCTCTTATTCCATCTTTTAAAGTTTGTATAGGAACAACTGCATTAACTTCAATCATTGGTATATCAAATTCATCACTATTGCTTAACTTTTGCGTATCACTTTGGCTATAATTTAAATTTGTGATATTATCATTCACTTCATTAATTATCACATTCATTTCAGAATTATTTGTGTTACCTTCATGTTGAGAAGCGTTATCTGCTTGAACTAATTCATTAACTGCATTTTGAAATTCTAAGGTAAACGATTCTTCAGTATCTTCAGTTTTAAATGCGTTTTCAGGTAAATTGTTGTCATGTATATATTTCATTGTACCTTTGCAAAAATTACCTTCAGTGTTATTAGTAAAGTTAAACATTTCGTTGCTCACATCATAAGTGTTTGTGTCGTTGTTATGAATACTGGGTACCTTTTGTTCTAGAGCTTCCTGGTTCGCCACTTCGTTATCTAATCTCCTTTTCTTGGTGCTCTTCACTTTAGTCCCGGTGGGATCTTTATTTTTACGCGATACTTTTGTAGATTCCACCACTGGTGACTCTATTATTTCATGAACCTGAAATATTGTAAAAAAGACTGAAAATCGTTTTCAAAAATCATGTGATCACAATGCCAAACCAAATTTATCAAAGTTGGCCCAAAAACCAGAGCATTAGACCTCTACTATGACATTGACGATGATTAGCAATAACGTAAACAAATTTATTATTATTTATTACAGCGCCACCTAGCATAGGAACTAAGACATTGTTGCGGAACTTGAATGCATTTGCATAGAGTTACCCTACTTGTGTTATTATACTAATGGTACTACTTCTAAAGCAATTGTATTGAAAAACGAGGTTTTACTTTGCGTTAAACTTACTTGAGGCTTGACAAAAAGCGGGCAAAAGTCATTTCTTCTAATAAGAAAATCTTCCAAATAGGCGTCCAGCAGAAGAGATTTAGTGAGCATGTCTAAGTAATCTTTTGGCTCTGTTTTGAAGTTATCAAGATTTATTTCGCTGTTCGGGTGTAGCCATTGGTAAATTAGAGACAGTTTGTGTAGTTCTTCCTGAAAAGTTGATGTATTTTCATTACAATACAATACAACATTATTTCAATTGTCATTTTCCACCTTAACAATACTTTTTAAAGCAAGGAACATCGTACATTTACATTGCGAGGTGGAACACTGGTGCCTAAACTAGGTTGGACCTGTATACTATAGGTCACTATTATTATTATATAGATTTTAAGACTTTCGTGGTTATTCACTAAATGATTATCACTAGTATCAGGTTTCTTACCACGGTATGACTTCTTTTTATTTTCCCGATATTCCCGATATTTATTATAAAAAGAAGTCATACCGTGGTAAGAAGCCTGATACTAGTGATAACTATTATTATTGTTAGAGTGGGTTACTCCGTCGCTCTAACGATGTTTTATGTAATAATAATAATAATAAAGCATAAGTAACAAGCACCAGGATCTCGGTTCCGACTACCTATTTACAGCCTTTGCAGTCGAAACCCTTCATTTGTACAAAATTTTATTCAGAAAAATTAATAGACTGTCTGGGAAACCTAAGGGCCGGGTACCTTGCCCAACGCATAGCAATAAGTCTTTTTTACCTTACCTGTACATTATCAAAAAAAAAAAAATAAAAAAAATAAAGTCTTATTTAAATTCCAACAAACATTACATATTTCTTATAAAATAAAAATTGTGACACGTAATAAACATAACTTAATTGAATTCAAATCATAATTATAAGATTATGTGAAAATTACAATATTAAAGATTAATATTTTCTTTAAACGCGAACCATTCATGATGTTTGTTTTCCATTACGAGTTTACAATTATAGCATGCGGTGTTTACCTGTAATTAACTGTTGCACTTAGCATTAAGGCAATATTGTACTTTCCTAGTTGTAGTTTTTGTTTGTCTAGTTGGTGAACCAATAAAAAAAATTCAAACTTGTAATTATGACGTTTGAAGACGCTAAAGAATTGTTTTAACAATAATTCTGCCACTGTTCTTTTATCATATCAGGCATATATTTTTTCCCTCACCTTTAAATTCATAGAAGTGACCCAAATCTTGTAATCGGCGTTAAAATTTATCTGCAGCATTTCCTTGGCGATGTGATTGTCGTGCACCACCACCATTCCCCAGGTGCGCCGCGAGAACGAGGCCCCGTCTTTCTTGCTGTTTATGTAGATAGAATTCTTTGCAAATGGATTCGAGGTTCGAACTGCAACTTCTGGAATAATATAAAAGGAACAATTCGCACATGACAACTAACATGGTATTATATAAAAATGGTTTTAATTTATATTCATATTACCTATTTAGTTTCAAAGCGACAGTATTGTCCTATGACTTTGAAATTAAATCGTATATGAATGACACATCAATATAGCGAAATTTTGTATATAAATTATTAATATAACGCAATTTTGAGATAAAATATAATTTAACGCCATTTTTGAGGTTATACTATGTTAGTGGTCAAGTGCGAATTGTAAAAACGATGCCTTACTTTCTCAAATATTACAGAGAGATTATTCAGGAGATGGCTGTCATGGCCAAATTTTCTATTTATTTTAAATTTCTTATCAAGGGTGTTAATTTGCATGCATTACTTTAACAATATAGCTTTTTACCAAAGCTAATGTGTGAATATGAAGGAAATTGATATGAAATCAGCCTGCAAAATTTGCATATACAATCCATTCTTTGCATTTCAGTAATTTTGTGCTTTATGATACGAGATTGAGAAAATAAGGCGACGATAAGTAGAGCTAGCAAGAGCTTGGGTAGTGTGTTGTGCAATCACAGCGAGTATATAACCAGAAATAGAGACGAAATAAGGGCCATCCATCCCTGGCAACTCATCAGGCAAATGGGCCTTATATCACACTTTTAAATATCAACTCTCGTTTGCACTTAAATCACTAATTAGAAAGCTGAAATAGTACAGCGCCAACAACTTGTGACGGTGTGACCTCCTTACACCGTCATCTCACCTCTTTGTATCGCCTCTCTCCTCTTGTATCTTATAATTTTTTTTATTTTACTTGTATTTAAATTTTAAATTTGAATTGTTTCATCTTCCTTCACTTTCTCATTTTGTTTTCGTACCACGGTCACTCCCAGCTCGACCGCCACAACAGTCAGAGCTGTTAATAAGCTAATCATGTGTAATAATTTATAAGTCTACACCCTTCATGTATCTATTTCTGTAATTCAGTTTCTCGGCCCATTTAGGGATTAAGTGCCTTAATAATAAAGTGTAGGGAGTGTTTTATACTGTTATCCGCTCACGCGATGCGCTCCTCCTACCGCAAAATGGCGGCTATTTGGTTTCGCAAATTAGAAAAGCATTCAGTTTAAATACAAGTTTTTATAAATATTTTTTTTTATTCTGCATTGCTAAATAAATACCCTCCGCACTACCAACAAAAACATCTCAAATAAAATGCAGTAATACACCGCAAATCCTGCACTTAAAAAGCACTAATGAAATTTTTGGTGTACTTGGATAAATATGATAATATTCCGTTTGAGTGGTTCTAACGTTTACCATGAAATTACTCCTTAAAGTATAGTTTATAAACATTTATATTCAGGGTAAACTTAAAAAACGCTACTTACGGTATGTTTACAATAAATAAACACCGAAATCACCAGCCCAAACAATAACACACACGATTCTCGTGACGTATTTTTGAAGTTGTTTATTTTTTTAAATGACAGACCCAGGCATTAAAAACTTTATGGTTTGCTAGAGTAGTTACCGAAATAGCAATTAATATTAGTTCTTTTACCTGTTATAACTTCGATATCCGATAAATCGGTATAAAATCATCACCTCTAGGTGTGGTATGCGTCTACGGCTGCATGTATCGCGTGAGCGGATACCTTTATATTGTTACAGCCTTTCGTTAAACTTTACTTCTTTAATAAATTTTGTGGACCGGAAGTTTCCCATTTCATTGCCGTGAACCTGTTCACGGCTAGTTAGGGTTACAACCCTTTCAAACTGACCCGTGTGTAAGTCTCTGTATATTCCAAAAATTTTCTGTATCTATTGTAACAAAGATAATATCTGTAACAATGGGGGCTGTTCCATTCGGTGGTGTGGGAGAAACAGCAAAACATTTAATTACAAAACAAACAGAATCACATTTCATCGGTAATTAAATATTTAATTTTTCAATTTTCGTCCATTACAGCAAAGCTCAAGTTAAACTGGACAATTTGAATTGAAACAATTGACGATACTCGTCAATTGTTTCGAATTCGGACTGGCCAATCAGAGCGCGCGCAGTTGTCATGGTAATGATTAGGCAGAATAGTTTTCAAACAAATTAAATGACATTTCGTCTCTATTTCTGGTTTATATACTCGATGAGCAATCATGACTTGGATGTTGATATATACAATTGTAATGTTGATGTGCAAAACCGTAAACTCACGGTCATTCTATTTAATTTTATTGAATAATTTGTGACTGTTGGCGCAGGTATTGGGTTATATTAATGTCGTGATATATGAATGTTCGTATGCTTAATACGCGTGTTTGATTTGTCTGAAACTATAGGTGGAAACCTGTAAATAGCTTTATGTTTCTATTCCTGTTTTTATTTTTATTATTTTATAATATCAAGTGACGGGACTAACAAGTCGTGCGCCTGATGGTAAGATACACGCCTGTCCATAACGGTTGCAGTGCCGCGCAGAGCTTTAAATCGCAAAGATTTGAGGGGCACTGCCACTGCGCCCGTCACCCTGAGACATAAGTTGACAAGTCCCATGTACCTGTAATTTCACCAGCACCCTTACCCTTGTAAACCGGAACGCAGTAATACGCATTACATATACATTACTGCTTTGTGGCAGAAATAGGTAAGGATCTACTACTGCTAATTAAATGTTTTTGTTGGTTTTCCATGAATAAATAAATAAATATGTTATTCACGTAAATTCAAACAAATTGGTATACTCCAGACAGAAGCTAAAGGCAAAACTAAGAAACCTATTTCAATTAAATATAATTTCATATAAACAAATAGAGTCTGTAGTTTCACGTATTTTACGTAGAAGTGCAAGTGACAAAACTATTTCTTTTTCAATTCAAAGGAACTGGATCGTGACGACAATTGATCGGTTCACGGCAGCCGCCTTGTCGTATAACAGAATCGTTTGATGCACAGCCGAGGGCGCGGGGACCGAGAGGGGAGACCACACGTGCAGACAACAATAAATAAAACTAGACGACGATAGTAGCTGCGATTATTTGTCGTCACGTTTTTATCCAACGTTTTATTTATCGTCAGACGACTGTCGTTCTAGCTCTTCCCGTTGTCTCGACAGTCTGTCATCGTAACGTCAAAAAAGCCGTGAACGACAGTTAATTGTGTTGTAATGTGAACAACTTCATTTAAATATACAAGCCACAACACTTTAAACTGCACGGTTATCTATCGTCACGACATAATGGGAACGCGCTTTTACAATGTGCAGTTAGCACGACAGTAAAATGAAATATAGTTTACTGTTTGGGTAAAATTGTAAATTCTTCCCTCACCATGAAAGCAATTGGTCCATATCTCAAAGTGTTCCTTCCAGTTCTGCACGGCGTTGTCGTCGCACAGAATGAGAATGGGTTTGTTCAGTGTGGGCCGCATGGCGTGGACGAATAGTACCACTTGGAGGCATTTGCCGTAGCCTGATGGGTCGTTCAGGATCACTCCTGGGTTTCTCTGTAAAAGTAAATAGAAGAAATTTTATTCAAATTAAACTTAAATGTGTATTTTAAGAAAGGCCTTGGCAGCCTAAGACTAAGAGTATCAGGGGGTCGATTCCGAATCTTACGATAACTCTGTTGTCAACCGATTCGATTAGACATCGTACGATTTCTTTTAATTTTTATTCGCAATAACCGAATCGAACATCACACGATCGTATTCGAAACCGAACCGAAATGACGTCACACCCGTACGATTACTCGAACTTCTCGACCGGCAAAGGCTACAAACGTTATTCAGAACACTGTTATTGAAAGAAAGTTACCGAACGTCCTATTGTTTATAAAGCAAGAATGTAATATGGAAATCTCTTATATTTTAAATAAAGTCTGGATTTTGTTCAATTTTATTAGTTTATTTTAATGTACGACTAATACATTCCTATATTTTAGGTTTTTAAAGTGTTAAAAATGTATATAAAAGGATTTTCATTTTTCTTATAATCTATTTATTAATAAGCGCTGTTGGATAACGATATCGTGTCCATAATCCGATCGAACGTTTAACTCGAATGTTCTGAAGACCTCGGAAAGCGCCCTTCGATTCGAGAACGATATCCAATCTAACGATTAAAAAAAAATTCAAAATATTTCATTGCTTCACTGTACGTGGCATCATTCAGGGGCTGATGTTTCCTTTTAAGCTTGATAGGGCCTGTGTTAGGAAACATCGCTCTTCTTTACAATTAATAATTAAACATTGCTCTTACATTAACCTTAATAAACTAAGACTAAATTAACCTATGTGTTACTTTGTGTGAGTTCATGTCCGTGATATATGCATGAAGTGTGTGTGAATGAGTGTTTGTGTGTGTAAATGAGTGTTTGTGTATGTATGTGTGTGCGTGTGTGTGTAAATGAGTGTTTGTGTATCGATTTCGGTTGAAATATCGAAGAAAATCCTTTTATGTACATTTTTAAGACTTTAAATTGCATTAAAATAACTTAATAAAATGGAACATAATCCAGACTTTATTCAAAATAATAAAAGATTTCCATATTACATTCTTGCTTTGCAAACAATAGGACGTTCGGTCACTTTCATTCGATAACTGAGTTCTGAATAACGTTGGTAGCCTTTGCTGGCCGAGAAGTTCGAGTAATCGTACGGGTGTTGTGAATATAAATGAAATGAAATCGTACGATATCAAATCGAATTGATCGACAAACTTATCGTAAGGTTTTGAATCGACCACCAATTCCGAATCCGAGAAATGACGGTCCGAAATGTCACGGATCATTTTATCTCTAGGTGTACATGCAATATTCGAATCGAAGAATCACAACACTCGGGGAAAATGCGAAGTCCCCAACCCGTATTAGGCCAGCGTGGAGAGTGGCGGACTATAGCTTAAAACCTTGCCTGTGAGGATACCCGTGCCCAACAGTGGGCTTGGTCCCCTCGTGTGTGATTTATACGTATAAATGGGTTAATGACGAGGATGTATTTTAAAAACACGGAACAATTTTTTTTAAATCAAGTTTTATTATAGTATTGTAATATAAAGGCGTCAAAATGGGTGTATAATGTTTATCTATCACTGTAGATTGCCCTATTTGTAATTGTAAGGCATTCTAGTGGCGGATGTTCATAATAAGAGACACGACCGCACCCAGGAGTGTCGATTTTCATCTGTCCCACGGTTTTTTTTATATAATACCATGTGATTATTTACTATTGAGAGTTTTCTCTCACACTAGGTCTATGAATGACTAAGGCCTCGTGCAGCGTGGCGGCGATATTTCGCGACTGCGGTCGCACTTAATCGTCGTAAGTCGCTTGCGACTACTACTAGATGATCAATTAGGCTCAACTCACACTGGCGTCGCGTCCTGTTTTTCAATTACAACGCATGGCGACGCGGGTAGTCGCGCGACGACGGCCGAATCAGTGTGGTCGGCATCTGACGCCTCACTGCGCGCAAGGAACGCACGGCGACGCGCGATTCCATATTTGCATAACACAAATTTGTACCTTAATGATGGGAAAATAGAGATGAATATGCTATAGGCGAAAAACTTGACGCGTCGCGACGCTTCGACTCTGCGCCAGTAGAGTTGAGCCTAAGTCATTTCTAGTTAGTGTGGTGTCGTCAAACTTTGGCTTTTATGGAGAACTATCTTCGAAAATACCAAATTCCTTTTAACACAGATTTTACTACATTTTTACATATTTTCGAGTTTTAATTAATTCTTTGACAGTAATTGTTTCGGACGAAGAACGGGAGCAGAACCCCCTGAACTGTGGTACTGTTGGGACCACAGTACAGTTGTAGCCCCTTTCCAACAAAGAAAAAAGAATCATCGAAATCGGTCCACAAATGTCGGAGGAATCGCGTAACAGACACACAAAAAAATACAGTCGAAATAAAAACCTCCTTCTTTTTAACAGACTTCAAACAAGGGGGACGTTCTTAATTTGACTGTTTTTCTTTTTAGTATGTATGTTACGCATTTGTGAACCGATTTTGATGATTCTTTCTTTCCTTAGTCCCTAGTCCTTCAGTATTGGTCCCATTTGAATTTCAAGAAAATGTTCCATCTCTAATGGTGGCAAACTAGGGAATGAATCCGGTTTCGCGCACTTTCAGGTAACCGATTTCAATAAAACTTGGCAAATAGATGTAGTTCCACGAACTTTTAAGGTCGGTTTTATTTAGTACTCTGTACTGAGACTATTATTTTGAAGTCGGTTAATAAATAAATTTAAGAAATATTACCTTCTTGAACTGCCTGTAAAGGTATCGGATGCCGTCAAGCTGGTGCTGCGGCAGGAGCTGCGGTAGATCGATGTATATGTCCTGTTTGTCATCGCGGACGAGGTAGAGTCGCTCGTACGAGTCGCGGTCTATCATTCTCAGAACACTGCTGGTGATTAATAAGAAGTAATAGCACTATTACGAAATTTTAAAATTATGCATGTGTTAAAGAAATACTGACAACCTAGGTGGCCTAGGTTGGCGTTGTGGGTGCTATGTGAGCCGGACTCGGTTTAACTTCCCATTAGAACCAATTTGCGAAATGAACTAACTTAAATGGTTTTATCTGTTGGTCTGGGTGTTCGGGGTAATGACGGTCTGTTAAATTTGAAACCTCGTAACTCCGTTTTTGGACAAAATCCTTTTTTTACTCTTCAAGCGCAATTTTGTATGATAATGTATGAATATATATCTTTATTGTATTACTAAAAAAGGGCCTACAAATTCTATTTTAAGCTTTAATTATATAACAAGAGTTTCGAGCTTTAAATTTAGCTAATGCATTGCTTATGTAACACAATAAAAGCCATTGACATAACTTAAAACGTGAAATTCAGGCATATAATTTTGAACATTTACAATTATAAAAATGTGATTTTAACAACATGTGATTTTTATGTCGAGGCAATTGTGGCTGTAAGTACTATCACAGAAAAAATGTCAAATGTGGGTTACACCACAGGTTTTGTGCTGATAGCCTCAATTAGAAATGTAATTTATAACATTTTAATTACATAGAATTGATTAAAATAAATCTAATATTTAAAACACACATATACAAAACAACATAACCAAATGCCTTCAGAGCATTCCTAACCAGCGAAACCTTTTTCTTTCAATTTATTTCTTACTTAATATTTCAAGATTAGACTAATAACTATGTAGTCTATTCACCACATTAATTTCAAGTGTTAGTAATGTACAGTTGCGCCGAACCGTTTTCATAAATAATATATACAGTGGAAAGGGTGATAGATCGCTAATGACATGCTAATTTGTGTGTGGTATAATTGAGGAGCAACAAAACAAAAACTTGTTCACATTTTGACTTGTTTTTTAAAGCCAAACAGCAGATTTTGTATGTTTCTAGAATTGACTTTTTATTTGTAAGTCAATGGTTTCTAGGAATATTTTATCCAACCCGAACACCAATAGCAAAATCCGTGTTAAAAATATATTACAAATGCATGAATTTGAACACGTTTCAATTAGACTAGACGAAATTAGAATGAAAATTTACCATTTTCTGTTCTAAAGCTTCTCAATTAATATAACTAATACTTAATGAGTTATGAGTCAATACAACCTTATCTCGAATTCAATGTTTTCCCATACTAATATGGTTCATTTTGCTAGGGTTGAGTGACAGCATCGAGTATATAACCAGAAATAGAGATGAAATAAGGGCCATATATACCCGGTAACACATTAGCGATTCAGCTCTTATAAATATCAACTCCCGTTTGCATTGAAATATACGGGCTAACTACTAACCTGTGTGTATGTCTCCATATATTCCAAAAAATATTCTGTATTTATTGTAATAAAGCCCTGCCATGATAACAATGCCGTGATGTTCTATTCGGTGGTGTGGGAAAAACAGCAAAATATGTAACATCTAAAAATTTACAAAACAAATGGAATCAAATTTCATTGGTAATTAAATGTCATTTTGTCATTTTCGTCCATTATAGCAAAGCTTAAGTTAACTGGCTGATTTGAAGTGAACAGTGAAAGTGATCAGACAGTCAATTGTTTTCAATTCAGGGCCAGCCAATTGGAGCGCAGTTGTCACAGTAATGATATGGCAGAACAGTTTTCAAACAAATTAAATGACATTTGACAATGACAATGCCATCAAGCACTCATGGAGGTATGTATACAAAACCACGTAACTCTTCAGTGGATTAAAGGACATAGCGGCTCACGTGGCTATGATGCAGCAGATGAACTAGCCAGGAAAGGGTCGGAGACGGACGCTGTAGGACCAGAACCGATAGTGTCCCTCCCCTCCCAATGGTCCAGAACAACTATACACAAAGGTACAAAATCTTCACATAATAATACATGGACCACCCTTACGGTTTGTAGACAGGCGAGGGAAGCACTCCCAACGCTCAATGCCAGTCTATCTCGAATACTAATTAAACTTAAAAGGCAAGAGCTTCGCACTCTAACTGCCGCCCTAACAGGTCATGGTCCATATAATAAACACCTTTTCAATTTAGGTATCACAGACAGCCCTCTATGCAGAGCGTGCATGGAGGGGGAGGAAACGGCTGCGCACATCCTACTTCAGTGCTCCGGCGTGGCCAACTACAGGGCAAAATACCTTGGAGTGCCAAGGTCGCTCCCCGAAGTCTTCAGCAAACCAAGGAGGCTGCTGAGATTCCTGGAGGAGCTTGGGTGGCACGAGTAGGACCCTGCACCCACCACACGCAAAATAGGCGCTTTGTCGTCGAGTTGCGGATACCAGCCCGTTGCACCAAGTACCAAGTACCAAGTAAATGACATTTAGTCTCTATTTCTGGTTATATACTCGATGAGCGACAGGGACACTGGCTTTATTTCAGAATTTATTTTTTTACAAACGAAATTAAAGCAATTTGAAAAACGCACATTGTATACTACTTATACATGTTCCAGTTAATCAGTTAATATAAAAAAAAAATCATTAGTATATTGTAAGTAAAAGTACCTAATGAATACAGCAGTGTTCTTGTAAAATTGAAAGGTAAGTTTTTATTAGGTAAATTTTTAGGAATTGTGTTTCCACACCATATACTAATCAGTGAATATCTTCAATTTTGCTATATATTTTCCCAAGGTCATTTGAGGTTGTCTCGACCCCTAATATGTTTTAACAGACATGTTCAAACCTGTTACCATAAGTTCATAAGTAATAATAATAATCTATAATCATATGTGGCAGAATAGACTCTTCCAAACTAAAGAGTGTTTATAGTATTAAATTAATACAAATATACAAATTTTGCACCCATTCATATCCCCGCACAGGTAAGCTCTGTATTCCATATGGCAAGGGCATGCACATAGACATCCACAAATTACACCCAAATTCATGAGATAAATAAATGTAGGCCACACAAATATTTCTCCCGGCCCGGGAATCGAACCCGAGATCCCTCTCGAGCCTGGCAGATCAGCTTGGTGACCAACCAACTTGGGCCATGGAGGCACATAAGTACTGAAATAAAGAAGTTAATTTTACAGGGAAATTGTGAATTAAATTGAAGAGTTATCGTCTATAACTATAGTCTATACGCCAAAATTAACAGAAACATAATAGCAATAGATACTTACAACTGATATGCAGTGTTAAATCGAGCAATTTAGGAAAGTAAGTTTTGATTCAATCTATTGAGAATTGATAGCGTCATTATCAAAATATACAGCATTTCCAGATAGAATAGAGCTACGAACACAGACACGCTAGTTTTGTGCACCTCTACATCTTCAAACTCCTGCATAATCTGCCTGTTTCTGTATACATGATCCCAAAACATGGAAATTTACTTCTAACACGACTTGCACTTAAAAAAACTAAGATATACATCTAATACGAACTTCGGACTTATCTACATATTTATATATATCACCATGGAACAGTGAATCATATTCATGCAAATTAATAAGTGTAAAAGGTAAAAAACTTATTGCTTTTCGATAAACTTCTTTTTGACACATCAATTCCCTTGATGAATTAAAGATGTCGTTTCGTTATTTCAAATTGCGACTAGTTTCTACAGATTTGTTACTAAGGTTTGTTAGTTCTTGCACAAACCCTCGAACAACTCGATTGGGTTGGGTTATAATTTGACAGTTCTCACTTCTTTTTTTATTAATTTTCGCCCATTTGGGTAGGCAAAGGTTTTACCATACACAGTTCTCACAATATTGACAGATATGTGTCAAACTTGTAGCTAGTGTAGCGTAGTAAGTGGAGTTTATCGATAATACAATATATCATAATAGTCGACGATGTGGGTAGTTGTATAGGGCAATGGAGCTACTCACATTATGAAGTATATTTTACTGTGACTGCCATCTTGATTCGAGTAATTATGTTGTGATAAATAACAATAATAATAAGTATTTATTTCGGACTTGAATCCATGTATAATAAATTAGTAACAGGCTAAATTATGGTAAGTGGGTACGTTAATTATATTATATTTATTTGGCAGCCAATCAGAGGGCACTACACGCAGTGTCAGGAGATTATTGGTACTTGCGCGTACCCGCTGCATCAAGGAGAGTTGTCGCTTTCCTATTATAGAATGGAAGCTATCCGAATGTGCCTCCGTTTACGTTATTGATGCGCTGCAGTAGCGTGATAGCCCCAACAGCATCTTGAACGCATTGTCATGTCGGACACGTAGGGCGCTGTAGGCTTTTTGAGTAAATTCATCCACATATTGTAAAACGATTGGCAGTAAGTTTTGAATAAAGTGACCTTCACGTCTACCATACACTCGCAAATCTATGGATCAGCGTATTAATCCTTGATTAAGATGAAACATTTTTTATTTGTTTATTACTTACGGTGGGTGGGTAATAATAACTTATGTCTAATATACAGAAAAACCGGTGAAGAATGGCATTGATTAAAAAGATATGTTGCAACGACCGAAAGGATACAAAAGTTAAGGTTTATTTTTCAAATTTTAAAGACTAAAATATTATTTAAACAAAAATAAAAAGGTCTGATTTTTTTTCTGTGTTCTCTATCCGTGCTTAGAATATTGACTTGACTTTGAATAATTTAATCTCAATGTAAGGTAATGTTATAATGTTTTTTCTTTGCTGTTAAAGCAATTTAGTAAATAATATAACAATTGCAAGCTAAGCATAATAATATAATAATCGATATCATGCATCCCTAAGTTTGTAAGAAAACTGTAAAATTAGATGTTTTGTCAAAAAAATATATTTACTATATTCTAACAATATCAAAATCATCATAAAAGCGAAGAGTCGCTAATCAATATTTATTTAATTTAATTAAGGTGCTTTCATTGTATAACTGAATAAAATTTATCAATGGCAGTTAATTTGTAATGCCAGCAGTAAAAATAACTCCGCGTAGGAGGGAAAGCTGAAAATCAATGGAAATAATACTTTCATACAACCTTCAGACTATTGATTCCCATTCGGCTGTTGCTGTGCTAAAAATAACTTGAGCGAAAGTTATTAATGGGAAAACGGGATGTAGGCTCAAGAACCATCATTTGTAGTATTAAGAGACATATCGACTAAAAGAAGCTAGTTCTTTTTACTTTCAGAATATTACAATTGTCCAGCATCTAAATTAATAATATATCAATACTAGCGGATAGTCAAATATGTGTTGAATTAATGTGTCACATACACAAGACGCGTTTCGTTGGCTAGGCTTTAAGCAACACTTGTACGTTTAATACAATAAACCAGTTTTTTAAACGGGAACATAACGGGGGCATAACTAACAATTTGATCATTTTCACTTATGTGAAATAAAGCATTTCCCACAAAGAAGTGAAAATGATGAAATTGTTAGTTTGGCCCTTATACTTAGGACCTGTAGAAATGCTTTGTGCAAGGCGTTTTGTGTCATGGATGGTATTTAAGGCTGTGCTTTATCGTTGTCCATAACACGAAGGTTATGTTGATGCCAGTCACGGAAGAAAGAAAAGAATGGAAATGGCATCAACCAACATTTGTATCAAAACCGGTGTCGTCACACGCACACATTTGAAAACCTAATATTACATTAGTATTGTACTAAGATAATATAATTTTGATTGGTTAAAAATTATCAAACGAAAATAGACTATAATAAAAAACTTTTGGTAAAAAAAATTGAAACTTATTTGGATCTAATAAGGTTTTATTATTACTAGTCACTTAGAAGCTAAGAATCCTATGAACATAAACTTTTTGGAACAAAAACAAAAGTTGACAATCTACAGCTTAATCTACAGATAGGGATATGACATTTAATTGACATCGACATTATGTTTCATAACTAGCGGAATATTGAACTAGGCATTGCTTTATACTTGCTATAATTAGGGTTAAGTACGGAGTATATGGAAACGGCTTTTAAAGCAATTTCAAGCAAGAACTAGCGTAGCTGACTTTTACACGCACACATTTGTTACCAAATACGCATAAGGTTTTACGGTTTTACGCTAATATTAATTGATATTAGCTACGCAGGCGTGTGCGTATACGTAGCTACATGCTACAATCACAGTATTAATGATAATACTGTCATCGTACTTTCATTAACCTACTAGATTTCAAGCCAATCCGATCACTGGAAGGGTTGAAATATTAAAACACAGTCATCATAAAAATCTTTATTCTCCCTGAAATATGATAGATATATTTGTTCAACAATTACCTCTTTCTGAACTGATTGAACATGACTACACCTATAGCGTCGACGAGCTTGTCAAGAAAATGAAGATACTTATTTCCGAAGGCGAAGAAGCGAATAATTTGTTTCATGAAAACTTGACGAAAAATAACTGACAATGCTCCAGAAACGTTTTCACATTTAGATGTGGTCTATAATTTGTGAAGGCGACTTTGAGTTTCAGGTCCACCTGATTAACCAAATGATTTATTTCTTAATGAATTTTTCGGTTGTTATTCATATGTACATAATTTAATGTGATATCATAAAATGCCTTACAGCAAATGCAAATTTTATTATTACATAATTATATTAATTTATTAATAGCAAATGGTGCTACATTTAGTAGGGACCCAGCTTTTACTGCCTGTTGCTTCAGCCCATTTCTCCCTTAAAGAGGATTCGGCGTGAAACTAAAAAATCAATACAAAAACTGCAAAATAATCATATATCACATTTGAACGACGACTGACGCGCTGTTGACTTTCACATGAACGTCTGTTCATAAGCTAGGTAATGCGGACCCCGCCACACCAGTCTATTACTTATTATTTATATTAGTATTTATGCGGTCTGTGATGCCAGGCATTGCCGCTGTATAACATAAATGCATTTTTAGTGTGAAGTGCGCCTTATTAATGAGATGTGTCTTAATTATGAGCGATGTTATTTGTCCATCAGCGTCTGCGGCCGCGGTGGTAATCGATTATGTAGATTTGAAAATTGCGGTGGAGTGTGGTGATGAACGAAAAACATATTCTCCAAAGTATAATTAAGCGTTACATTTTTTCCCGAGCATTTCGTAGCTATTTACTTAGATATTGGCATAAAGTAGTCTCATACTATTAAAAAAAACTTACCGCTTTCTTGAATATCGGTGCAGTTACAAGCACCCCACATAACTATTTATCTCGCGTATGTAATAATATATCGATACACTCAGCACTAGTCTAAGGTTAAGCTATTTGTGGTCGTATTCCAGAACTCTACTCAATGCTCCTATAGCCCTGTGTCGGTCGATCACTTTTGAAAACCTGGGTCGATCATGACCCATGCGTAGTATGATCGGGTCAAATGATACGAATGCTCGATATTTTATCGGGTCACCCGTCCATCATGACACTTCCATAAGGCGTTTAAAAATGTCAAATTATACAACTAGCTTTTATTCTTTCCTGCTGATGGGTAATGTGTCTATAGTTAAAAGCATCATTGATAAACTACACTTAGGACACTAAAATTTCTTTCTAGAAAAGTAACAGTGTTACAAAACAAAAATACATAATAAAATACTTATGAGTATTCAAAACTACTAATTATTATACATTAATATTTTAATATTAGCTAGTACACTCTTAAATAAACACAACATACCGTGAATCAAATCAAACTTACAAAATTACCTTGTAGTGGACACCATGAATAAGGATGAATGAACGATTGATAGACTCATTGATCCGTTAACCCATTGACTCGTTGGTCGAACTAAGGTTCTATTGAACGAATGCTCTATCGAACAAATGTTCGGCCCAAACGAAGAGTGAGAAGGCGAACCGTGTCGTGAGCGGGGACTTCACGTGAGAGTGAACGAGACAACAATAATATTGTCAATTGTTGAATAAACGCTTAAACTTTTTTCTAAACGACTTTTTAAGCGTCAAACTAAAAAGCGTTTTCTAATACAGTTGCTCAAAACGTGGTATTTTTCGTACTACAAATAATGCCGAAAGTTGGAATTTTCGCACTAGTGCTTTTTACTTTTACATATTTTTTTTTAATTTACTGTTGTTTCAAATCTTAAGCACAGAACTAAAGAAGTTGTATATTTATTTAATATTTACGTGCTTTGTGACGTAAGTCATTCGTCATTAAAACTTATATTTATTTACAAATACTATATAATGAACGTATCGAGTGGAGGTCCACAGTCTCTGCCTACCCCTGAATGGGTGACAGGCGAGATTTTTATGTATAAATTTGTTTTATGTATTACAGATAAATTGTATCTCACTACCGTGCACGGGTTCCTAAAGAAGTTTAAACAAAAGTACCAGGACGTCATAATAAGAAAAGTGGTTACAGACCGATTTTACAGAAAATAAACAAAAACAGCACGTTAGAACTGGATTTCCATAGACTTTTAACTAATGGTTGCAGTGGTTGTATTTCATTATTTTAATTTACTAGCAGAAAATGAGTTTTGTTTAAATACTGTTTTATTTTACTTTCAATGTAGTTTTTTCGCAAATGTATTAAAAAACGTCGTTTGATACACGTGCGGATTTGTCATTTTCACTTGTCTCGCGTCTTGACCCTCGCCTCTGGCTCGGGCCAAGAAGCCTCGAAACTCGTGAATAATGACTAACTTTCCGCACTTATATCAAAAATAACTATACTTTTACAAGTACGCTTTTTAAACATACTTTTTAACGTTAACAAATTGAGAAGTTTTTTCCATTTCAACGGTTAACAACTACAAAAGTTAAATAATTTATGTTTTTGAACGCTTTTAAATGCCAATGAACGCCTTACTTATCTTAAAACCTTTAGTGATCTACTCTTGCGTTTCGCTATCAACACAAACGTTGCAAGCTTTTTTTAACATAAAAGTGTATGCGCTTAAACGTTTTTTAAACGGTTTTGTTAGCTTCCAAGTAAAAAGCGTTTAAAAAAGCACGCTTTTTTAAAAAAGCATAACGCTTAAACGTTTAAAAAAATAAGCAGTTTTTCCCATCTCTAGTCACAGGTGCAGAATCATTTTGATTCGATCGAACATGATCAACACACATCTAATGCTCAAGTCAGGACTTGAGTATGATTTCTAGTGCTTGAAATCATGCTCAAGTCATGACTAGAGCATTGAGTAGAGTTCTGGAATACGACCCCTAGACACTTAAGGTCAGTATTTTAAATTGGCGGGATGTCGATTACTTACCGAATTACTCATGTGCCGATGCCCAGCAGTCTTGTATCTGTTTTTTATTTTTATTTTTTCACAGTTGTGTACACTTGTACACGCAAAATTTTACATGAACGTTTTCCCATAGACCATTACCAAGGTGAACCTTGCTTAGAGGATGGAAGACCCTTGCCCTCTGGTCAAAGACCGAAATTAAAAATGTAAACTTCCAGATTTGCCGTTGGCTGTTCTAGCGTAGATGTGGCCGTTTTGGCGTCTCGACGCGGGCCGTTCACGCGTCGGTTTCTGATCGTGAGAGGTATTAACTGCGGCCTTCGCACCTTCGGAGTCGATCGGACGCCAAACCGCCCACCCATTCGGATTTTGAAGCAACCTTTGGGTGTCCACGCTGCCGATCAGTCATCATCGGCTGCAATGGCTCAATTTACATTGCGGCGGAACGGAATGGAAGCGAATTTTAGTAACGATATTATACATAGCGTAATACTTTATGGTCAATTGTGTAACGTGTAAATTATATACGTGCCAAAAATCACGTCGCGCGCCTTTCGTGGAATTCTGCGCGTGCTTGAGAATGCTCGCGCATTTGCGAGAATTCCACCGTTGCCGTCGGCGGAAAGTCGCGCGAAGGCAGGCGCAGTGTGATGTCAAACGTCGAAATACTACAGCCTCAAGGTGCAGTCGCGAGAAAGCTCGCGAATTCTCGAACAATCCAGCGACACCTTTCCTTCTCGCGCAGCGGGGCGAAATTGGCGTACCGTTCCATTCCGTTCCGCCGCAATGTCAATTGAGCCATAGGCACGCGATTGCAAGTTCGCTGAAATCAAATGCGAAACATCTTTTTCGCTCTTAAGTTTACGGACAATACAGTATTGTGCGATTACCGGCTTATTTGCGTGGTGACTCCCTTACTTGGACGCATTAGACGGCTTTCCACAGACACTCCGTCGCGCATGATACGGCAATCGTTGGATAGAAAAGGGAAAGACTGCGCGATTGCACTCATCAGTCGCGCGCGTAATCGTGTCAAAGTTGCCTTTTACACGAACGCTCTTCCTTTTTTAATAAAACTTAGACTAGCAATCGCGCGTGAAAGGAGGTTAGCTTAAAAAACTTCAAGCAGGCAATCGCGTACGACTGCGCGTGCAGGCTTTCCTGAGCGCAATCCTGTAAGTTCCAAGATCACGCACGATAGAGTTTGTAAAGGGGGCTAATGTTTGGGTTTATTATGGTTAGGTACTTTCAGTCGGTCTCATCCACAGATGGTGTATCGGCGAGTGGTTCTTTAGAGAATAAATTTAAGCAAATAAATTGAAAAATAAAATGTATATTCAGACATTATATGATTCAATATCAACAATTTTCTATTCTTGTAAACGACGCTCAATCATTCTTGAAACGGGGCGCTCTCTTTTCAACAAATGCAGTCATTCCTTCTTTGCGATCGTTCTGAAACAGAAAATGTAAAACATATATCAAAGTGGTAAAGACAAAATAACATTTAAGGTGGATTTAAGGATCTTTGTATTAATAATTATTATTATAACAAACTAGTGGAATAATTTCACAAAAAACAATTGAATATCAATTCAATAAAAATTTAAAATACAGCGAATAGCGACATATCTCGCCAGGACTGGTAGCTGTAAAGGTACTAACTGGGTAATAAATCTGTAATAGATTTCTCATAGACGGCGCTATGACTAAAAAGTCGTTGAAAAACCAAATACAAAGACACGACGCAAGCACATAGAAAAATTCGTGAGGACCGCTGGTTCGTTCCGTGTCTTAGTTGGTATAGCGTTTGGCACGGTAAGCTAGAAGACGTCGGTTCGACTACGGCCGGATCGAAGGAATGTTTTCTGAGTGTTCGATCTTTGTATATTATTTATATAACATTATATGTTCCTTTATGAAACAAATCTAATGTGATATGATCAATATTAGAGCCCTCGCAGACTGTAGACTCTTTATCGGCCTATAGTTCAGTCAGATTCTTAATTTATATGAAGGTGTAAGTAAATGTGCACATTATGACGCTGGCACTCGCTTCGAACTGAGTTTTCGGGTAACAATCGGCCGACAGCTAAATCAATATGGCCTCCTTGTGAGTGTAGTGTTCTGTGAGTATAACGGCGCTCTTCCACGCGCGCATATTTGCCGATTATTTAGTCTGCCGTTGCACCCAATACTCTCGGTATTTTTGCTTGATCCTTTTCCTTAATTCTATAAAAGCAACACATAACATTTAATTTTCTGAGCAATTTAATTTTCACTACGTAGTTGACCTCTTCAAGAGCAGATTATTAACTAGCAAAATTTTTCGAGAACAATCGGCTGACTTTTCGCTGGTCTGCGCTCTAACCATCAACCAGACTCTTTAACCGGCCCAGTGTGTGCCCTAATAGCCCTAATTATCGGGCGGATAGAAAGGCTGTATGTAGTTTGTGGGAGCCCTTAGTGTTTAATTGGAGCAAATGTACGAAGTTGTAATAAGCTCTAAGTTAAGCTTAAGTTAAGCTCTCTATAAGATAAAATATTTTGCAGAAAAAATATTGGGGTTAATTGTAAAACTTACACTTTTACATCTGTGCATATGAGGCACTGGATAGATCTATTACTCATTGCTGCTTTTGCAGAAACGATTGAATATTCATTTTTACATGATGTTTCACATAATATAAATGTTCCTTTATATTAATTATTTAGTTAACGTACCGTGGCAAATGTGCCGTAGAATATGGACTTTTCATACAGTAGACCAGCTGCAAGATTGGTCTCATAGGCCTGGTTGACGGCTTGCTTGGCCAACTTGACGATAAGCGGCGAGTGCGTGCCGATGCGCTCGGCCAGCTTGATTGTTTCTTCCAAGAGTTTCTCTACAGGGAACACGCGGGCCACTAGACCTGGATGGAGATTGATTTTCTTTATAATTTTGTTCATTATTTAAGTTGTAAATATCATACGGATCAAAAAATATTTTGGATGGAATTGTATTCTTGCGACCTAAGATTGCGGCATTTGTGATGTGTACGATATACCTGCTGAGGTAGTATCATAGTGCATAACAATTTAGACATTTCTGTTTGCCCATTTAACACAGCTATTTAAGGGTCGTATTACAGAACTCTACTCAATGCAGCACTGGAAATACGACCCTAATGGCAATGACTTGAGTATGATTTCCAGTGCTTTAAATCATACTCACGTTCTGACTTGAGCATTGAGTCAGGAATACGACCCTTAGGGTCGTATTCTAGAACTCTACTCAATACTCAAGTCAGGACTTGAGTATTGCAGTGAGCACTGAAAATCATACTCAAGTCCTTGCCATTAGGGTCGTATTTCCAGTGCTTGAAATCATACTCAAGTCTGCTCAAATCCTGACTTGAGCATTGAGCAGAGTTCTGGAATACGACCCTGAGTCTTATAATATCAGATTGTTTTAATTGGCGTTAGTACTCAAATTTCATAAACAATATTTTAATTTTATTATGAACATAATCCAATTCATTAAATGTGCTACTTTTTTATGAATAAGATGAGGTTTCCATTGGTTAAATCATAGTTTCCCAAAGTGGTACTCATCACCCTCCAGTGGGAGCTGAAGAGTCCTAGGGGTGCATCGGAAGCAATTTTGGGGGGTTAATGCTGTCCAGAGGGTGCTACCGCATTTGAAAACAAACCCTGAATTATCTATATAAACTACACTACACAATATATATACATTTTTTCTTTGTGATTTTTATGTTAGATTTAAATAAAAAAAAAGTGTTTTCAATTATTCTTTGTGGTGGTGAGCGTTGAAATTTTTTATTTAGCTTCAGTGGGCGGTGAGCCAAAAAGATTGCGAACCTATGGGTTAAATTGATCATGTATTGGGCTGGTATGCGATTCATCGGCTTTGTGCACCAGATGCCTCTCAGTTTCTTTAACTATAATCCTGATAAATTATAAAAAAAATAGGTAAGTATTTTCGAGATCGCTATTCTAGAAAGCTTTCTTTCATAATTAAGGCTGTTTTATTGTCATACCCATTTTCTCCGCCTCTTGCGCACTGAAAAAGTTGCCAGTGAGCACGATCTCCATGGCTTTAGACTTGCCGACGTAGCGTGGCAGGCGCTGGGTGCCGCCGGCGCCGGGGATGGTGCCGATGTTGATCTCTGGTTGACCGAACTGGGCCTTCTCGCCTGCGTAGATTATGTCACAGAGCATGGCTAGCTCGCAGCCGGCACCTAGCTGTCGAAAAGGTGATAGATAAATTTTTTCTCTGCTTGGTTTGGTTGGTGATACTTTGGTACCATTAAGGGCCTTAACACACTGGCAATTCACGAACAACTTCAAGGTGACGCGGCTGCGCGAAGAGTTCAAAAATTTAGTAGCATTCGAGTTCCTTGTGAAAGAGTTCGTCCAGGCAAGTAACTGCCTCCTTATCTATTTCTGTCGCCAAGCAGTAATGTGAGGATTATTGCGTTCCGGTTTTGAAGGGTAAGGGCGCTGGTGAAATTACAGGCACATGGGACTTGTCAACTTATGTCTCATGGCGACGGGCAAGTGGCAGTGCTCCTCAGAGCTTAGTGATTGAAAGCTCTGAGTGGCACTGCAACTGTTATGGACAGGCGTGTCGCTCACCATCAGGCGCACGACTTGTTCGTCACTCGGTAACATAAAAAAAAACGTAATGTTCTCGTGCAACTGCTAGTGTTAAAGCACCGTAAAGACGATTATTATTTTTTCTTGTTGTCATTATACTTCTAATTTATTTTTTTCATGATTACCTATAGATAAAGGAGTGATGAAATGTTTATTATTATCCGTTGTGTATTTAGTTTTACACAGTTTACGGTCGTTGACCGACCAGCGGTAAATGACAGTTTTAAAAACTTTTTAAAAACGTTTTGTCTACCTCTTATATAGAGTATGAAAAAAAATACAAAACGTCCTACCCTTAGAGGACGAAAAAAAAAAGGAAAGGATGTCTACCCTTTCGCTGTCAGCGACTTCTCTCATGTCGATTAGGTACTTGCGGCGTTACCATTGTAATCTCAGATTACAAAACAATTGTAATCTGAGATTGCAATTAACTTTTTTCAACAAACCACACTCACTGTAAAAGTTGCGAAATACGTATCGAGAAAATAAAAAGAAAACATATCGTCGTCAGAAACCTGTTTATTACCATTAGTGATAACTTACAGCGATCCCGTTGATAGCTGCAATGACAGGCTTGCCGCAGTTGGAGACTTCGTCCCACCCCTTAAGGGTTCCAGCTCTCTGAAGTGAACTGTATGTCTGATTTTGCATGTCTTTGATGTCAGCGCCAGCTGCGAAAACCTTCTCATTGCCTGGAATTTATAGATCAGATTTCTTTCTTTTTTCTTTGATAACATAACGCGAAACGTTTAGCGATTCAGTCACGACACGATTTTTGACATTTGTCTTTAAAACGGGAATATTTATAACGAAAAGGAAAGTTGGAATCGCGATTAGTAATGGGGATATACATAGATAGAGTATGTATATAAATTCAATATTACATTGGCAATAAGACTCAATAGGCATAAAGGGCAAAATGTCAAAAATGGGTTAGAAATGCAGTTTTGGTCAGTTTTTTGAGCTCTTTCGAACTGTATTATATATATTATATATTTTGATATGTCTAAAAAACGTACTTTATACTCCATTATCTTTTGTTGTCTAGAATCAAAATTGTCACCCCGAAATCGCAATATTTTTACGTGAAACTTTTTTAATTAGGGTGTACTAGACACAGGTATATGTTACTTTTGTGCAGTGTAAAGGACATTCAACTGCTAAATGCTCGTAATGGCAATTTAATTATGGTAAAAAATCAAGAATGGTTAGTTTTTCTAATAAACTTTAAAAAAAAAATAGGTAGATGAAGAAACAAAAAAGTTATAACAAGTTTTCGGAAGAAAAAAGTTTTTACTTTTCCTAAAATGTTGCTATTTTGTCTTTTACACGAATTGATTCTTAAGGTATCGATGAATAATTAAGTGTTGGTTTAGTTAAATCAGCCACAAGTATTTTGAGTATCACTGACGTTCTTCATAGTACCTACTCAATAACCGATATAATGTACAATTAAATACGTGAGCGCATTTTGTGCGTGGTTGGAAGCAGAACTAAATTTTGTTACCCTAGCTGCTTCGGCAAATATGAGCAGCTACTGGCTGGATGTGGCTTAAGAGCAGACTTACCAGTAATAATTATGGCAGAAATGGTACCGTCGGCGTCGAAGTCTTTGACGGCTTTTCCGAGCTCGATAAACAGCGGCATGCATAGGGCATTCAGGGCCTTGGGCCTATTCAGTTGGATCAGACCTACATTCTTCTTTGACCCCACTACATTTATTTTAATGTTTTCGTATGTTGGTGCTGCGAAAATAAATAAATAACAATACTTAGTTGATGAGCAAAACAAAAATTTACTCGCTGTTGGATTACAATTAGCAAAATTAAACAATAAGAAATGGTAACACCCCAATGAGTTCCGCGGAGTCGGCGGCGTCGACGGTGCTCACGTTCCGCAGCGTTGGCATTAACCCCATGTCGCAATATTTAGTTAATACCTAAACTATATGCTCACCATTGTTTCGAGCCTACTAACAACCTGTGTAAATGTCCAGAGATTGCTATTACTAACAAGATAAAGTATTTAGGTGTTATATTAGATGATAACCTATCCTTTAAACACCATATCGAAGCACTAAGCGCCCGACTCCGTAAGTTAATGTTTGTGTTTAAAAAACTACGCGTTTCTGCTGATTTTAAAATAATCAGGCAAGTTTATTATGCAATATGCCACTCGTTAATTACTTACTGCATTACATCATGGGGTGGTATAGCTAAAACTACTTTACTAATCGTTGAAAGAGCCCAGCGAGCTGTCCTAAAGGTTTCTACCTACCGCCCTTTCCGTTACCCCACTGACCTTCTGTATAAGTCATGTAAAGTATTAACTGTAAGGCAATTATTTATTAAGTCCACAGTCATCAAACAGCACGTATTGCTCCCATATATTACTGAAAACACTGATAAAAGACGAAAAGATATTGTTTGCCCCAAAATTATATCATCAAAACATACTTTTATTTCAAGATTTTTTGTGTTTCTTGGACCATTTTTGTACAATAAATTAAACGCGAAATATTCCATTTATAATTTCTGTTGCTTTAAGGTAAAGAAAATTCTCAGAAGCTCTTCAAAATATGTCCTGTGAGGATACAGAGAATTTATTTATTATCGTAAAATAAATGTTGTCTTGTTTAAGTGTATATTTTTTTGATTGGCAATTTATTGTTTAATTGTTTAATTTTATTTCATAAGATTCTCCTAAAAAGTATTTATAATATTAATAGTATCCACGTTTATAATTAGTAGTACTTTTTACCTGAAATACAGGAATTTCCTAGTTCAGGTACATGTGTTATTTTTACATTAAATCGCATAAGTAGTCTTTAGTTTTCTCTGTACATTATGTTAGTGAATAAACAATTTTATTTTTATTTTTTATTTTTTTTAGTTGCTAAGACGGCATCATTGATCTTCATATACCCAGTATGTGTAATTCACGTGTACCTACTTACCAAAAGTTTACATTGCCAGATTCGGTGTGCAAGTAATCAATTTTTGAAACTTATTTTAATTCAGTGTATATTCTAACATTGGGCCAGTGTGGAGGACTGTGACCTAAACACTCGCCTGAGATCCGTGCCCAGCAGTGGGATGTATAAATGGGTTGATAATGATGAATTGTTTAAGAGCGCATAGAAGTACACAACAAACAATGCTTGTGTAAGTCAAGAGAAAAACATTCTGAAGTATTTATTTTTCTATTTATCTCGACACCGATCTCATACTGACAACTGCAGAGCTGTTGATAATATAACCGGATAATAAAAGATGACTTTGGAATCAACGTAACCCGATGACGTAATAGACATACCTACTACTTACTACATGTAAATTTGTACTAAGTACGCGATTACGACTTTGTACTAAGTTGTAGCTTAGGTACTAAGTACGATTTGATAAATTAAAATCAAAATCATTCTTGTAGGTACGGTGTCTAGGGTAATGGGTGAAAAAGACGAGCTTTTCGTGACGTCGGTCTGAGGTTGAGCTAAACGCGCAACATCTTTTTCATTCTTATTGCATGATACATAGTTTTTTCTAACCGGCTCAAGCCGATTCTGCGTGAACAAGTGTGGTAGCTCTTTTAGCCGAAAGACTTCCACATCTAGACATAACGTCAGGGATAGTGCAATTACGTAAATGTCAAAATTAAGTAAATGTCGTGGCAACCAAATTAGCGTGATTTACGGGAATCTGTTGTTATCAGTCCGTAGACAACATACATTAATGCATACTGTGCAAAAATAAAAGTCGTAGCTATTGGAATAATAACAACAACAACAATGACTCTCCTGTAAAATTTGGTTTGGTGTAGATACGCGCTTCTTACAGTATTGGTAACATATGCGGATTTGCACTATCTCCGACGATAAGCCTGTTTCAAAAATCGCCACTAGGACCGGTCTTGCGCTGCTCGCATTCAATGATTTCCAGCAACCTTCTTCTCATCTTTCCAACCTGCGCATTTCGGTACGTGCTCATCACATCGGCCATCCACGTGTGTGCTCCTTCCACAGACACATTTAGATTAGGTATAGGCAGATTTTCACTAAATTTATAGACTTGAGATATGTTTAAATTGGGTTTTGATCTTTATTCAAATTGAAATTAAATATTCTCAGACCAATTAGTCCATATTTGTTAGTAACAATCTTACAAGCTAAGTTAGTATAGAAACATGAAGGACAATTACAATATATTAAATTAAGTTACGTTATTACATTATTATTATAAATACATTAATATATGTTCACGTGCAATTCGGTGAAACTACGGAAAACAGCAGAATCCATTCTTCATGATATCATCCTCAGGATACCATTGGTGCTCCCACGCAATCGCAACATCTGTGACGCACTTTTTTTGCACATGATTGCGTAAAAATCATCAACACACGCATCCGTAAACACGCCAGAGGCGCTGCAAAAGCAAGGAAGCCTCGATAGAACTCTAAAGATGTACATTACACGTACCTAAGGCGTTGTACGCTCGCTGTATTAAGTTGGTCCACAGTGCACCTGTATAAAAATTCTGGCAGTATGCTCTAAAAAGAGTTATTTTTAACCGTTACCGCGTAACGCCCTGCGCTCCCTCTCAATATCATCATCAAGATCTCCAAGATTTTCACTAATAATGTGTCCTAGGCACTTAAACCGAGAAACACGATTCAAGGGTACATCATTTAGAAGAAGTGGTGGAATGTTATTTAGGTCTTTATATTCAAAAACAAGAAACTCGCTCTTCTTTTTATTGTGCCTTAATCCATGCCTCACAGCATAAATTTCACACACATTCAGCATCCTTCTCAGACCACTGAACGATGGATCGACCGATCTTTATATGTTTACCTACCTAAGATAAAGATGTTTAAAAACACACTGAATAAATAAGCAATGTCATTTTAGTTAATATTTGTGCAAGTAATTTAGATTACAGACTGATTATTTTTATCGGCTTGGACTTTGTTCTCTTTGTTTAATTTGGACATTGATCTTTGAGTGTTTAGCTTGGACTTTAATCTTTACACGGTTGCCTAAGATAAATATGTTTCAATAACATATATTATATAAGGTAACAAGAGTTTAGGCTGTAATTTAAAGTATGAAAAAGCTGTGGCAGCCTGTGGGCTCATTCAGAATGCAGGCCGGGCGCGGGGCGGCGAGTGCGGGCGCGCGGGCCTTGGCGTCTTCCCTGTCACAGTGCCGAAGAGGCTACGAGCGGGTAGACCCACACGTCGAAATTGCAAATAGACATTAGACGCTAGACCAAGCACTGTGAAAGGTACGGGCGGACCGAGCCAATAGATCTACCCGAGAGGCGCGCGCGCACCCGCGCCCTGGCCACTGTGAACGCAACGAGCGTCTACGTACATTTGATTTACACGCACCCGCGCCCGCCGCTACTCTGAATAAGGCCTAATAGCCGACCTGCCGCCTCTCACGGAGAGTTCTCTGAGTTTTTCGGAATTTACCCATGTGGGAAATTTACTATAAGCTTTTCGGTGAAGGAAAACATCGTGGTAAAACTTACACGTCGAAGAAGGTTCACAACCCTCGGAAAACGTGTGAATTTGTAACTAATTGCAATCCGCATTGGGCCAGTGTGGTGGACTCTGGCCTAAACCCTCGCCTGAGAGATCCGTGCCCAGCAGTGAGACGTATAAATGGGTTGATGATTGCATGTACATACACTAAAGTAAAAACTACGACCGTATTATATACTTTAAGAGAAGTAATCTGCAGTAGAACAGGGCTTAGAACCAAAATGAATCAACCGGTTACTTTTGATTTGTTTTTAAATTGGTTGATTGATTAATTAACCACATGTTTTAAAGGACGTTAACCGGTACTGAACCTAAATAGTTAGCCGCCACCTTCAATGAATTTTCTCTGCTTGACTCTCACTTATGCTGTGCTAGATTGAGTGAGAAGGTGAAGTAGCGATTTTTTCATGCAACCAAACCGTAGTTGATGAAGTGCTTGACTGAGGGACAGGTAAAGTAAAGCAAGAATATTTAGGTATAGCGTCAAAAAGGAGATTTTATATGGTGTCTGTCATAGTGTTTCCGTCGCCGCCTAATCGGGTCGTTGCGTTTTTTATTTTTTATTTTATTTATTCGGTTTATTATTCATCGTTCATAAAGCACCTGTACACGCTAACCACCACAGACAATATATAAATTAATTAAAAAAGAAATTAATTAAAAAAACTTTAATTTATAATTTTTTATCGAGTTCTTAGGTATTCGCGATTGTTACACATAGGAAATGAAACGGTTGACTTGACCTGTAAAGGGCCCGAAACGTCGGTTTGTTTAAAAAACACGATCTAAATCCGGAAAAATAGTTTCATTAAAACTTTTTGATTTATTATCCAAAACAAAATAATTTACAGTGGTTTTTGAATCTAACCATCCTACTGATTGTAGTTAAGTGAGGGTTTGCCCTTTAACGGTTTATGTATGTAAGTGTGGTGGTCAATCATTGAATTGCATAATGCGATTTCTTTTTAGAAAAAATATTGAATTAGAAGTAAAATATGAAACGAAAGAAATTACAATAGTTAACTAGTACTACTAATAATGATCTTTACTTTACCTTTTGTCATACTTATCTATTATTTAATTGTAAGGTTTGATACAACTAGACAATATGTAAAGTCATTATCACGAACACGAAATTTTTATATTTAATATCAACATTTATTTATTAGGTATAGAAATGTATAAGTACAATAGACAACAAGTTGCTTATCAATGTCAAAGGAGCTAAAAGATTAAACACATATAAAAAGCTACTGAAGAACTTGAATTCAAAGAAATTAAACTAAAGAAATTAAAATTAATAGGAATTTTTTTTTTAATTTATCATTTTCATAATCAAACTTTTTTTACCATTCCATGCCAGTGAAAGTGAATAAATCAGTCAAGTATTTTTTTTGAATTATTTACAAGTTGTCACATAAATGTCAACTATTTCTTTAACCGGTTTACATTTATTTGTGTAATATTTTAATGTCGAGACAAAAGTATTATAAAACTTCAATAACAAATAACTAATAACAGAAAACTTAATTGGAAACCAATTTCTAGAGAATATTGTACTAACCTGCGCTGTAGAACTTCACAAAACCCGTATTGGGTAGAGCAGCCACACGCCCGTTTTTAAGCAGGTTTTTTCTGAGCAAAATGCGGGTTACTGCGCCGGCTGAAGTCATTTTTAAACAATACCACTTAGTAGTAGTTTTCTCACTGAATCAATAATGAAATGGCGAGTAATAATTTTAAAAACTCGGCTTAAATACTCGTTTCAACATCGATACAGTGTTGATAAGAACAGTTAAACTGTTTATGTGACCAAATTTAAAGTGGATTTGCGTTAATTGGCCTGGAAAACAAAATTTGTATTCTAAATTTGACTGAGTAATACTTCACCTGAAATTTCACATTAAGTTTTGTTGATCAATTCATAAAAAGATATCTTGTGGTGAATTTATCACTAAGAAATTATAATGGTTGATTGAGGTGGGTTAAGCTACTTGACTTCGAAAATGTAGGTTTCCTTAGGTTCAATTTTATACTGCGGTGGAACGGAATAGAAGCGAATTTTTGTAACAATAGGATTATTATATATAGCGTAATGAACTTTATGGTCAATTGTTAACGTACAAACTAGATACGAGCCAAAAATCACTTCGCGCGTCTTCCGCGGAATTCTCGCGCATGCTCGTGAATGCTGAAATGCTCACGCATTCGCGAACTGGAAGTGGCGCGAAAGCAGGCGCAGTGTGACGTCAAAAGTTGACGTAATCATAACAGCCTCAAGGCGCAGTCACGAGGATGCTCGAGCAGTGCTCGGGTATTCCAGCGACCGCGGGCGCCTTCTCACGCAGCGAGGCGAAATTGACGCTTCCGTTCCGCCGCAATGTAAATTGAACCTTACAATCGTACCTTTTACTGTTAAAACATTTTAGTATTAAGTATATTTAATTGAATGAAAATACTTAATGTGCAGGTGATATGGCACATTTACAATAGGTCGAGAGGTCGCCTGCGCTTGCCCGCCGAAGACGGCAACGTACTTAGTGTAAATACTGAGTTGACGGCTGACGTTCCTATACGTATCCGATCAGTTTGTTGAACGTGTCTCTGTGCGTAAACTTGTATTTATAATGATTTAGTGTTTTCAGCGAAGTCGTCATTTAACCCGATGTAAACAAACGTCGACTTTTGAGGTAGATTGGTTTGAGTCGGTAGGTATTCTCCACAAACAAAATAAAACAATACATTCAAAAATAAAATATATATTTTGGCGTGAAAAAGTATAGTAAGTATAGAAAACGTTAAAAAGGAATTGATTGCACTTTCTCTTACAAAACTACATAACTTAATGTCAACAAGTTTTAAATTCTTGTATAAGACTTTTAATCATTCTTGAAGTTGGGCGCTCTCTTCTCAATGAATGCTGTCATGCCTTCTTTGCGATCGTTCTGCAACAGAAAATGGAAAATTATAATAAAGTAGTGAAATAGAATGTTAACATATACTGTAACAGTACAGCTCCTTGTGAAAGAGTTCGTCCAGGGAAGTACTGCCACCTTACCTATTTCTGCCGCCAAGCAGTAGTGAGCATTACTGCATTCCGGTTTGGAAGGGTAAGGGTGCTGGTGAAATTACAGGCACATGGGACTTGTCAACTTATGTCTCAGGTTGGCGGGAGGAATGGTGGGTGTGGATTTAGAGCTCTGAGTGGCACTGCAATATGGACAGGCGTGTAGTTTACCATCAGGTGCACGACTTGTTCGTCCCGTCACTAGATATTAAAAAAAAGGCCAAGAGTAGCCTCATGTCCTTCTCCACGGCCTATACTAAAATTCATCAATGTTGTTTCAGTTGTAATTTGTGGAAGATATAGGATTATTGGAATGAAAGTGGAGTTTTAATAAGATTTATATTTTCTATAAAGATGTATATTTGAAACTGTATAAGAATGACAGAAGAGAGATTTTATTTTTCCTATGACACTATTGTCTATTTAGAAAACAAACTACGTTTATTGAAATACCAACAAGTTCAGGGGAATGTGAAAACGTAACAGTTACTTTCGCATTTATAATATTACTTTGGATATTACAAATCCAGCCTAATGACATTTTTACTTATTTAAAGTAAAGAAGCGTCGGTAATGTTTCTGTCGTACGAACGGGTTTGCTGTTTTGCTTAGAAAGGTAGCACTATAGCTTTTATAGCTCACAGTAGCCACTTGTCCATACTGCTGGATGTTACATTTTGTTAATGTCATTTAATTTGGAATTCTAAATGATGTCATTTTATGGATTTATGTCTATGCCTGAAATAAATGTTTATTATAATTATTAATACAAAGATCGAACACTCTGAAAAAAATCCTTCGACCCGGCCCGATCCGTACCGACGTCTTCTAGCACACTGTGCCAGACGCTATACCAACTAAGCCACTGAACGAACCAGCGGACCTTATGAATTTCTCTATGTGCTTGCGTCGTATCTTGTATTTGGTTTTTCAACGACTTTTTAGCCGTAGCGCCATCTATGAGAAATGTATGATATTTCGTCACCCAGTTAGATACCTTTACAGCTACCAGCCCCGGCTAGAGATGTCGCTAATAATATTATTTAAATCTTTATTGAATTGATGTTCAATTATTTTTATGTGAAATTACTCCACTAGTTATTAAAAAAATCCGGATTGAAGGAATTTTTTCTGAGTATTCGATCTTTGTATTAATAATTATAACAAACTAGTAGAGTAATTTCACATAAAAATAATTGAACATCAATTCAATAAAAATTTAAAAGTTTATTTTTATAATTTTACGTACCGTGGCAAAAGTGCCGTAGAATAAGGACTTCTCATATAGCAGACCAGCCCTAAGGTTGGTCTCGTAGGCCTGGTTGACGGCTTGCTTGGCCATTTTGACGATGAGTGGCGAGTGTGTGCCGATGCGCTCGGCTAGCTTGATTGTTTCTTCCAGAAGTTTCTCTACAGGGAACACGCGGGCCACTAGACCTGGGTGGAGATTGATTTTCTTTATAATTTCATGTATTTTGTTCGTCATTATTATCATTCATAATTTAAGATGTAAATGTCGTAAGGATGGAGAAAAGTTTTGAATTAATGCTACCCTGAATACTTAAGCGCGCCCTACGTGTAATAGGGATACAAGAATTATAAAAAAATAATGACCGCAACAGTTCGTGGAATTGCATATATTTGAAAAGTTTTATTGTAATTGGTTATCGGAAAGTGCGTGAAACCAGATTCAGAGCCTAGTTTGCTTTACTCTTAGAGGTGGAATATTTCCTTCAAATTTAAATGGGACCAAAACTAAGGTACTCTTTTTCCAACAGAACAAGAGTCATCGAAATCGGTAACCATCGAGTTATCGCGGAACATGCATACGAAAAAAAATGTAATTAAATTAAAAACCTCCTCCTTTTTTTCAAGTCGGTTAAAAAGTATAGACAATTTTTGGCATCGAGTACCTACTTTCTTTTTGATACCGATACAATTGTACTCGATATTTTTCTTTTGACAAGTACCGTACAGTTTCGTAGGAATAACTCTAAGGCATAAGATTTCAATTAAAGACAGTTGTACAATAAATGACAATTGACAGACATAACTCATCATGTCACGCTTGGGCAACTTTCGCAACAATATTAAATTTAATCTAATAAATATCGTTGATTTATTATTATGCGCTTTATTCTGTGTTTGAGTGGGGAAAATATGTAGGACAAAAGTATAGATACTTTTATGAGTACTATAATTTTTATTCGATACTAGTTATTAATACAGTATTCGATACCGCATCCCTACATGTGATGTGCCTTAGCCTTAGATCACTCTACAGTTTATTTCACAATCCATTCATTCACCATCAATTTTTTAAACCAAATGATATACCCATTTTCTCCGCCTCTTGTGCGTCAATAAAGTTGCCAGTGAGCACGATCTCCATAGCTTTAGACTTGCCGACGTAGCGTGGCAGGCGCTGGGTGCCGCCGGCGCCGGGGATCGTGCCGATGTTGATCTCTGGTTGACCGAACTTGGCCTTCTCGCCTGCGTAGATTATATCACACAGCATGGCTAGCTCGCAACCACCACCTAGCTGTAGAATAAGATGATTGGTTACTTCATGATATTGACGATTAGTCGGTATGTTCGTGGTGAAGGAGCTTGTCGAAGCTACAAACTTTCTTATTTAATATTATAAAATACAAATTATGTGAATATTTAGTAACTATCCCTCAATTACTGTAATACTGTCATACTGGACCCATAAATGTACTTAAACTGATTGTAACATCCATTCTATTTACGGAGAGCAATAAAATTATTGAGTATTGAGTGTTGTTTTGGTACTCACAGTAGTGGAAATCTAGCCGATTGTGTGGAACTGCTCTATAATAATAACGCACACACTCAACATAGCATTATAATGAAATGCTTCATTTCATTATAATCTATAAGGTAGCGTTACAAACAAAATCAAACATATTCAATGTCAATGTCAGATTGAAAGTTTGGAAGCCTCTCCTGTAAAAATTGTGATTCTGCGTTTTGGCCCTTATACATAGGACCCTTCGATATAATCTCTGCTCTATAGAATCTGTATATAAAATAGTTGATTACTGATTATAAAAATATCGAGTAGTAGGTTTATTCGCTAAATAAATGACTCTAGCTATTATTATTAGAGCGAGTAAGGGCGCGTTCCCATTATGTTGGACGACTGTCGCGTCTAGCCTGTTCCCATATTACGACTATCAGTCGTGACTGTGTCGTGGACGTTTGTTATATCGTTGAACGACTGTCGTGTCTAGCTGTTCCCAGTAGATCGTGACGACAATTTATCGGTTCACGGCAGCCGGCTTGTCACTTGTGACAGAATCGTTTGAAGCTGCGATTATCTGTAGTCACATTTTTAGGAAGTTTTATTTATCATCGGACGACTGTCGTTCTAGCTATTCTTATTGTCACGACAGACTGTCGTCGTAACATTAAAAAAGTCGTGAACGACAGTTAATAGTGTTGTATTATACGTGAACAACTTCATTTAAATATACAAGCCATGATACTTTAAACTGCACGACGACATAATGGGAACGCGCCCGGAAAACAATGAAGTTGTAAGTGTCACTTTTTCGGCGGGAAAAAAGAAGTTTGACAGGTCGCCGGTTGTGATGTGCACTTACTGATGGCACTTAAAAACCCATTGGCTCTAAATTTTACTAATTTGACATTATTATTCACCGCCGGTTTAATGAACTGATAACAAAGAATGAATAGACCAATTACAAAATATTGCTATATAATATAAATATTCCACAATCAGTGACGAGGGAGTTTCCGTCAACGTATCCCTTTACGGTTATTATACTCCGACTCTCCGATTATAAAAGAATATAAATTATCAATTAAATATATTTTGAGTCCTATAATGTACATTATAGGACGCATGCAAGCTTTGCAATATCGGTATTTTCAGGAACCGGTACAACTAAGCTTGCTGCAATACCGGTGCTTCCATGCTATAATACGGTACCAATTATTCCTGTATTTCCATGAACTGGTACCACTAACCTTACTACAGTACCTGTATATTCAACAAATGGTTTCACTGACCTTATGATATCGATATCAATCATACAGTATTATATAGGTTATCGTAAGAACTGTATACTAGTACACACATCAAAAAAAGTTTGCGATCAATAGCATAAACTCCTATAATTCTTTAAATTTAACTTTATCAAGAAAAAATCTATGTTGTATGCTTTCTTTAAATAGGAATACCCTGTTTGAAATTAAAATATAAAACTATTTTTTATTATTTATTTTAAAAAATTGAGCCATTAATCGTAATGTAATAGTGATAGAAATTTCATAGAAAGAAAAAGACTGTTTAATTAAACTTAAACAACAATTTATTATTAAAAGGTGTGAATTCAATATAAAATAACTCCTCCCCTGGCTCGAATACATGCGAAGATCCTCCTGGGCATGCTGAGGATCAAGTTATCCAGCATTTCCTGGGGTAACCTATCCCATTCTTCAATAGCGGCTTCCCTGAGCTCTGGAACTGTCTGGGGACGTGGCTCACCGTTCCATACTGCTCGTTTAAGAGCATCCCACGCATGCTCTATTGGGTTTAAGTCGGGCGAGCCGGCAGGCCAGTCTAATCGTGTGATATCGTATTCTTGAAGAGCAGCATTGACTCGTTGAGCTCGATGTGCGGGCGCATTATCATCGACCAGTACAAATTGGTGCCCATGGTTTACTCGGAATGGTCTGACGATATCATCAATAGCAACTGCTTTGTACATGTCTGCTGTCATGAAGCCCCGATACGGGATCAAAGGCGTTCTAGCTCCAATCATAATGCCACCCGAAAAGGACACCGATTTTCCGCCTTGCTGAACTGTTCCAGTGGCAGATCTTTGTCTTTCACGGTCGCCTGGTCTTCTCCAGACACGGACACGTCGGTTATCTGGATGAGTGCTGATTCGGGATTCGTCAACGAAGAGACAGTTTTGCCAAATGTTTTCGTCCTCACCTTCTTCATTTTGCCGAAGTCTAGCCCACTGCAATCTTCGTTGTTGACGTTGCCGGGAATTGAGCGGAGCTCGCCAAGACCTCCGTGCTCGTAATCCAGCCTGGTGCAAGCAATTGCGAACGGTCTGCGTGCTAACTTCAAGCCCAGAGGCGGCCCCGACTTCTGCTTTTATTTTAGTGGCGTTGATTGTTGGATCACGGGCTGCCAGCAATCTAATATAGCGCTTTTGGGCAGCTGTCAAAACAGTTGGGCGACCGCTGCGGGGTCGGTCAGCTAAATTCCCCATTCCGTGATACCTCTGCAACGTTGCCACGACACAGGATTGGGATATAGCAAGTCTGCGTGCTATTACTCTCGTGGTGTATCCTTCTTCCCTCAAAGTTACTATTCTAGCTCGTAAAACCTCTGATAATCCTCTTGGCATTTTTTCAATCACAACTTTCCGCGAAAAATATCTTGAATCGCTTATAATTGACTAAATCAGATTTCTGAATGAGCGTAAGCTAGGACTGAAAGCCTTTTTATATTAAAAAACAATTGAACGGGGTCATTGTTTTATGTTCTAATTTATTTTTAAATAAAGAATCTAAAAAGAAGAAAAAATCATAATATAATCTACAGTAACAAAAAAGATTCCAGTTTTTCGAAGTGATCGCAAACTTTTTTTGATGTGTGTATATTATTCTGGTACTTATTAAACTATTTAATAATAATAAATGTATTATTTTTCTGTTTTATATTCAATTAAGTATTTAAATGTAATTAAATAATCAACATGATTTGCGCCCGCAACGGAACGTAGCAAACTGTTGTTTGAACCTTCTTTCTCAAGTGGCCATTGTCCGTTCATGAACTGTTGTTTTGGTGAACTTACAGCGAAGCCATTAACAGCTGCGATGATAGGCTTGCCGCAGTTAGAGACGTCCTCCCACTCCTGCAGGAAGCCGTTTCTTTGGTTAGAACTGTATGAGTTGTTTTGCATTTCTTTGATGTCCGCACCAGCTGCGAACGCCTTTTCATTTCCTGTAATATTTGTACAAGAATTATGGATTTCTAGTAGCAGTGTTGCTTATGTAAACAAGTGAGTCCCGCTCTCAAACCAGAGAATTCACTGATCTATTGAATTCACAGAAGTGGACACAACAATTCCAATTTGATCTTTTTTAATATACCAAGCGACGGGACGAACAAGCGCTTCGTGGTAAGCGATACGCCTGTCCATAACAGTTGCACTGCCACTCAGAGCTTTAAATCACAAATATCTTTAGGGTACTGCTACTGCGCCCGTCACCCTGAGACAGAAGTTGACAAGTCCCAAGTGCTAGTAATTTCACCACCACCCTTCAAGACCTAAACGTAGTGCGGCAGAAATAGGTAAAATGACAGTATTTCCCTAAGTTTTTTTTCTTTATTTTAATAATTGTTCAAAGCGCGAAGCGATGCATTAGTGGTAGTTGGAAAAACTTATTTTTTTATTTTAAGTTTATAAAATACTGTTTGATGTACAGTCAATTCGGTTAACTTTGAACATTTTTTGCGTTTTTCTAATAATTTCAAATTTAATTGTTTCTTAACAATTACTTTATTAACTGAATAGTGTTCTTTTAAGCCCTTTTTTCGTTCTTATAGAAGGAATTTAGTAATTATTCAACAAAACTGTTCTAGATTTGCTCCAAAAGTCACATTCAAAGTTGCCTTGAATTTTGGGTAACTTTGAATAAGATTAGCCTTCGATATGGAAACCGTATATTTTCTAGATATTTTACAGTTTGTGTAAGATTATACGACATATTCATATTTTTTAGATGTGAATCTGTCCAAATATTCCTGACAGTGCGTTCAAAAACAACATTTGACTTGGTATTGCCATAATAAAACGAGACGAACTAATTTAGTTGAAATGAAAAACTTGTTTTTTTTTTAGATTTTTTAATTAATGCGAATAAAAATGAAAATTTTCTGTTTAATAATAAATTCTACGCTTATTTAGCTATCAAACGAGATCAAAATGAATCACCTATAACAATTATTTTAGGCAAAGTAAATACATAACAAAAATCTATTCACCCCATTCCTTGAATAAAATGTCGTCATCAATATAAATACGGCCGCCTTTTCTAGATAGCTGTTGCTCTTTTATAATATTCACAATATCGGCTTTATTAACTTGACATGTCTCAACGTTAGAGGGCCAAGACCAACCTCCTAAAAAGCATTTTTGGAGCACTGAGACAGTAATTTCCAAAGGAGTAACTTTTAGAACTCTCCTTGGAAACAGACTACCTTCTTCTCTAAAAACACAGTCAAACACGTTCTACCCAAATTTCTCTGTTTGGTAACATCGTCAAAATCTAATTCGTTTTACGCGTAAATACAAAACCAAATTAAATTATTCTTTAAAAAAGCGATATATAAACCTCTATTTAAGTGTGGAAACCAAAACTTACCAGTCAATAATCAGATTTATATATTTAATTCCGATTCTAAAACTGAGCAACAAATCACACCAAACTACTTTCGCCAAGAAAAAACCCCGAAAGTTTAAAAAAATACAATTTAACATTACTTTTTTCTTTCATAACTTTCGTTTAACAATTTTGTTCCGATTTACACAGTTTCAATACTAAAAATAAAAGATCGCCATACATAAAATAAATTTTTAAATCTTTTACGCAACTTCGTTCCTTCGCGTTTGGATACCACTTTCCACTTAACATCAGGTGGAGTGGAGTCATTTGCCTGTCAAGTATAAAAAAAAAAAAAAAAAACTACGTTCAAAGTTACACCACGATTCAAAGTTACCCGAATTGACTGTAATGTAATTAATTGTATTTAAATTTTTATTGAATGTCAGACTGTTTCACCACCGTAATATTAATTTTTTTTTTTGTGAAATTACACCAATAGTTTTTTATAATTATTAATAATTGTAATTTTATTGTTAATATATATGAATAAATAAAAAAATAAATAAACCTACCGGGTTCGACCTACCGCCTCTCAAGCAAAAGTCGTGGATCGAATCCGTGCTCCCAATTCTGAGGTTCCAGGAACTTATGTCCTTTGTTGCCCATGGTGAAACAAAAATAAAACAAAGGGTTTTCCTTTTTTTTTTCACCATTTCATCGTGATGAAACCTGCACGTCGAAGAAAGTTCACAACCCTCGGAAAACGTGTGTAGTCCCCAACCCGCATTGAGCCAGAGTGGCGGACTACAGCCTAAACCCTCGCCTGAGAGACCCTTGCCCAGCAGTGAGACGTATAAATGGGTTGATGATACTTCCCCGGACGAATAAGGAGCTCTACTGCTACAAAGTCGAATTTTGTTTAAAATTTTACTCACCAGTAATAACGATGGCCGCAATGCTGTCGTCGGCATCGTAGTCTTTGACGGCTTTGCCAACCTCGATGAATAGCGCCTTGCACAGGGCATTCAGGGCCTTGGGCCTGTTCAATTGGATCAGGCCAACATTCTTCTTTGCACCCACTGTTTCGATTTTAATGTTCTCGTACGTTGGTGCTGTTAAAATAACGGAATAACAATAGTAAAATGAAATGAAAAAATAATAGCTGCTGTAACATCCCAACTTTGACGACCTCCAAGGTCGAGTGGCTTGCATACCGGTTTTCATGGTGCCACCATCTCTGAGGTCCCGGGTTCGATCTACAGCCGGGTCAATGTAGAAATCAGATAATTCTATCGATTTGCGGGTGTTGGTAGGTACCGTTGGTATTTCCGATTAACACAAGTGCAATAGTTACTTTGGGGTCAGAGCAACGTACGCGATGCAGTTTAACCGCATGTTTGCAGTTAACGAGTGAAGTCGTAATTAACTTATATGCAGTCGAGTTGATCACGCATTAACTGCATGCGATTTCGGCTGCATGCAGTAAATGCGTGAAGTCGTTATCATGCAGTCGAGGTGTCGGATAACATGCATTAACTGCATGCAGTCAAAACCGACTTCATTATTTGGCGTTTAGTATAATTCCACAGTATTACATTATTTGTGGTAATAGTAGTGATCCGTAATTTTTTTCGGTACATTATTATCTAGCCTAATATTTATTTATGGTAAGTCTATATTTCTTTATTCAATATTACGTGCCTGTACAACAAATAAAAGAATTGTATGTACATAAATAACGAGTTTATTGTTCTTTAGTCCATAACGTATTGTTGTTGTGGTCTATTTATTACAGCTGCAAATCAGGTAGTTGCTAGGGTATCAAGAGGTGATTGTTCTTTATTATATTTAATAAAGAAATGGAATAATTTGTGTATTAAACAATTATGGATTCACAAATTAGGACAAATAATCAACAATTATGTATTATCAGTTGTGAATTCTGTTTATCGTTTAAATTATATCAAAATTTATCACAATGTATTTAAAAAGTTATGCAAGCCTCAAAACATGTGACAACGTAATCTAGTAAGTGATAACATAATTTATGAAAATAGAATGTATATTTGTATGTTATTATATGTATTTTCGTTTGGTTTTTTAATAGGTTCAAAAACCTGGATACAATTCCAAAAGTAAGTACGAGTAGGTTCTAGTACACGTCACTGGACAGGAATGGCATCAGAATGCTGACTAGAACCTTAACAGGATATTGTGGCTTGAATAAGCACATGTCAAATATTGGGCAGAGAGATAATTGAGAGTGTAGATTCTGCCACGAGGCGGATGAAACTCCTGTGCATCTCCTCACCCAGTGCTGCCCTCTGATGGGCGTGAGAAGTTCCATACTGGGTAGGTACAGGCCACACCCACAGTACATAAAGACTGTTGGAGCCAGGAAAGTCCTTCAGTTCCTTAATTCTGTTGGTCTTGGTTATGAGCTGTGATTAGTGGTGATCACAATAGATCATTTATGGTCGCAGTGATGAGAGGCCTCATAGGCCCCAAATGAAGCCACCCTACTAATAAGAATAAGAAGAAAGTACTTCATCAAAATTATGATATAGTTAGATACTTTGTTGTTAAATAATTCGTTCTAGATGTTTATTTAAGCCTGTTTTCAGGATTTTATATGATCGGGTAATGTACATCCTATCGTGTAACAAATTAGCACATTCTTGAGACAAAGGCGTATCGTGATTTTTGTAAGACCGTTATTTAATAATAAATACCTAAGTTTCTCCTCCGATGAACGGCTTAAGACCTGGCAACCTATGGCTCAACCCACACTGGCGCAGAGTCGAAGCGTCGCGTCCTGTTTTTCAATTACAATGCTTGGCGACGCGCGACGACTCTCGCATTAGTGCGCCTGTATCACAGTGTGGTCGGAGTCTGACGTAGACGTGCGCAAAACAGTACCTCGAAAAGTAATGTGATATCACATCACCTTTCCGTAAAAGTAATATTACTCTGTGATATTACTATTACCCACAACATCACACAGTGTAACACACACAACCAAAAAAAAAAAAAAACCGACTAATTGACAACCTCCTCCTTTTTTTGAAGTCGGTTAAAAAAGCGATGCGTTTTAAAACAACCTATAAAACGCATTTCTAGAACATAAACTTGCATTATAAACAAGATCTACTTACATATTACTAGAGAGAATCAAACAAAAATTACGAAATATTACGAACCGTCTGGCAACCCACACTCACCCTGGTTAAATTTTACATTATAAATTGCCACGTAATCAAGCAATGATTAACAAGTTATGCAATTTCATTTTAAATGTCTACTGTTTAATTCGTTTACACCATCTAGTAAGTTGTAAAATAACAAATGCACTCCAAAAATCAGACGTTAATTATAAGTTGTTACATAACCTCACTTTTACTAAATCTCTTATAGCTCTGCTTTCAGTTCAATTCGCAGAATTTTCAGTGATGGTACATCAATACCTACGCAATTAACTGATACTACCTTCATGTTTTTACATCTTGGATTGATTGTATGAAAGCGTATCCATCTCCTTCTAGATTACCAAGAAAGATCGAAATATATTTAACCAAGCACAAGCACTGATTAACAAATTATGCAATTTCATTTTAAATTGTCTACGGTTCCATCCTTTTACACCATTTAGTAAATTATGAAATAATTGGGGTATTAATACAAACATCGTTCTACTGCAATATTCCAAATTAGATGCATTTACATTGCATTTCGCATAATAGTATTAAACAAACATCACTCCGTGATGTTCTAAGCATCACGCGTAATATAAGCATCACGTGTACTGTTTCAGGTAATATCACGCGGGTAATGTTTCGGGTAATGCATCACGCGCGTACTGTTTCCGAGCGATGCATCACGCGGGTAATGTGTAATGCTAACATCACTCCGTGATGCTAACATCACGCGTAATGCTAACATCACGCGTAATGCTAACATCACGCGTAATGAGAACATCACGCGTGATGTTAGCATTACATTGCATCATAGCATCACAGTATTGCATCACGCCGAGTACTGTTTCGCGTAATGAGTGTTAGTAGCGACACCTGGCAGCAGCGCTACGTAACCCTACGGCACGGTTAGCAATGTCCGATCAAGTAGTACGTCGAAAATTTGCTGGGTGGCGCTATTAATATAGATATTTACTATATTTAGTTCATTTTGGGAAACTCCCAGAGCACCCCGACATGGTCTATGTAATGGGTAATGTTATGAGTAATGCATATTTTTCCGAAGTGATGCGTGATATAACAGTACCCTGTCGCGTGATATTACCTTTGTAATATTACTCACATTACTTACACATGTCTAGTCTGACGCCACACTGCGCTCAAGTGACGCGGGTCGACGCCCGTTTTTTTTTAATTGCATAACACAAATTTTTACCTTAATAATGGGAAAATGGAGATGAATATACTACAGGCGAAAAACAAGACGCGTCGCGACGCTTCGACGCTGCGCCAGTGTGAGTTGAGCCTAAATGCTGATGTAATATAATGATTTATATAGTTTAAATGAAAACATCAGAGAAAGTGTTTTTCAGCAAACACATTTATTTGTTACATTTGTACCTTTCAAAATCTGAATTGCAACAGTAAGGTATTCAATATAAACACAACTTCAAAACCTTAATACTATCCTTTGGAATTTGCCACCTAAATAAATATAAGATATGAAATGTAACATAATAATAAAGTGTTCTTTGTTGTGTGTGTTCCCACACACACAAAGTCATGGACAAAAACGAGTAAATGATATGATAACAATTCAGGTGTGTGCCAGTTGAAGCTAGGCAGTTTTGATTGATACCAATAACATGTAGCAACAGGGCAAAGAATGATCTCTATTCCACACAGTGTAAGATTTAAATTCAATTGTGTAATAGTCTGGTTATCTTGGAAGGTGGCCTTGGAGAGTTTATTAAAGGATCAAGTGATATTTTCACATTTTAAACTTAGTTTTAACAAGTCAGTCAACTTTTATCAAATAAATGTTGACTGACAATTACAGAAGAGCATGTTACACATTTATTCTGAATTTCCAAAAGAAATATAAGGCCTGTAATATTTGCATTCCATTTAATTTTCTTTTTCATGACCTTGGATTCAAGTCGTGAATATCAAACAATAATAGTAAAACTTAGTAATAGAACAAAATAAATTAAATATTTTCAATAGCATTGACAATTAATTTAAATACAAGAATGAAATAATCTGCATTCATTCAATAACAGATCTCAGGAACTATTTTGAATATAGTTGCTTAGCTCATGGATTCAAGAAGCATGTTTTTTAATTTATTCATGACTTTGGAATCAATGTAAATGTCGCCAGTAGAAGAAATATGTTTTTTAAAATTGCAACAGTATAAAATAGTCTAAGGACGGACGGCTTTGTACTGCACAAGTATAATATAGCCCTAGGATAAGGAAGTCTTGAACCACTATGAATGGAGATTCAAAATTTTGGTTATGAAAAAAATTTAATTTCTTTTTATTTTGGCTCACTTTTTATACTTTCAGTAAATATTTAATACCTGTCTGGCATGCAACAGCCCAAGTAAACATATTCAATGTTTAAGCTATGGATTTGAAGACAACACGTGGAGTGTGCTGCTTTCCTTTCATAATTAAAGTATACTGTAACATATACTGTACATATACAAAAGAATATTATTACAAAGACAATGTGACTCTGTGAAATATTGGTGTAATTAGTGTATAATAATATGTACAGACACCAGCACATCAAGCTACACATTGACAAATCTTATTCTGTTGCACTGGAGGCGATAATTGAAATATGTATAGTTTGATGTGCTATGATTGTACTATGAATGAATTTAAATCAAGGTCATTCTGGTTACAATTTTCGACAAGCAAACGGTGCATTTAGAATACAGACTGATTAATTATACTGGCTTGAACTTTGATCTTCATATATTTAGCTAAATATAAAAATGTTTCACCAAAAATGTTTCAATAAAAAACATTATAAGGCAAAAAGTTCGAAATTTAAAAATTGTACAAAGTTTGGATAAGTTTGGTTGTACACAAAAATACATAAATACAGTAGTTAATGTAGACTTCGGACACGTACTAGCTACTGTGCATTAGTATTTAAAACCGCCGTGGTAAGCAAAAAAGTTCAAGTGAACAAATAAATGATATCTTCAACTATTCGACGGTAAATGAGTATGGAAGTCTGTACCAACCTGCGCTGTAGAACTTCACAAAACCGGTATTGGGAAGAACAGCTACACGCCCGCTGTTAAGCAGGTTTTTTCCGAGCAAAATGCGGGTTACAGCAGCGACTGAAGCCATTTTTAGCAATAAGACTAATTAGCCGTCTCCCTGAATCAGAAATGAAATAAAAAAGCACAGCTAGTAACTAAAAACCCGGCAAAAATAACTTGCGTGAACTTTGATACCGTATTGATAAAAGTTGATAAGAAAATAAGACTTACTACGTGACAAAATTTGATGTGGACTTGTATTAATTGGACTGCAAGTGAAAAAGTGTATTCTTAATTTGACTGTGTTATACCTCACCTGACATTTCATTATTACGTTTTGTTGATTGATGCTTAAAATTGAAAGAATATTTTGTGTTTATTTTATCACTAATAATTAATTACTAAGGTTCCAAATTTATAATATTTACTCAAGTTAAATTGTGCTCGTATACTTTAATCATGTAGGACTTTTTGTTATAACACTTGATCTGCATAGGAACTAAACGTGATTGGCAGTTGGCAATGGCAGTCAAAGTCAAACTCGTTCGCTCGAGGAATTATCAAAACAGCTGTGTACGTAAATAAACAAACTATAGTTATCGGAAAATAGTATTTTTTATTTAATTTGTGAAGCTAAAATACGTTTCAAGTCGTCCACAAGTTCACCTAAGGATTATGGCTAGCAATAAGCTTAAATATTTCATCCTCACTGGAGAACCGGGTTAGATATTACGTTTTGAAAATTAGCTTTTATTATGTTATTTTGCGCAATATATTGTCCAATTCAAATTTTATTTCGTCATTCCAGGTGTAGGAAAGACAACTCTGACTAAAAAATTAATTGGTGTTTTGAATGAGAAAGGCGTAAAAACATCAGGATTCTATACTGAAGAAGTTAGGAAAAACCGGGTGCGGGAAGGGTTCGATGTTGTTGATTTAAACGGGAAAAGAGGTAGACTGGCAAGAGACCAAAGCCTTTTATCAGGTCCTATAAAGTATAAAGTTGGAAAGTATGTTGTTTTAATTCAGGAATTTGAAAAAATTGCACTTCCTTCCCTATATAAGGTATAGTAAGTTTAAACGTTTAAATAAGTTTGTGAAATTACAGGCACATGAGACTTGACAACTTATGTCTCAGGGTGACAGACGCAGTGGCAGTGCTCCTTCGGATTTTTGCGATTTAAAGCTCTGAGTGACACTGCAAGTGCTTTGGATAGACATGTGGCTTACCACCAGGCGCGAGCCTTGTTCAACCCGTCCCTTGATATTATAAAAAAGTACCTATCTAAATGTATTTTGAAGAACTATCACCAACTTAGTGTTTGTGATGTTCGACATAGCTAAATTTGTTTTGCCAAACTAACAGAGACTTATATTTTGAAAATTTTTAATACTTCTCTGCTGTATATGTCTGTGGCTGTATCTAATAAGCATATGTCCGAAAAAGGTGTTCCAAATATATAGATTAATGATTAATGTATAGGTATAGATATAGCTACAAGGAGTGACATAATAAATCTCCTCTTCCCCCCGGACCGCCGCAAGGTGTAGACGTTTTACTGCTCTGTTGCCATTTTAATCCAAAAAAGTTTAAATTTAAATTTGTAAATTAAATCCGAAGTGAAATTAGGGATTCATAAGTGTCTAGGAGTTACGTGACCAGTTCTCACTTGGATCGATGTGTGCGTAGTGCTTTCAATAGTAAATTGTGATAGTGTGCAAATTTGCGCAGCCGCAGGTGGATTTACTCCTACTAGTGCAACATATCGAACTTGTTACCCGCCCTTAACGCTACCGACTCCTCCCTCAACTGTGACGTCGATCAATTAAGTTGTGTGGGCGGTGCCTTCTTAAGACTGTCTCCACCTATGTGCAAGCGCTTACGCAGCTTGTAATACAAAGTGCTTACGCAGCTTGTAACAAATTGTTGATTGCTTCTATATTCCTAGTACAATATGGAAGAAAATCGCAACTCAACCGTATCTGACTTTGACATGTCGATTTGTATATCGGAAGGAGACAAAAATTCATCTCCTACTGGTCATGGAATCCTCCGCCAGCAATGTGATCAGCAAACACAACTGGATGAGCTATACTTTGATGACAAGACGACACCTCCGAACTTTGTAACTTTGCGCCAACAAAATAAGGATACACAACCGAATGACTTACTGAGGGACCAATTAAATGATTTTAAGGAGGAGATGAGAAGATTAATGACATTTTTTACAAATACTCAAAAAAGTGAACTCGCCGATATGAACTCCACTATGAAAGAAGTACAAAAATCGAATATTAACATTGAGAACTCAATTGAGTTCCTAGCCTCGCAAAATCAAGAATTGAAAAGCCGTATTACGGTGCTAGAAAATAATGCTAAGGACGACAGGCAGTATATTTCGTATTTGGAAAATAAAGTGGAGGACCTTCAACTGGGTAGCCGCAAAGCTAACTTCGAGATAAAAAATGTCCCTAAAAAAGAAAATGAGAATAAAGATGATTTAATTGAAATGATTGCTTGCCTATCAAAAACGGTTAACTGCGAAATTAAGAAAACGGACATCAGGGATATTTACAGAGTACGTGGAAAGCCTGAACAAAGGAATACACCAATAATTATTGAAACTAACTCGGCTTTACTGAAAGCTGACTTCCTGAGAATGACTAAGATCTTTAACGTGAAAAATAAAAATAAGATATGTGCCAAGCATTTGGGAATCAAGACTCAAGAGGACACTCCAGTTTATGTATCCGAGCACCTAACTGCCCATGCTTCACGTCTGTTTTTTCTGGCTCGAGACCTCAAAAAGACTAAAGGATACAAATTTTGCTGGACTAGTTACGGTAAGGTGTACGTTAGAAAATCTGAGCAATCACCAGTAATCGTAATTAGAAGCGAAGATCAAGTACACCAACTTATATCGCAATCCTGACTATCTGCTAGATTTCTATATTTTATCTCTCTATTCAATTGTTTGCTCATACAGTCATTTGTAAACTTATACCACATCAACTCACGAACAAATCCCCACATTCTCTCATTATCATTCTTACTTTACTCTCGTCTCTCTCATACTCACACAAACACATTACTTAAAAATACATTACACCTCTACATCCTCGACCTACAGACTGATACATTAATCTTTTTCCTTTGTACGATTAAAATTAATAATAACCCTAATCTACTGCTTTGCCCCTTCTCTTTTGACGTTCTAATTCTTCAGCTAGATAGATATGAATGATACTTTACTAACAATAAATGACATTGATAGCTTAGAGATCGCACACTCTTTGGAATGTGATATTACGGCGCTTAATAAATATTTAAATGTAAAGAAATGTGACTTTACTGTGATCTCTCAAAACATTAGAAGTATCTATTGCAACTTTGACGACTTTTTACTTAATATTTCCCGACTCAGTTTTAACACGGATGTTATAATATTAACTGAATGTAGGATTAACTTGAACAAACAGCTACCATTGTTACCTAATTATTACTCTTATTTCACGACATGTCAGCGTAACCAAAACGACGGGGTGGTTATTTATGTAAAGAATACATTGAAGCATAAAACTACTGAAATTAATTTAGAACAGGCATCTTGTTTACAGCTTGAAATTTTGAACTGCATAGTTTTAGGTATATACAGATCCCCAGCAAATAACAATGCGGAATGTTTTATTAACTCACTAAGCACTCACCTTGAAAGTTTAAACACAAGTAGCGGAAGTATTATAATAGCGGGTGATATAAATATTAACATAACTCCTAAACATGAAGTACCACCATATGAGCAAAGAAATATGTTGTGCTATTTAAATATGTTGTCTATGCATGGTATACTATCAGGCCACACTATACCAACTCGTGGTAAAAATTGTCTGGACCATATCATGTTAAGGATAAACACTAAAATGCTTAGAGCAACAGTGGCTGTATTGAACACTACTACCACTGACCATTATACAACGCTTTTATCACTTTCTAAAATTAAAAATAGTTACACTGTGAAAAAAACTAAAACAACTATAAACTTTGAAGAAGCTTTAAAACAATTAAAAATGAAAATTCTAGCAAGTCCTTTCTATTGTGATGACCCAAATAAGGTCATAAATGACTTGATTCACGCTTTGTCAGAAACATTAAATAATAACACGAAAATCACCAATATACCAAGTAATCACCGCATAATAAAACCATGGATCACACCGGGTGTCCTGCGTTGTATTAGAACCCGAAATAAACTTCAACAAAAATGCCGTAGTAATCCATTTGATGAAGATAATAAACGAATCTACAATAGATACAGAAATTACTGTAATAATCTTATAAAGAAGCTAAAAAGAAACTACGAAAAAGAAATACTAAAAAATTCAGTCAAAAATAATAAACTATTATGGAAAAATATTAAAAATATTACGTATACTAGTAACAATAAATCCACCAACACAGAACTGACGAATTTGAAATTGACTCCCTCTGCCTCTGCGGATTATGTAAATAAGTTTTTTGTTAATATTGGCAAGCAACTTGCTCAGCAAATACAAACACCGAATGATGAACTGAAAACTTATCTAAAAAACTTACCAACACAAATCAACTCCTTCGTTCTCCTGCATACTGACGAACATGAAGTAAACAGTATAATTAGGAACCTAAAATCGAGTAGTGCGCCAGGCTGGGACAATATCCCTACAGCATTTTTAAAATCTGCAAATTCCGTAGTTGTTCCCATTATTACCTATGCTGCAAACCTCTGTTTTGATAAAGGAATTTTTCCGACACTTCTTAAGTTGTCAACTATAACTCCTGTGTATAAGAGTGGAGACAGAGACGATGTCAATAATTACAGGCCTATATCCGTATTATCAGTGATATCTAAAATACTGGAAAAATTACTCAATAAAAGATTACTAGACTATTTAAATAAAAACAATATATTGTCTGTAAACCAATTTGGTTTTCAGCGTGGAAGATCTGCGGAGGATGCAGTAATCTCCTTGAGTTCTCTGGTTACAGAAAAACTTGACAAACGTAAGAAATGTTTGTCAGTATTTTTGGACTTAAAAAAAGCATTTGACACTGTCTCTCTCTCCATACTGGTACACAAATTAGAAAAGATAGGTATAAGAGGTACTCCACTTTGTATATTCATTGATTACTTGACAAATAGGAAGCAAACAGTGAAATTAGATAACCACATCAGTAGGTGCGAAGAGGTTTTGTATGGCGTACCCCAAGGTAGCGTTCTTGGTCCTACGCTTTTTCTTATATATATAAATGACCTATGTGATTTACAGATCAAGAACGCTAATATTTTCTCTTATGCTGATGATACAGCCATTGTATTCACTGATAATTCTTGGGATACTCTTAAGTCTAGTGCAGAACGGGGACTGGAGCGTGTAAACAGATGGTTAATTAACAATTCTCTTACCTTAAATACTAATAAAACAAACTACATCTGTTTTAGTATAAATAATGATACTCAGCCTAAAAATAATTTTCACTTAAAGATTCATAATTGCAAAACCACAGGTAACACCAGTAACTGCACATGCCCTTCTATCATTAAAGTTGCACAATCAAAATATTTGGGTGTTCTTGTGGACCAGCGACTCTCGTGGTATCCACACCTCGAACATGTCATTAAAAGAGTAAGAAAACTTAATTGGATTTTTAAAACACTAAGATATGTAGTGCCAGGACCAGTCGCTGGTCCGCGAGGCTCATCGTCTAGGGATATACTTAAGGAAATTTACGTGAGTTTGGTTCAATCTGTACTGATTTATTGTATTCCTGTATGGGGTGGAGCTGCTAAAACTCGTTTTCTCGAGTTGGAACGTGCGCAACGCAATTTGCTTAAAATAATGTATTTTAAAAAAAGACGATTTGCCACTAGCAATTTGTATCAACTATCAAATTTAGCCACTGTAAGGAAACTCTACATCACTCAAACTGTACTCAGACAACATAGGTCTCTAAAATATGATCTAAATATTTCGAAGAGAAGAAGGAAAGACATTGTGGCACAAGTACCAAAAGTAAATACAACATTTGCAAACAGACAATTCAGCAAACGATCGGCCCATTTGTACAATTTAATTAATAAGGAATTAGAAATATACGCCAAAAGTTATAGAGACTGCAAAAAAGTTACATCAAAATGGCTACAGTCGAAATCGTATGAGGAAACCGAAGATCTATTAGAACAGTTGCTTTAAAAACACTACTTTCCTAATCTATGGCAACAGGTTAACACACATACACACAGACACCCCCCCACACACACACATACATACACACACTCACACTCACTCACTCACACATACATACATACACACACTCGCACATACATACATACACACACTCACACTCACACAGACACACACACACACACACACACACACACACACACACACACACACACACACACACACACACACACGCACACACACATAATTTTTCATATACAAATGCACACACATACGTTTTAAGATTCATATTAAATTTAAAATTAGAAGTTAAGAAAATTGAAAATTGTTAAAAAAAAAAAAATTGTTTGTTTTGTTTTTGTCGATGTTTGGAAATGTAAAAATTAAACACTACATTAAGTATAAGTTAAAAATGTTAAATATGTATTTATAGCTATGGAAGAGCGGTGCCTTCTGACACAGGCTTGATAAGCTTAATAGGAGGTACCATCCACTGTTAATGTAAAGTTAATTGTATTACTGAAATAAACATTTATTATTATTATTATTATTATTATTATTAATAAAGTTGTTAAAACCACCAAATATTAATTAATTACTTTTTCGATTTCCCGAAAGGGTTATACTGTATCATAAGACAAAACTACTGACCTAGGAAGTCAAAGTTAGATTTTAAAGAAATTTTAATGGTGCCATGTAAAAAAATGCAGTAGATAAGTGACCTTATACCAAAGCAGAGAATAAAAAAGTAGAGAGAGTGACCACTCTCCGCCCCTCCTTAGCTTTAAATACCGCACCGAGCCCCGCATATTGCCGATCATTGCAACCTGGCTGTCAGTTATCTTCTGCTTTTTTTACAAGACACTTAGAATTACTTTCCAATCCAACTTCGACTTCCTAGGTCAGTACGACAGCTTAGGGGCACTGTTACTTTGAGACATAAATTGACAAGTTTCTTGCGCCTGTAATTTCACCCTCACCTCACAAACTGGAACGCAGTAATGCGCACATTACCGCTTGGCGGCAAAAATAGTCTGATTACACAAGGTGTCGTAAAACAGCGACACCACTGCCGCTGCGGCGCCGCAGCTGTAGTTGCCTTTGCATTTGTTTACACAATTTCATACACGACCGCGGCGGCGGCATTACTTGAAACTGCGGCGGCAAGCGTTGCTGCAATTGTCTACTCATTTATGATTTCAGGTGATCACGCCGCATGGGCTGCAGTTGCGCCCCTGATACTGAGGTATGATGCTGCAGTTGTACCGAGTATGGTGTATAATCAGCCTTAGGTGGCAATACTTCCCTGGACGAACAGTTTTTAGAAGCACTAGTTCCTTGTGAAAGAGTTCGTCCAGGGTAGTACTGCCACCTTATCTATTTCTGCCGCCATGCAGGTATGTAAGCATTTCTGCGTTCCGGTTTTGAAGGGTAAGGGTACTTGCTAGTGAAATATAGTTACAGGCACATAGGACTTGTCAACTTATGTCCCAGGGCGCAGTGGTAGTGCCCCTCAGATCTATGAGATTTAAGCTCTGAGTGGCACTGCAATTGTTATGGATAGGCGTGCGCTTACACCATTGCACCACGGCACTAGCTGGTTCCGACACTTTGTGTTATAAAAAAACTTTCACAAGGAGCTCTACTACTACTAAATTCTAATATCATATTTAATTCGCTATCAATGTAATTTGATGGTTATCTGTTTTTAACCGACTTAAAAAATGCGGATTTTCAATTCGACTGTATTTTATAAAAGTGTGTTACATTGACGTTTGTGAATTGACTGATGATTTTTTTTTATTGGATTTTTGTTGGGTACCTACCTTAGTTGGTCCCATTTAAACTATATGGCAAACTAGGGGATGAATTCGGTTTCGCGCACTTATCGGTAATCAATTTCAATAAAACAAGAAACTATAAGTACATCTATTTGAGATGTAATTCCACGAACTTTTGAGGTTGGTTTTTTTTTATAATATTGTATTATGTAAGAAATAAATAAATCTCTTCCATTTCATTACTTTCTCCTCTCATATTTTTTTACAGCCAGAAAATCCCTGCGCACATCTTATAGTAATAGATGAAATAGGTAAAATGGAGTTCTTCAGTGACCTTTTCAAGAGCAGAATAAAAGATATTTTCAGCCAAACTTCGGATAATGTTGTATTGGCAACTATACCTTTGAGGAAAGGAGACCTGCTTATCGAGTCCATTAGGAATAACAGCAGAGGTAAAGTTTGGATGGTAAGTTGTTTTATTAATTTATTGAAAGAAAGGCAGCCATTGGCTGATGTGCTTGCATTGGAGTATTCGTTGTGAAACAAAGATCTGAGTGAAGAAAAGGACTTTATGCCATAGAGTTAATTCAATGCCAAGTAATATTTTCTCGTCATTGTCTATACAACAAGACAGAAACTAAAACAAGAATTTAATTTTTTTTTACATAATAAGTACCAAGTGACGGGACGAACAAGTGCTCCTGGTGGCAAGCGACACGCCTATCCATAACAGTTGCAGTGCCACTCGGAGCTTTAAATCGCAAAGATCTTAGGGGCACAGCCACTGCGCTCGTTACCCCGAGGCATAAGTTGACAAGTCTCACTTGCCTGTAATTTCACCAGCACCCTTACCAGCTTACATTATTGCTTGGCGGCAGAAATAGGTAAGGTGGCAGTACTTCCCCGGACGAACTGTTTCACAAAGAGCTCTACTGTTACTGAATAGAATATAATTTATTGCAACCATGGTATACACATTTACAAGTAAATATCACATGGACCCTGGCAGGGTATTTAGCTTAGGCATCTCTATATGTATAGGTATGAGCAAGCTAGGATTCTTCATATTCTCGGAAAATTAAGATGGAAGCAGCCAAAGTGTATCTATTAAAAAACTTCCAGGGCGCAGACGGTAGGCAGTATCTTCCCATGTGCATGTGTGGTCTATAGACCATAATATTATTTAATTCTAAAATTTTTGGTAGTCTTGCCTTTGGCATGGTATCCCTAAATTAATGTTATTATTATATATTAGTTGTTAAAACCACCAAATATTCATTAATTACTTTTTCGAATTAGGGATGCCGGAAATGGTTTTACTACATCGTAGGACAAAACTACTGACCTAGGAAGTCGAAGTTGGATTTTAAAGTAGTTCGAATGGTGCCATGTAAAAAAATGCAGCAGATAATTTACCAAAGCAGAGAATAAAAAAGAGTTGTATTATTCTTGTCCTACGACGCAGTAAAACCATTTTCGGAATTCCTAATTCCAAAAAGTATTTCATTAATATTTAGTGGTTTTAACAACTCTGTGTCGCTCCCTGTAGCTATATCTATACATGTATCTATATATGTGGAACACCCTTTCCGACCGATGGTTATACGCACTGTCAATACAATAATTCTATTAACTCAAAAAGTATATTTTTTCAGAATCTATAAATAACGAATTACTCATTTGCATATTGAATATTGTTAAAACTTATATATAGTTTAAAGTTTATTACAGACGTCTAAACAATTTCCTACTTCCGAAATATTATATTTAAAAATAAAAGGGAAAAATAATTTCATATTTTTTAGTAAGGACAAAACAGTGAGTTAAATAGACATATATTAATTGTTCTTGCAATACTCAAACGACGGTTTTATTGACTTCAAGAGAATCAAATTTTACTAATAATCTTGAATTTCACATATTTTGAGTTACAACACTATTGTAATAGCAGTGCCATATATATCTAGATATACATTTTATGTAGCTTCTTTTTGCAGGTTACTCGTGAAAATAGGAACAACATCCATGAAGAAATATCAAAAGAAATTGAAAAAGCTTTGAATTTGACATAGTTTATTATTACATTTCTGTAATGTTATTTGTTCAGAACGATTGTTGTTTTGTATATTTATAAGTGAAATTAAAAAGCGTGTTTCTGTCTGCATTCTGTGTATTTATAAACTTGATTACAAATTAATTAATATTTGGTAAGTTAATTAATGAAAATGATCATGTATCTACAACAAACTGAGAAAACAAGAAATTATTACCAGATATATACCAAAATAATTCATATCAAAATAATAGTCAACTGTTAACATGATATACAAAAATAGAAAACATTAAATAAGACCGCTAATACATCGGTTCGCTCATTGGTCAGTTAGGGCGCCTTCAAATTAGTAATTTTTAGTTCTCTAATTGTGGCTGCAAAAGAAACGTGTCCGTGACAGTGGCGCTGCAACTGCGCTTCTAAATATTGTATGAAAATCTAATTTGAAGGCACCTTTATCTCATCACTAAATACTGTATCTGCCTAATTCGGTAAGATATAATATGATCTTATTCGGCTGTTAATAAAAAAAAAATTTCTTCACCATTCCTTATATATGAATAAAGAGTTTGAAATGAGTTACAACTTGAAATTTTAAGTACTAAGCCGAATATACAGAATTATAAAAAACCACTGACCATTTTAATTTTAAAGGAGCATACTGTATAATGGAAATAAAAAATACTTTTTTTTTTCAAATACTTAACTAATAAATAAGTTGTGACCTCTCAAGGTTTTCCGAAAAATTGTTAACAATATTGACACACGACGATTAACAGACGCCCTTGATATAGCAACAACAATGGTGTGGGGGCAGTGGGCGGAGTCAGCGCGCTAGTTTATGTATTTGAGAGGAAACTATCGCGCGATGCGTTAGCGCAGGTCTGTCGTCACGCGGCGCGATGTGCTGTCGCCTAGGCGTTTAAACAACTCCGCGCCGATCGCTCAATTTTATTTACTATTTTAAGGTAACCATGCGTTAGAATTTATTGGGAAATATTTACCTCAAAAAATGTTTTTTTTTTGTTTTATTTCACTAACGTGTTCTATTACTGAATGTTATGCACAAATAAAAAAAACTGGACAGTGATTTTTTTTATCACTCATAGATTGCGGAGACGATAATTATGTGGGTAATTTTCAAGTTAGTTTTCTTTGCCTAATTCCGGTGACAATTTTCATTAATTAAGTATACAACTATATTATCGTGAAATATTAAATAATATGTCAGGATACCATCTTACTTACTTCATAATAATATTCTTGATTATTTATATAATAAAAATTACCACCAAAATTAGATGAAGAAAACTAACTTAAATATTACCCGTGTAATACACCGTTTTACAATTTCGCACCATTGTTTTAATAAAGCCAGATGTCACCATACGTCAAAAATACTACGGGAAGAAATAATTGCCCGTTAAACCAGACAAACCGGAGAGGTGGTCCACGGGCAACAAGCGGCTTTTCGTTATCGCATGAGTCATAAAAACATTACGAACTGCATGAAACAAATCATGTCAATCATACGTGAAACCTTATAACTCTTCCATTCAAGCATAAAAAAACGAACAATTTCGTTCGTATAATCTTTAAAGTTCTTTTCTGAAAAGTTGTCGTTTTAGACATATATGGCGTCATTACCTACACCAAAAGTGCGATTTGGTCAAACACAACTGTGTAATTTAAAAAAAAAGGTGTAAACAAAACAGGCTTTGTTGATTCTATAAAAAACATGAGTTCAATGAAGTGGACGTAAAGTATGTGCTTACTCTAACAGCGTGTCTTTACCAAAATTACGTAGTCACTTGATACATTGACCGCGCTATTTATGGGGAACCAGAAATTAAAGTTATGAATTGCCTAAACCAATTTATTGTAATGAGTCCAATCACGAGCCCTATTTCCTGTCGGATTTTTGTAACAGCTTATAAATGTTGAATAAGTAGTTGAAACCAATGATTGCGGCATTGATTTCTTACTGGGCTCCGGCACTTGATTGGCCATGGAGTAATGTAAATACGTTTCTAGTGTCTACTACACCACATATTCCGTCTGAGGCATCTGTTGGTACCAGAGTTGTTGCGAATATTACCATCCGCAACAGAGCATAATTTGCATAATTTAAGATATCTGCATCCGCCGATTATCTGCATAAATAAGATATCTGCATCCGCATCAGCCTCCGCATTGATTGATGCTGATATCAATTACGGATGTTCAAGTCGTGACATGACTTAAAAGGTACAATGGAACAAACCGTACAGAAACAGACTGCCAGATGAAAAGCAGCTCAGCTTTTGTTTTTAAAATACAACTGTTATAAAAATCTGATTGATTCTTTTATTAATAAATGTCATAAAATCATTTAAACTATATTTTATTACAATATCTAAAAAAATAGAAAGCTTTTTCATGTACACATTCAGTAAAGATTTTTTTTATGAAATCAAGTGACGAGACGAACAAGTCGGTACTTGGTGGTAAGTGACACGCCTGTCCATAACTGTTGCAGTACCACTCAAAGACATAGATCTGAGGGGCACTGCCACTGCGTCCGTCACCTTGAGACATAAGTTGACAAATCTCATGTGCCTAAAATTTCACCAGTATTATAACTGGAACGCACTATTGCTGATATAACTGCTTGGCACCAGAAATAGGTAAGGTGGCAGTTCCCTGGACGAACTCTTTCACAAGGAGCTGTACTGCACATAAGGATATAACAAAATCAAGGCAAAAAATCAGCATCCACTGATGTGTTCAAAACTTGCATCAGCAACAACCCTAGTACCTACATTACTCTACAGCTAAACTTCACTACAAAAATTATTGGAACCTGTACGTACATAGCTACTAGGACAATGTGTATAATGCGTACAAGCCTTATCTGTTCAAATCCATAATCAAATTCTTCCTTCATCAATTGAAAATCATAAATCATACAAAGTAAATAAGTAATCATACAAAAATCTATCTATAATAATATTATGAAAAAGAGAATTGCTTGCAAAAGTTTTTATCCCAAGGCAAATAGAGTTCAATTTAAATTTTAAGTTTGAAGCTTGATGTTTGACCCTGTACAACACAACGCAGTTAATGGTTACAATTTGTACTATCAATAAATTTGTACCATAGAATTATTTGTTAGAGTTATCTTTGTTATAATACAAATATTTGAATGTCAGTCAAAAAGACCTGCAATTATTAAATACTGCTATCATCTACCTATAGTTATTAAAGTTGCTCACATAGAAGCTGGATTTGGTTATAGCATTACTATAATAGAAATGAAATAAAAAAGAATAAATGTATATGGCAATCCCAATAGCATGCACAATTTTAAGTTAATTAAGCCAATTTCGCTAGTTTCAATTTACACATTTATGTAGAGAAGTTGCCACTTAGAAAAATAATAATTTTCAGCATATTTTAGAATATCTACAATAACACAATTATTTATATAATTATTTGTCAGATGAAGGGAGTTAACAATGCACAATTATCAAGGCGGTTTTCTCTAATTAGTCTAGATTGACAACATAAATTTTTCTCATTTGTCATGAGGTTGTACTAGAATAACCACTGACAGGCCGGGATTCCTCATAACATATTGTATAAGCAAATTCATTATCAAAATCAAAGTCACATAAAGTATCTGATAAAGAGTGCAAAATGAAATGATAATAATAAAGTTCTAAAGAATAAAAGTTAAGTACCAATCAGCTTTCATCACTAGAATAATCATCAAACTGTCCTTCAACCTCTATGAATGGAGTAGGGTTTGTCAACTTTTCATATTTTACTTGTTCACTAATTGACACAATGTGTAAATCCATTGGGCAGAAGTTACCTTCCTGCATTTTTCGCTTGACAAAATGGATCCATTGCATTTGTGGAGGTGGTCTGGGTTTTATATAATGAGGGACCCAGTATTCGTCTGAATCCCAGTCTTCTGATGACATATTACCATCATCATCATTTTGACTTGGACGTGTAGGTTCTGAAATGCATGAGTTTAAAAAACTTATGAATAAAATATTAAATACAATTTACTTAAGTAACTACTACGTACTTAAGTAAGCAAGCACGCACGCAAACACATATGTGAAAGTAAAGTTGTTTTTTTTATGTAATTTTTTTCATTTGGCGTACAAGCAAATTTTGATTATACAGGTTCTTTTTTTTTTACCTGTCTCTTCGATCTTTAAGTAGTTTAATAATTCTTCATCATCAGTTGTGTTTATTGACTGCTCACTTTCAGATCTTTCTACTTCCACCTTCCTGAAATTCATTAAAATATAAATTACATAAAAATAGTGATACGAGTATTATAACTTGCAAAACCTGCCACTTGCCGGGTTTTATGTTGCTGAGATTTTATTCCTCATTTCATATGTTACTATGGCTAAAGGGGTTACTTATATAGATATGCAAGTGTGCAGACACCATTAGTAGCAGCGGATGTCCGGGCCAATCTATTTTATAAAAAAATTTAAGTCATGAAAATTTTTCAATAAACTTTGATATTAGAAAACTGGCAGGCATTTATTGTTAAAATAGCGGAGGGTATTCAAGTATCCTTCCTTGTCTTTAACTAACTTCATAAGAGATGGAGGTTCTCTTTTTGACCGCATATTTTTGTGTGTATAATATTAGGCGCCGATATTTGTGAACCGATCTCAATGATTTTTTTTGTTGGAAAGGGGGTACCTCATTAGTGGTCCCATTCATATTTGTACAAAATATTCACCCTCTAAGGATGGCAAATTAGGAGATGAATCCGGTTTATTGGACTTTTATTCGATTTACCCATTTTACACTAACCAATTTTGATAAAAGTTGGTCTAAATGGGTATAATTCCACAAATTTTTGAAGTCAGGTTTTTTATAAAAAAATTATACTTATCTGTAAGTATATTATAGGTAATTAATAATGCAATGCTCCCTTACTTTCCATTTCCTCTTTCTGTTGTATTTAGTCTCAATTTCCCTTTTTTCTCCAAATAATCATCACTGTTCGGTTCGTCCATGTAATTTAGAGCTAAATCTAATTCCTGTAGGCTTAGAACAGATTCAGGTATTTCATATAATGCATTGTCGTATAGATCTAATATTTTGAGATTTTCCAATGCACTAAAGTTATCAGGAAGCGTACACAGTTCATTACAATCAATTCTTAAGCAAACCAGCCGTTTCATTGTTACAAAGGTATCTGGCAAGATCAATATGCAATTGCTAGATAATATACAAATTTTCAAATTTGTTAAATTGCAGAACTCGTTGGGTAAAGACCGTATATGGTTCTGAGACAAGTTTATCTCAACTATATCCTTGAAAACTTCTATACTTTTATCTATATTGTATATGTGAGTATTGCTTGCGTTCAGTCTTTCAATATCACGGCAATTGTCTAAGCCTTGAAAAGGGATTTGGTCAAATTTATTTGACATTAAACAGCTAAAGTCGTCTGTGCCAATTTCCATCTGTTTTGCTTTAGGAAAAGTCTGTAATAGAGCCCTATGTGTTCTTAAGCTACAGTTTGTCATCTTTACGACAGTTATCGAGGTATTGCACTGAAGTAGTTGTTCAAAGTAGTCTCCTCTAAGAACAGAAGTAAGATTAATGTTGTAACTTAAGTTCAATTCTTTCAGTTGATTTGGAAATTCAAACCATACCCAGTACGGCGGACCGGCCAGCTTGTTATTCGCCAGATTCAATTCTTCAATAGTATGCAAAAAGTCGGGTACGTCATCGAAATATTCGATGTTGTTGAACGACAAATTTAACACTTTTAAATGCCTTAAACATCGCACTGAAGCCGGAAGTTCCAAAAACTTATTGTTAGATAAATTTAGTTCCATTAATTTAGGAGGAAAGTCTATTTTATCGTTCAATTCAGACAAGTTTTTATTTCTCAAATCTATTGAGGTAACATTTTTCGACCAAGAGACTGTGATGGTTTTCACCATTCCGTTTGTTGTACCATTTATTTTTACGTTTTTCTGTTTTTCTAAATCAACGTCCATTATGCGAATTTATTTAAATTCGGTGGTTTGTAAAATCTTAGTATGAAATCAACAACAACATAACCTCGTTTTTTCTGACAATTGACATGCTGACATGACATGACAGCTTGCTTGATGACATGACGTGTTTGTTGTTTGGCAGCTCGAATATGGGAATGCGGTTTACTAATTAATATTTATGTTGTTTTCGTTAATTAAAATTGTATTTTTAAATTGACTATTTCTAACCATATCTTTCGTTACTTTAAAAATCTTGACATAATTTATTGTAATATACATTTTTCTAATAACGCCTTAAAAGATATATAGAGCAATCGCTATCATTATACAATACAATACAATACAATATGCTTTATTTTCTCTCATTAAGGTTGTAGTTACAGTGTATGAATACATTAAAAATACAATTATTAATTACAAAAAATAAAAATAACAAATATCAAGTGCCTTAGTGAGAGCTGGAGTCTGTACTAGGTTGGGAACCTGTGTTACAGATCACCAGGCTCACTCCCTCTTAGTGTAAGAAAACGTGACATAAACTTAATACAAAAAATACAAATAAATTACAAAATAAAGCATGGGCTGTCTAGTGCAAAAATGTGTGTGTGCGCGTGTGTGCGTATGTGGGTGTGTGCGTGGGTGCGTACATGTGTGTGTGTGTGTGTGTGTGTGTGTGTGTGTGTGTGTGTGTGTGTAAGTGTGTGTAAGTGTGTGTGTGAATGCTACCTATTTCAGTAAAGTAAGTATGTTTTCAGTCGACTCGTAGTCGAGAGTGGTCAGCCAATAAGTAAGTAATCATTGCTACGTTGTGTAGTACAGGCGCTATTATGTGAGTGGAACGAGTGTATGAGGCAAACCAACCGATAAGGTTGTTCTCCTACTCATTGGCAATTGGCTGCTGCAGGCAATTGGATTATTATTTTTCAACAACTACATAAGACCGGAACACTAAAATCAATAACAATTACTGTTATTTTCCAAACTTTCAAAGAAGTACTTTTGAATAGCTATTTCTTTCAATAATTTCCACAGGCGTGATCGGTAACGCCGGAATCAGTGATAATGGTTTCATTAAAGCATTTTTTAATTAATTTTGTTTGTACAGTAGTTATATTTAGTTTTGTAGATGGTAGCAATTCGGGAGAATACAGTAAACCTGAAATAGGCAGACTCGGGAAAACGAGAAGAAACAAAATGGGTACGTTGTAATTTAATTTTTAACTGAGAGCAAAAAATAATCAGGTTTTCAATTCCACTGTATTTTTTTGTATATGTTACGCGATTATTCCGAAATTTTGATTTTTACTTTTGATTTCGATGATTACTTTTTTGTTGGAAAAGGACTGTCTCAGTAACGATCATATACAAATTTTAAGAAAATTTCCACCCTTAGGGAGTGGCAAATTAGGGGATGAATTCGTTTTATTGGATTTCACTCACTTTCAGTTAAGATTTCAACAAAACTTGGCGAATAGATGTAATTCCACAAACCTTTGAGGTCGATTTTTTTAATAAAAAAGTTATGATTAGCGCATATTTTTCACCTTTATAATGTTTAAATATGTCCTATGTTAACACTTTATTAAAAAGGAATCTCGTTTTAAGCGACTATATATAATTTAAATTAAATTTACAGCTCAAAAGACCGCAGTGAACACTCTATCGAACGTTATCACACAGATTCAGAATCTCCCCACAATGGAACTAGGGCGGAAGTTCAGAACGCCTTGTAAGACCGGAAATAAATGTGGAAAGGTAAGAATTCAATTAGCACAAGTGCACATTTTTAATTATGACGATCACCTTTTCATTACCTAAACCTTTTTAATTCTTTTCTTCAGGTAATAAAACGGCTTATGGTACCAAAGCTGGCGCAGCTGGAGAACACAATCATGGGTATCTTCAAAGATCTAGCGAAGATGCCACCTGGGTCACGACTTCCCGATAAGTCCACGAAGACTGAGCCCATCAATTTGTTGCTTGATCAGAATTATAAGTAAGGTTTTTCAAGAATTTTAGGTGTCCGTCTATGTTTACGGGTCTATGTTTCACATTACAAGTCTTGTATAATCGAGTTCTTAGGTTTTCGCGATTGTTACACATAGGAAATGAAACTATTTTTCCGGATTTAAATCGCGTATATTTGTTTTTCAAACAAACCGACGTTTCGGGCCCTTTACAGGTTCCCTGGTCACGGTTGACAGTCAACCGTGAAAAGATAAGTTGACAGTCAACCGTGATCATGGGACCAACAATTGCGAAAACCTAAGAACTCGATAATTAAAGTTCTAAGTCTAAGTCTTTTATTATTAAATTTATAAAAATAATTGTTTCTAATAATCAATACTGTAAATGTACTTATCTAGTATTTACTTATGAAACGTCATTGAGTGGCGATGAGAGAGGTGTAATTTTTACTAATTCAAATTGAATTGTTTTTGTCTTATTTCCAGAGAGGATGTTTGTATGGATAAATTGGAAAGTTGTCTGAAGGAAGACAAGCGTCGCAAGCGTATCTTAAAGAAGTTGTTCTTCAAGAAATACAACGCTCTACGGCTCGAGCTGATAGGATACGGCGGCAGAAGGCTGTGGGGTGGGGAAGGCAACCTTTTCTATAGGAGATAGTTGTACTATAATGTTTACAGTTAGGTTTTAAGTTTCTTTAATTGTATTAAATGCAAGAAACATAATTGTGGTTTTGTTTTGGCTTTTTTTTGTAATATCAAGTGACGGGACGAACACGTCGTGCGCCTGATGGAAAGATACACGCCTGTCCATAATAGTTACAGTGCCACCCAGAGCTTTAAATCGCAAAGACAAGTCCCATGTACCTGTAACACTAACACCTTTATCCTTCAAAATCTGAACACAGTAGTGCTGACACTAATGCTTGGCGGCAGAAATAGATAAGGTGGCAGTACTTCCCTGGGAGAACACCTTCACAAAAAGCTCTACTGCTACTTTTTATAATAATTATAACGCACACACTCAACTTAGCCCCGCACTAGGAAGACCCTGTGTCATAGTTGCCCCATGGCAACATGGCATGTGTGTCCATACACACACATGGACAACCACAAGTTACACATAAACTCTCGAGAGAAATAAATGTAGGCCATACAAATATGTCTCTCGGCCCGGGAATCTAACCTGAGAACTTTGCGTAGCAGTCCAGGATGGTAACCGTGCGGCCATGGAGGCAGCTACTAAACGTTATCAACATATTATTAACGTATCGTGCTATGATACGTTGTTATTGCAAGAAGACAACGATGAATAAGCTACAACTATACAAATAAATTCATAAGGAAACAATCCTTTCTCGAGATATCTTATAGGGAAATATATCTTTCTTCATGCATGCACCTCTCCCGACAACCTTACCCTGTTACTACCTAATACGGTAGGAATATTTTGTAGGTATCGACGGATTTACCTATTCATTATTTCATTCCTGTATTTAACTACATCGAAAATGCTATAGAATTGAGTACTGGTCAATTAGGTAATATCATCGTCGCCTTCCTTTCTCAAACTCGTATCTTAAAGCACAAAGTTACTGCAATGCAAAAAATATATTGTATACACGGATTTTGCAGGCTGATTCTTTATATTTGCACACTGGCTTTTAACTAGTCATAAAGTAATGAATCCAAATTAATACCCTTGATAATAAATTTAAAATAAATAGTTAAATGACACAACAGTTTTGCCATCGCCTGAATAATGACTCTTTATAAGATACGAGTTTAAGAACGATTCAAGCTATAAGAATACAAGTCAAGAAATGAATTAAAAATCTATCTAATTTCGCCTTTCCCTTTCCATCATGTCGGGGGACAAAGCGTAGGCTGGGGTTGCACTCCTACGTCGTGGATATTCCAAGGGTTAGCACGAAGCGTTACGCTTCCAGATTTGTATGGCGAACGGGTATAGAGTAGAATTCCCTGCCTGCGGATTTATTCCCTGAATAATATAACTTGGATGGATCGATGTGTGGAGTGACGAGAAAGGATAAGATAAGGAATGAGTACATCAGGGGAAGTTAAAGTGGCGCCAGTGAGGGAAGAGATGAGGAGTAATAGGTTAGCGTGGTATGGACATGTCATGCGAAGGGAAGAATGTCATGTGACGAGAGGAGTGCCAGGTATGAATGTGGATGGATATAAGGGGAAAGGAAGGCCAAAGAAAAGATGGATGGATTGTGTGAAAGATGACATGGATAAGAAAGGTGTGAGTATAAAAATGACGGCTGATAGGGGAGAGTGGAAGAAAAATACATGTTGTGCCGACCCCACCTAGCGTGGGATAAGGACAGGAAGAAGAAGAATAGTACTTGGAAGGCGACAGTAAATAGACATTGTTCAGGTGTGCATGCTCCATAGTCACTTTTCATCAGGTGAGATAGAGATCAAATATGCCACCTTTAGTTGAAAGGGCTTGTGACAAAAACTCAAAACCGAGAACTTACTTATTTTTAAAAGCTTACTCAAAGCGTACTTGCTTAATATTCAGCAATCTCAACGTGGCTGTTGATGTGTCGGAGTCGTCTACATATTGTTAGTTTTTAAGCGTTTAGTTAAATTTTATTAAATTATTCACCATCCCAATTTTATTTTTTAACAGCTAGTGACGTGATAAGACATTGATAAAATTATTATTTGCTATTACACAAATTTTTACAATTATATTTTATTTACGATGCTATTTACAATTCAAATGTTTATTCATGTTTTATGAAATTAATTGCCTATACAATAATACCTACACATTGTAACTCATGCATAATTGTACGTTACCATTACCTTTGCATCCATTATTGTACCTTAATGGAATAGACTGAATACGTTTTGTGTTTAAAGTAATATGTGCTTGTTTCATTCAATGCTTTTAGTGTCAATTTGTGACGGCTACTATGTTCCGTGTCATGTGTGTTCTGTTGTCGGATCCGTTGAAAATCAGAGTCGTATCACCATTGACCTTTGCGTATCACTTTTAGTGACACGAAACATGCTCAGTGGGTCACGGTTTCCTTGGCAGCACAGCACACATTATTATGTTAAAATGCACGTGTACTGCGTTAATTGTTCAAGGAATAAATGATTTCTATTTGTATTAAAAACAAAAAAGTTTAAAGAAATGAAATAAAAAAATATCTACTTTTCTCTTGCTGTAACTTCATACCTTATCCACCTAGGAACAAATTAAAATAGTGACAGATCTGCCTTTTTTAGAGATCACATCAGATGAATTTAAAAAAGTCACAGGTGCCCTTTAGAAATGCGCAATTATTTTTTAATAAAACAAGAATGGAAGGTGGATAAAAGCGTATAATTTTTAATTTTCTCATGGCTTGTTGCGGTTAGCTCTTCAGGCATTTACAAGGTTTTTGACTTTTGTATTTAAAAACTGGGATACTTATAAAAAGACAATTTGGGAACGGGATTAGGAAGGAGGAGATAAAACGAAAAAAGTTAAGTTCAAAGTTACATTCATATATTAATACAAAGATAAAACACAAAGAAAAATTCCATCGATCTGATAGGACACGAACCTGCGTCTGTACGCCAAATGCCTTACAATGTTTGTTAGAGATCTTTTCTATTAGTTTTTTCGGCTTTTATCATCGCAAATGCCGAATTAACCCAATATGAATAATGACTTGAATATTTACAATGATTCCATTGCATTACTACATAGATTAATAAAATCAGTGTTACTTTCGTTAATTCCATAATATCACTATCAGAGAATGACGTTCACTTATGAAAAGCATGATGGCATGTTTTGTCGTTACTATGATACGAGATTTAGATATCATAGAGTTCTAATTTAAAATCTGGGTCCTAGATGAAAATCAATTCTGGGAACGCACTGCGTTTGGTAACAAATGCTGATTAACGGACTCTTTTGCTACCGCATCTAGCACCACACCAAATATCTTTGTTTTTGTGAATATAATTAGTGTTTTATATTTTATTTTTGTTCTGTTGTGATTTTGTTTTGTACGTATTTTTTTTTACTTTTCGATGTTAATTTCAAATTGTATTTTTCTGTTCGTTTTTTTTATCTTTTATCTAATTATTAGCTTTGGTTTTTTCTTCCGTGGTGCCATTTGTGGTAATCAAATAAAAGCCCTTTGTTTCTTTCGTTCTTTCTTATACCTACTTACATAATTTAATCACCGTCTCAATTTCTTGTGTAGGTTCAATTCACGTGTTAACAACATTGTGTAAGTTATCGCACTTTTTACCTGTTTAACTCACGTTTTTCAAACAATACCCTAATTAGTAAACTATATGATTATTTTCAAAACTTATTAAGCAATGCAAGTTTCTGCTAGCTACAATTTTTGTTCCACATTCCGTCGGGCAAGCAACCTAAACATATTAAAGTTTACAGTGAAAAATATTCCATCTAACGGCATGACACCGATTTCGAAACATAAAATTTTCTTGATTTATTAAGCAGTTTAGATTTGACAAAGTAGTTCATAAAAAAGGACATTCAAAAATGTGTGAATCAAAGTTGAAATTACATGTTGTTTTAATAGTTTTATGTTTAGCTTTTAAAAGTATACACGGAGTCGATGACTGTGAGTATATTAATCATCCTTTCTAATCCTATACTTTAACCTGTTATTTAAAATTTCAACAACCATATCACAAAGCCGCTCTTTTTAGTTCTGAATCAAAATTATGTTGTCTATTATACTCGCTACTAAACTGAATTTCATTGTAGTTCTAGAACGTCGTATTTTTGCTAATTAAATTATTGAATTGATTGGTTAAATTGGCCTAAAGGTCCAACCAAGCCATAAACCTTTATAAAAAAATGGTTTAAATTTGTGCGGTACTTGGTCAGTTATTTGTATCTCTTTGGGTTTTTGTTTTGTAGCATTTCTTCGGCTTTCGTTTCAATTTGTTGTCATGTTAGTTATTAAAATATACATTAAATATTGGTTTCATTATTTTATTTACTTCTATAAATAATATCATACCTATTATTTAGGCCTTTGGTCACTCGGCAAAGCTTCATAGCCTAACTACGGTACTCGATTTTAAAACACTCATTACGCAACGATTGCTTGAAATACTGCTTTTAATTTAAAAACGCAGCCTGCGCTCAGAATGTTACGTTGTGCAATATCGAATAATGACGGAAGTTGGTCGCTGAAAGCATTTAAAAGAAAGAATTGGTTTAAATGAATTGAAATTCTTCAATGGTAACATTGTTATATGTTACAAGTCAGTGATTATCATCAATCTTGTAAAACGAACATTGTTTGAAAAAACTTTCAACGAATTTGTCGAGTATCGGACCCACATTAGATGTGCAATGGATACTCCTTAACACTTTCTCCGTAACGGAAACCCGTACAAATATAAATCAGTGATACAAATAGTCTATACATGTAAGTAGCAGTAGAGCTCCTTGTGAAAGAGTTCGTCCAGCCAGGTACTACCAGCATACCTATTACTGCTGCCAAGCATTAATTTGACTATTAGGTAGTGAATTTTAGGTTTTTTATACTAACAAGTGACGGGACGAACAACTCATGCGCTGTCCATAACAGTTGCAGTGTCATTTAGAGCATTGAATCGCAAAGATCTTAGGGGCACTGCCACTGCGCCCGTCACCCTGAGACATAAGTTGACAATCCCATGTGCCTGTAATTTCACCAGCACCCTTACCCTTCAAAACCGGAACGCGGAAATTATTTGCTCACATTACTGCTTGGCCGCAGAAATAAGTAAGGTGGCATTACTTCCCTGGAGTTACTGTTTCACAAGGATCTACTGCTACTGAATAAATGCATAATATTGTGTTCTCTTCCATTAGGGTACATTCTGTGTTCAAAATATTAGGTAGATACCGCGGTAGAATTAGGTATATCCAATTTCGTAAACAGATTAAAAAAAAACTCAATAATTAATGGTAACGCTTACGGTAGCCCTTTTCGTAATTAAGCTCCGCACTCTGCCTTATTACACATGTGACTTACCGGTAACAAACTACATAAAAATGTGTGATCTGCTGTCTATGGTCTAGAGGAAATATATATACCGGTACTGCTAGGCAGTGTTTGTTCGTCTCTTTAGGTCAAATTTGAAAAAAGAAAAATATCGACTGTCATTTTATTCATTCATTTGTTTTAATTTTTTTTTCTTCTTTCCATAAAGGAAAGGTTTTACACCATACAGCCAAGTCTTGGTACATTATTCTTTTTTGGTACATGAAGTTGAATTATGTTTCTGTAAATATGGCCGCCACAAAGAGGATAGGCAATTTGAGGCGGCGTGATTGATTGACTCGGGATTCCTTAGAACGGGCCGATACGGGTATTTTAGTTCGAGATTCGTATAATTTCGCGTTTTAATCTTCGATTAAGGCACAATAGCACTATCCTGTTCCACTTTAAACTAGATTTCACAAAATAATTGAAAGTCAAAATAAAAACGACACTCTTCCCTCCAAAAGGTCCAGAGCGAATTCATTTGTTTTAATTTCCCATTAGTACAGATTAGTCAAGTGGATTGAGGTTGATTAGGAGTACCTGTAAATGTCGTTAAACTTTGTTGAAAACGTTTTTTTATTTATTAAAGTTTGATTTAGTCAATATAATAGTTAAGCTGTTACAATTTTTAAATTTTCAACAATTTCAACTTTGTCACAAATCGTAGAAAAAAGTATTTAATTTAATATGAAATAATTTGGATTGTGTTGAGTAAGGCTGTACTAAGTCGATGAGAAAAGATGTTAATAAAATTTTTGCCACTTTATGTTTCATTTTTATTTAAAGGTTACGTCCATCCTCAACGGTTTCCTAATACTTTCCCCTGTGGCGTCATTTATTATATAGTAATGGTTTTTCCAGCTTTACTGTTCACGGTGACGCGTGCGCCGCGCTACTTCGGCATTCTACAGGACCACCGCGGCCAGCCGCTCTCAGTTGAGGTCTCCGAAGAGTACATGGACCAGGATTACATCGCCACTAATAGGTATAATAAATTAAAGATGAGACATAATTAATATGATAGCTCGTAGGTACGCTAGGTGCCCGCGTGAAGTGAAAATAATATTGTTTAGATCATTCTGAACAATTTTTACACGTGCACAGCCGTTGCGCATATGAAGCTCACTGCGTCCAGTATAATAACGCGTTGAGGGCAGTACTAGGGTTGCCCCGCTGCTGCAGCGCCTTGGGTATGTTCTGCGAGGCGAGCGGGGCGGCTTCCATGCCATTATGCGCAAGCGCGCCCCCTCCGTGGTGATCATCTTGAATATGATTGTCAATGGACTGGACTGTGCATACATAAATAATGCGTGTGCACTACACGTAATCATTAATTATTTAAAACTTCTAGTTCATAAGCTATTTACTAACACAAATATGAGTCATGTAAAAGTTGTAAGTAAACAGTCGTATTATATTTTGTATGCCATCATCCTATTCAAGAGCCAGGTTCTTGTATGTGTAGTCTCCTCCACTGCTCACGGTCCATAGCCAGCTCCTTGAGGTCTTTATAGATGCTCAGTGGTGATCTCCCTCTTTATTTGTTCAGCAGTCTTGGTTTTCCTCTTTTTCTTTTCCCTTCTATCTTCTCCGTAATTATTACTCTGTCACTAATGTCCAAACATTTTTCCCCTTCTGTTCTCTATTATAAGCACAAGCATATAATTTTAAAATGAAACTACATACCTGTAACATATATTAACTGTAATCTGGTATGAAAACCCTTAAAACCCACAAAAACATACATTTTATTTGAACAATTCCACCAATATTTTTTAGAGTTGCAATTTTGTCTTTTTTTATTGATTATACCCAAACCAAATCGGCAACCTATTCTACAAAATTTGATAGTTATTGCAAGCAACAATAAGCATTTCAAATCAAATAACCGACTATATAGCTTTTGCTAACACTATTGTATTCTAAAGATTTCTCTTTTACCTAACCTTTTTCAAAACTTACTCATTTGATATCTTCTCAATCCATTTTACTTTTTAATATTAAGTAAATTCCGAATTTCGATTATATCAGCAAATTATCAAATTAAATTATAAATTATCTGCTTATCGCTGTTTTTCAAGAATGTTGGCCTATACAAAATGAGTTAGTTTTGACTTTTTTATGGTATGGTGTAACGGTTGGTCCGTAATTCGACGTCTAGGTGCATATTTTGCGTATAATAGGTGCAGAGTCTTATTCGGGTACCCCAAATAAAACCTTCGGGTCTTTTTTATTCTCAATACACGACCATGTCTGTAACGAGAAGAAAAAAGGCACTGGGGTTTTATTTTTGGGCATTATAATCAAGTTAGCCCGCAAGCAATGCAATGCAACGCAATACCATTTACGTGCAAGTGTGATGAAAACCATTGAATGTTTCACGAGGGTAGCGGTACGGGAGTTACGAATCTCGTTTCTATAATAGAGTCTCGCTCGTAATTATTTAACGTCTTTAATACACAATGTACTATTAAAACGAAAACCTCAAGTTATTTTTTTAAATATATTTACAGGAAACGGCACAAGATCGATTGGAACAAGTAAGTTTATTTACAGTATTTTAGTTTCTGCTAACTAAGGCTTACATTCTCGCTGCGTTTCTGCGTTCCGGGAAAAAATTTAAGATTTGTGCGATTTCGAAATTCCCGGGAAAAATGACACTTTCGAGACTACTTTACAAGTGACATTTCCATATTTAAAGTGTACCTAAAGGTATTTAGGGAATCAGAGCATGTAATTATAATCAAGTTCTTTAAAAACTCAAACTATAAAATAAAAAATAAATGATTTTTTTTTAATTTTGTAGTGGGCACAGAAGAAACAAGGGGCGTTTGATATAGTTTCAGATACAGAGGACTTATTATTAACGAAGAGTCTTAACCAATTTTCTTAAATCTCAAGTCTTGAAATTCCCGAGACTGAAAATATTAGTTAGTTTCGAGTCTCGAAAATGATAAAATATTGTCGAGACACTCGAAATTTCCACTAACTAAATTTCTGCTAGCATGAAAGTTTGTCTTTATAAAGTCCCGAATTCATTTAAGGGGTAATGTCTTCTAAGTGACGTAAGTTTATGAAACAATTTTTTCGGACCATAAATCGTGTAGTGTTATGTTTGTCGTTTGTGTATTAATATTTGACATCGTTTAATTTCAGGAATCCCTTGGACATGGACGATTTCGACGACGACGACACCGAAGAGACACTCGATGATAAAGATAAAGACGTCAAAGTGCCCAATAAGTACAATTTGCAGGCTGGACCGGTGTAAGAGTAATTTTATTTATGTAACATTGGGAACTTGAAATGATTTTTTGTGATTTATTAACTCATAGTAATTTTTTTTCTAATTATTTGACGTTAAAAGTTATTATGATCATACCGAAAGTGCTTTTATCAGGTGAAAGTCATAAAACTACTATTTAAACCTACATAAAATATATTATATCGACTCTACTTTTATTTGTAATATGGAAAAGATGAAGCTGTCTAGTTTTCAATACAACAAATAAAATTATTGTTATGTAGTTCTTTTTCTTAAAAAAAACTTTAAACCGCTTTCCTGTAATATTTCCCAAATGCACGTTGGACGTTTTACACTGGAAAGCAGTGTCGATATATATTTGTGAAATTTCATGAAGTCACGGTAGCCTAACAGTTTGACTTACTGCCACTCAAGCAAAAGCCGGTTCGAATGCGGTCTCGTTTTGCAGAAGTTACGTGCGAAATTTAATTGGAAATTTTCATGAGCTTTTCAGGGTAATCTATCACAAAGTCGAATTTTTTTTTGTCCGAAATGACGTTTGTTCGAATTTTCATTACACTGAAAACCGAATTATAACGAAACAGTTGTTCTTTCACGATAATTTGAATGTTACGTGTAATGACACGATTAGGTTCGGTTAAAGTTAGGTTAAGTTAGGTTTAAAAGAAAAAACATTTTCCTGTCAAAATTATTTTCGAGGTTATGAAATTTCGACCAAACGTTATTTCTGGCAAATGTCATTTCGGCTACTGATAGGTAACCGCTTTTCAGCGAAGGAAAACATCGTGATGAAATTTGCACGTCGAATACGTTCCCTTAAGAGAAAAAGCGATAAAAAAAGTGTACGAACCTCAGCGAATAAGTTCTATTTTTCAATATATTCTAAGAACAATATATTTGTAAGTAACGGAAATTGGTTCTACCATGTGGCGCACGATACAGGGCTGCCTTAGTGTGGTAGCCACTGGTAATTTATGCGTTTTGAATAACTGTATTTAGCCTAATTGTAGATGTTGACCTTTATTGTAATTATGTATAGCTAATAAAGATATTTGTATTTGTAAAGGTATTGAATTTAATTAATTTATTCCACTTCCTATCAGGTGGACAGTTTTTTTTTAATGAAATGTAAGTGCGCATTTGACCTCCATCTCATCTGATGGAAAGTGACGACGAGGTCGACGATGGAGCGTGCACACCTAAATAATGCCTATTCACTCTCGCATTGAAAAGGTCCAAGTTTTAACGTTCAGGGACAAGTCTGCAGGCAGGGAATTCCACTCCTTAGCCGTTCGCCATTTATATGTGGAGGCGTAACGCTTCGTGCGAATTTTTATTGTTTGCCGTTTTAAATAACACAAAAGAAAAAGAAGAGCAGAGAATATACTTTCGATTGACGCAATTTTTCTTGATTGGTTTACACTTATTCGTTACTGATGTTTATGCAATTTGGATTGGTAACAGTCCAAAATATTGTCAAGTTATGCGTAAACAATTTTAATTTTTTCTAAGTTCTTATTGTGCTTTAATAAATAATGGCGAACCATTTCAAGGTCCCAATTTGTTGAGGGTTGTTTATTTATAATTAAAATCGAGTTAAATGAGACCGAGACAATGTTAAGCTTGTTAATATGGAGAGTAGTTCATACTAAGTGAATAAATAAATACTTATAAGGATTATCAATTTGTTTTATTATCTAATAGGAAAGTAACCTGTGTCAGTGACATAACTTTCCCTAGGGACTGTGAGAGTGTTCGGTAAAAAAAGAAAAACTTTGATAATCTAGTATTTCCGGGTACCTACTTGGCAAAAAGAGACCTTTCTATTTTATGGAATTATATCGAAAGCGTTCCCTAAATGTATTTCTCGATGGTGTTCTACTGTCATTTCCTTTGTTTTGCTACGTGCGTTTGTCATTACGATGTTTGCACAAGATTTGCACAATTTTTAACCGAGTTTAAAAAAAGGAGAAGGTTCTGGATTCGATTGTATTTTTTTCCTCTCTTTTTTAGTGCGTATGTTCCGCGATTTTTTTTGAGACTTTTTTGCTGCAAAGGAGATGTCTCTGTAGTGGGTCCATTCAAATTTGAAGAAATTAGTCCACTTCTAAGGGTGACAAATTAGGGGATGAAACCGAACCGAATGCGAAACCGAATCTCGAACAGGTCCAGGACTTAAAAAATATTGCCGTAAGGCAGTCTCCATTTTCTGTCTATGTTCCTAGAAGTTTAGGTAAAAAAACTATACCTATTCCGATCCCTGGTTATTATAGCGTGATTTTTTTTAACTATGCAATTTAAAACATCAAATTTATTTCATCTGATCTTCGTCTTCTTTTCATATCGACGGTATAAACCACAGACAAGCTATAAATAATAATGTCAATACAGAGTACTAGAAAACCGACCTCAAAAGTGCGTGGTATTACATCTATTTGCCAAGTTTTAGTGAAATCGGTTACCGGAAAGGGCACGAAGCCGGACTCATCCCCTGGTTTGCCACCCTTAAAGGTGGAAAATTTTCTTCAAATTTAAATGGAATTACTTATGAGGTACCCTGTGGTTCACAATTATCACAGTTATCGTGTAACATACTTACAAAAAAGATATATACGAGTCGAATTGAGAACCTCCTCCTTTTTATGAAGTCGGTTAATAATGCTTGTCCAAGCGCGGTGAAAGGATTTGTATATCGGCGTAAAGTGAGCTAGACGTATAGGAAAGAAATGGATGAAATGGTATGGAATCATCTCATAAGTTCAAATGATAGAGAAGGTGTATAGTGTAGGAACTTAATGACCCTTGTTCAATAGTCGATGCGTACTGTTGTTTCTCCATATCGCCCTGACGCCGCAATTGTTTCGTATGGACTTAGGGCGCCTTTCAATGTTATTAATAATATTCATTCGAATGGGTAAGTTATCAATCAAACACAATCACTCGCCTCAAATCAGGTGCGCGATTCGAAAGATTAAAATAAGTAACGCATACACTCAACATAGCCCCGCACTAGGGAAACCCTGTGTCGCGGGTGTCATGGGCACACATTGACAACCACAAATTACATCCAAACTCACGAGAGAAATAAATGTAGGCCATACAAATATTTCTCCCGGCCCGGGAATCGAACCTAGCCACGTAGAGGTGGCAGTTCGGCAAGGTAACCGTTCGGTCAAGGAGGCAGTTAGATTATTACGTCGGAAGTACTTGGAACTCCACCAGATCATTCTGCATGTCCATATCAAAATATCCCTGTCCGCGTCACATTTACGGTATTTACTATGGTAACGAGTAGTAATATTACTATTATTACCCGTTAGTAATCACTAATCTTGTCATTCGAATGACAAATTAGTAACCTACAAATTTTCGCATTCGAATGATCATTCATTACTACATAGTATATTACTAATGCATAGATTCCATAGAGTTTTTGTGCCTAGCCTTTTCTGACACATATGTCTGACATTTTATGCCTTGTGACTGTTATTTAATTCCAAAAATTAAGAACCAGTTACGCGGTCAACGATTTTCATCACCTGAAGAGGCTGTCGAAGAGTATTGAAAAATATGTTTCAGAGATTGTTACGGAGGAGTGGCATAAATGTTTTTAAAATTGGTTCATTCGTATGAAAAAGTGCATTAACGCTAACGGAGAATATTTTGAGAAACAATAAATTCATTTCTGATCATTTGTAGTATTTTTTTTCTTATTCATTCCGGAAACTTATAGTTCGCTCCACGTATTAGGGCACAAATGTGTGTGTAATGGGTCATCGTTTGGACCCAGGGGGTCTATTCCCGTTCTCTGTTCGACATCCATCCGAAACAACTACTATCAAATAAGCAATAGGTACTCGACTAAATCAAAGGACAATCTCAAGCATGACGCTTCATTGGCATCATGCGTTAGTTATGCGCTAACAGTCGCTTGTTCGAGTCCTGCAAGATCAAAGAAATTTGGCTTTGTGTTTGTAAGATATTTGTGTCAATAATATTCAATTTAGTTTTGAAAAAAAAACCGACCTCAAAAGTACGAGGAATTACATCTATTTGCCAAGTTTTATTGAAATATCTCCTAGTTCGCCACTATACAGGACTTGACACTGGAGATAATAAAAATTGGTTCTCACTATTCAAAGTATATTGAGAGAGAAAAACGCCTTGAATTGGAGAATAGCAAAACCAACCATTAAAATAACTGCTCCTTAGGTAAAATTTAGGCGCTATGTATAAAAATGAATATTCATGCGTGACCAGCGACCCTTAGAGGTGGATGATTTTCTTCAAAATGAAATGGGACTACTATGGAGGTACCCTCTGTCCAACAAAAAAATAATCATGAAAATCGGTTCACAAATACCGGAGTTATCGCGTAACATGCATACAAAAAAAAACATACAGTCGAATTGAGAACCTCCTCCTTTTTTTAAAATCGGTTAAAAAGTGAAATTTCCGAAAACCTTTAAACTACGTTGAAAAAAAGTGTTTATTTATTTGTTTATTTATTTATTATTATATTAAATAACAGTTTATTATAAAAAATACAAAAATGTAAAAATATTTGTTTTGTCTAGCCATTTCATCTTTTTTCCGAGTGGTTGAATATTATATTATATTAAGACAGTGTAAAGTCCAAAGCCGTTGACTGAACGATGACATGGTTTTTGCAATATGTAGCATACACATGATGAAGACAATCGTAAAATTGGTAAAGTAATCCCCGGTTAAATCACAAACATCGTTTCGTTCTAAGTAATCTTGTTTGTCGACAGAGTTAAAGGAAGACACCTGCAAAGTGGAAGTGCTGCATAATTCTTATGCATTTGAAATCAATTAGTGAATATGTTGACTTGATATTGCTACGAAATACACAAAAATATGGTAAGTACCTCTCAAAATTTATCTTAGAAGTTTTGCGTATCCATACCTACTTATTCATAACAAGCTTTGGACGACTGAAGTAACCCAAAAAGGTATAGTGAACAAATATTGAAGAGAAAGCTCAAAAGGCAGTCTGTTTCTTTTCCATTTGTAGTTATTAGTATTTCTTGCCTCTTTCTTGATCATAAACTCATGTCGGCGTACATTCCTGCCAGTTCTACTGAGTTCAGTGGTGGTTGAGTGCCGGCTGGAGGGTACAAGGGTACTCGTGCCACTTCCAAGGACTCTTCGGAGAAGTCCGTTGTTTCATCAGAGTATGCTTCTGCTATGTGATCCTGGTAGCGGATAAAAAAGTAATTAAAGTTAATGTTTTGCGATTTATTTGGAGGTGATCCATATAATAAACTGCTTTCAGAAACGCTTCATCACTGTTTGTTTAAAAAAAACGTTCAAAGAGTATTTGTTAAAGTTTCTCTATTGTCTCTTGTGGTAAATGTGATAAAATATGAGAAAAGTATTCAGAAAAATATGAATTTTCAAAATGGAAATTTTTCCATGACCCAACACTAACCGCAACTGTGAATGGTATGTGTAAATTGTTTAAAAAATTTGTACTATACGAGAGCAGATTTGGTATGTGATCCCTGGAGCGCGATCCAATATGATTTAATATGAACGAAATTGCAACTGTGTTCGGTACGGGCCAAAATCCATTCTACTGTTCCGTCGAGGTACAAAGATAAATAAATAGAAGGGAAAAAAAACCATAAATGCACAGGCTATCAGCTCAAAAGTGATGTAATCTACGTTCATTATTTTTCTACAATATAACTTTAAATGATTCTAAGGCATATAATTATTTTATATTTCGATGCTATTCATGTATGAATGCCGATAAACATTTAAATGCCGATAAGAGTTATCGGCATTATACACTTCCGGACACGTAAGTCGAGCCACCTTGCATTTTCAGATTAATCGGCATAAGCTTAAACAATGTTTGATTGATCGAAAACTACTAAGCTGTTTTGAAATTGGTATACTAAACGTCATTTCCATGAGTCCTTGTTGAAAATTTGAATTTATAAAACCGGGAAAAACTGTTTTCTTCAGTGATAACAATACTTTTGTATTCAGCCTTTTAACAACAAAAATGCAAGGTGGCTCGATTTACGTGTCCGGGAGTATATTATAAAGTCATGGACTTTTTTAAAGGAACGCTAAAAATGTTGAATTATGACAGCAATGTTCGTATGAGCCATTGGCTACCATATACCCGAACGTTTGATTTGAGAAAAGAATTACTTCAAATACCAGTCCCAAAGCTTTCTACGTACGTTTTGTTTCTAGTCCCTATCAATCCCTCTTGGTTATGCGGGAACAGCACTATGACCTGTGCGAGGGAACCCGCACAGGGACCATCTAAGTCAGGTTCTAACTCCAGATCAGCACGTTTGCACGGACTTCACCCGGTTCTCTGTAAGGCTAGTGCCTGAGGTGAGCCGCCCCGGGTGCACGTGCAGCACCCTCCCTATTTTCCAGATAGGTACCGGAGCTGTCAGTAGGCATGGTCACTTCCCATCGCGCTCAGTACGACTAACGGTTGCCACCGCTGAGCCGCGGACTCTAAATTCACTACTAAATCTCCTTATTGGTGGCGGAGCTGTAAGGCACGCTCACTTCCCGACGCCGAATGGACGGCGTCTCTCCAGGGCCCTGATTTTAATTCAATCGGAATCGATCCAATCGGGTAGCCCATCCGCAATATTATACGCCTCGATTCGGAAAAGACGCAGTTTCCGATTGGGGAAGGCAATCAAAATCAAGCTGCTGTTCCCAGATTCCTACGCGGCCGGAGGGACCGAAAGCTGGCTCATCCTTTACTAGCTTTCCGGGCTAGTGCCGGAGATGCCAAGTAGCAGTGCCCTGCGACAATATCCGGACATAGCTACCGACTTAAAGGGCAACTCACGTGCCCCGCGCGTCTCCTCGCCTCAGGCCCTCAACTAGACCGCTACTAAGACGCGCAACCGGGGCAGACGAACGTGTCCGTTCCCTGCAGCTAACCACAAACGCTGGCGAGTCCATATCCAAATCCGGGTACGCCAGAGACGCCCGTGAAAGCGTATGGCTGACGGAGGGCTTGGCCCGAACGCCCGCCGTACCCTGGTCTTGCTGTCGAGCGCGTAGTTTCTCCGGAAAACCCTATCTCTCGGGTCGGTAGATAGGGACACCGTACCACATACCACATTGGGCAGTCTACAGCGTATCGCGTGCCTGCTAGCAACGAGAGCCATGTCCACCACGGCAGTCAGATTCAATAATGTATTTAGGGTGGGGAGGCCCTAAATGCATTATTGAAAAATCTACAATTCAGCAGTGGAATCTGACTTCTCTGTATACATACATACAGAGGGAGGTCAGTACCAGCATGTACAGGCTTACCACTAGGTTAAGATGAGATGTCTCTCCCAGACATTGAGATCAGTCCAACACATAATTCTGGAACACTCTGTTTTGGGAATGACTTCTGATATCATGCTTACCAAGCAAAACTTTAAAAAACTCTACCATGTAGAATTTCCAAGCCGAGAAGACTGGGAAACTAACAGTCTCACCTGGAAGGACGGTAGCCTTCTTTGGTATACCGCTGGGTCTAAGATGGGACCGAACGTAAGCTGTGGTATACATGGCGCGAGCCCCAGGTTCAGCTACAAGCTGAATATGAGACGACACTCGTCTATTTTTCTGGCTGAAATATACGCCATAATTGCTTCTACGGATTTGAACCTGAAGAGAGGCTACGTTGACAAGTATTATGGATTTTTGTGCATTTTTATGAGATACAACCTGGGCAATTTCCGCGGGACGTAAAAAATGTTCGAAATTCAAATAAACATGATGGCCGCCATAGAAATTTCAAAGCCTCCTATCACGGAAACTATTAGAGATAGGTAGGAGGTGCTCGAAAGAATGTCATAGAGGGTAACACTGGACAACTGCCTGGGTTAAAAAATCAAGATGGCGATTTCAAAATGGCAGCCGAAGAAAAACTTGCTTCGATCCGGCTGAAAATTGGCATGCGAGGGTCTTTAGGAGTCCTTAATCATAGTTTGGGGTCAAAAATTTCTTTTCGCCATTTTTTAATGAGGCTGCCACGTAAGTGTTTTTTTCGTTATAAATAGATGCCGAAAGAGATTTGCTCTGTCATTCGACTGAAAATTGGCATGTGAAGGCCACTCGAAATATAAAGATAATAATTTGTGCTCAAAATTTGTTTTTCGCTATTTTCAAATATGGCCGTCATAGAAGCGTTCGTTGGCGGCAGAAAAAAAATTACTCAGATCCCTTTGAAAATTGGCATATGGGGGTCTCTAGGAGCGCTTGATAATAATTTGTGATCAAAATTAGTTTCTCGCTATTTTTAAATATCGCCGTCATACAAACTCTTTTAGCGGCAGATAAAAATGTGCACTAATTCGATTGAAAATGGACATGTCGGGGTCTTTACGAGTGTTTAATAATAATTAGCGGTTAAAATTTATTTTTCACCATTTTTGAATATGGCTACCATACAAACTTTTTTGGCGATGGATACAAATTTCTTCTAATTCGACTGAAAATGACATGGCATCATAATTTGGGTTAAAAATTTTGTTTCGGCGAAAAGATTTCTAAGATTGTTTGATAATAATTAGTGGTCATAATATATTTTTGTAATTTTCAAATATGGCCGCCATTAAAGAGCTATTTAATTTTTTTTAAAACAAAGTCCTAAGTACCTAGGCCCCAGGCTGAGGTTCGCGGAGGGCGAAGCCCGAAGCGTTCCCACGCCTTCGTATGGAGGTAATTATACACGGAGGCGTAATAGATTACGAGCACAAGATCTTACAATTGTAAAAATGTAAGGCTTACTTCCCGATGTAGTGGAAATGAGATACTTTAGCGATACTATAGAGAGATATTATAGCGTTGTTGTATCTCAACCACATCTGTTGGATTCCATTTTCTTGAAAGCTATGCCAAAGAGAATTATTTAGGGGGAAAAAATGCCAAACTACTGCCGAATTTCCTGTACTATGAATACCAAAACAACGATAATTCAGAATACTCAGACCAAAACCAACTTAAAAATGTTCGTTTCTTAAATTGGCCCAAATCGGGAATCGACCTCCTCATCAAGCGCCCATAGTACTAACTGCTGTGCCACCGAAGAGCATGAGCACACCCCGTAAACTGAACCCGACAACGCGCCGCAGGCCGAGCCCGACCCCACCGTAGGTAGGGGTACAGGGCTCGTATTTATATAAACTCAGATAGCCAAGCTGCTCTTTAAGTAATAACCTCAGTCACTCAAACATCGAGGTTAGTAGAGAACTGTGTAACTATAATGAATACTCTCGGGAAAAGGTATAAAGTGGTCCTGCGTTGGGTTCCAGAACAGTCTGACGTCGAGGGTAATGAGTCAGCGGATGAACTGGCAAAAGCTGGTGCTAGGGAAACCTTTATTGGACCCGAACCCTTTATAGGGGTAGCATACAGCCTGGCTAAGCTCATGCCGGCTAAGTTTCAAACACTGTAGAGAAGACCTGTCCTTGGACAGGAACGGCATCAGAATGCTTACTAGAATCTTAACAAGTCATTGTGGCTTGAACAAGCACGTGTCAAATATGGGGCAGAGAGATAATTGAGAGTGTAGATTCAGCCACGAGGCGGATGCAACTCCTGTGCGTCTCCTCACCCAATGCTCGTACGGAGTTCCATACCGGGAAGGCATAGGCCACAACCAGAGGACATAAAAACTAAATGATTATCACTAGTATCAGGTTTCTTACCACGGTATGACTTCTTTTTATTTTCCCGATATTTCGGAACGGTTGTACGCTCCATGGTCACGGGTTGACTGACTGACGGGTTGCAGTCAACCCGTGACCATGGAGCGTGCAACCGTTCCGAAATATCGGGAAAATAAAAAGAAGTCATACCGTGGTAAGAAACCTGATACTAGTGATAATCATTTAGTGAATAACCACGAAAGTCTTAAAATCGACATAAAAACTGTCGGAGCCAGGAAAGTCCTTCAGTTCTGTAATGCTGTCGGCCTTAGCCCTGAACTGTAATTACTGCTGATCACAACAGATCAGTCAATGGTCGCGGTGATGAGGGGCCGCATATGCCCTGAATGAAGCCACCGTAATAATAATAACATCAGTCGTCCTTATATTTTGATTAAACTATCGTTGCCAGCGCCCTTGACTCGAAAATTACGCTTCATTATCGGAAAAGTTAATTTTTCCCGCAAAAGTTACATTAAAAAAACTCAACACGCAATGTTTACAACGGTGACTGTAAAATACGTGCGCGCGTGTCACGACAGTGGCGCTGCAACTGCGCTTTTAAATATTGTGCGAGAATTAGAAGTGGCGTTGCTGCAGCGCTGCAGTGGTGCTATGCAGCGCTTCTTTAAGCGTCTAATTTGAAGGCACTTAAGCATTGAATGTTGCTTGGTAAAAAAATACAACAAGTAGAATGTTGCTTATAGAGTACAGCCGCTGAATAAAATAGAATTCTCTGAGCTTTAGCCAGCAGCGGATACTAATATAAAATATAAGCAATTTGTACCTGGTAAATCTTCTCGCATTCGGGAGGGTGTTCACTCTTTATTGTGCTGGGATGGTAGCCGATGCCATCGATTAGTCCCACAGTTAAATATGGCACTTGCGTGGTCACTTCGAAATGTTTGTCTGGTGGAAATAAATAGGTACACTGTGTATCGAATGGTTTACTTTTTTCTTCCTTGTTTTTACATTTTGTAATTCTATATATCTGTATATAGGTAATCCATTCATTCATTCATATGCTTTCGCAATTGCTGCATATTGCAAATAAAATAATATAATATATTTCGATCTAAAATCGCGTATATTTGTTTTTTTAAAAAGTCAATTTTTTAGGTTTTTTACGGGTTACGGCTGACAATTTATTTGAAAAAGCAAATAAGCGCGATTTTAAATGCGAATATACTTTAATTTTCATTTGAATCCATTGTGTAGGCCAAAAAGTCACACTACAAAAAGCACTGCAGTGCTTCGGGCAAGTTTGCCGATGCGCACACAGACGACTTTTTTGCGCTTATGCGTAAAAAAGTTGCTTCTCTAATTCAAAGAGTGAGGGGAAGCTCCAACAGTCTTTTACAGGTAGTTGAAGGAAGGCTGGATGGTGCAGTGCTCGGCAGGTTCAACGAGCTGCACGCTACTCGTGCACCTCGGTGACTCTGCCGACAGCGGTGTACCCTTTAGCAAGTATTCTTCTTCTTATTATTATTATTATTATTATTATTATAGTACTAACATCGTTATTAAGGTTTTTCTGTTTACTAACAATCTATGGACCCTGTAGTCTAAAATAAAGATATTTTATTTTATTTTTTTTATTTAATAACAATTTTAAAGATTTGAAATAATCGCCTGTCTGAACCGGGTATCGAACCCGCCAAATGTGAGAAAAAAGCACCTGTAATTTTACTATATTGATCGAAAGCCTCAAATAAGGATTGTTTTTTTCTAAATAACAAAGCATCTTAAACAAAAGGATGACCAAAATTGCCACCAAAATTAGGTAGAGAAAACTAACCTGAAAATTACCCTGAAATGAGCTGTTCTTCTTCTTCTATTTCATAGAAATCATAACCTGTTATGAGCAGTTAAGAGTCGATATTACCTCAGCTCCAATTAAATTTTTCATTTTGCTTGGTTCGAGCGGCATGGACACTGGCTTTATTTCAGAATATATTTTTTAAACCATTTGAAAAATGTATATCGTATACTATACAACATGTTCTAAATAGTTCAGTTGATATATAAAAAAAAAATCATTGGTATATGTAAAGTACCTATAGAATATGGCGGTTTTCTTGTAAAATTTCGAGGTAACTTTGTGTTTTTTTTCCATCGTGAAAATTTTTAGCAATCTTTTTTCACACCGTGTATATCCTCAATTTTACTATGTATTTTTTCCAAAGCGACTGATTCAACACTTTCGTTGTTATGCGGAATCAACCAAAGCCATTTCAAGTTGTAATACACTCAGTGAAATAAAATAAAACTTACGATCAATATGGTCCGGAAAGATAATAGTAGCCACTGTTCTCATTCCAGCATCATCATAATATTCCTGAGCTAAGTGGATTTTGCCTCCCTCCCAGACTTGTTTGCCTTCTGGTTGCTTCGTACAATCATCGTCCAAATGTCTGCGGCCGTTTGGGTGATAGTGGAGTGGCTGGTGTGGTGGTGGGATCTCCGTTAGCGGCAGAAAGTTCTTATGCATCGGCGCCCCTACTGGTTTTACTTTGCTTAACCTGTTCAAGAAATAGATATTTCACTTCTCATCCTCTATAATCTCGGTACAGCGTACTAAAAAAATCGACCTCACGAGTACGTGGAATTACATATAATTACCAAGTTTTATTGAAATCGGTTACCGGAAAGTGCGCAAACCCGGATTCATCCCTTAGTTCGCCACTATAAGGGATCTTGACACAGTAGATAATAAAAAGCGGTTCTCACTATATTGAGAGAGAAAAACGCCGTAAATTGGAGAATAGCAAAATCAACCATTAAAATAATTGCTTATTATAATAAACTTTAGGCGCTATTTATAAAAATGAATCTTCATGCGTGCACTCTTAGAGGTGGGTGATTTTCTTCAGAATTAAATGGGACCACTATGGAGGTACCCTCTTTCCAACTAAAAAGAATCATGAAAATCGGTTCACAAATACCGGAGTTATCGCGTAACATACATAGCAAAAAACATAGTCGAATTGAGAACCTCCTCCTTTTTTGAAATCGGTTGAAAAATACGTCAATGTAGCTTTACGCAGCGTAAGTAAAGTGCATCATGTAAACCAGGGAGTAAAACGTATCTAGTATTTGAATTTACTTCAAGTGACCTAGACAAACTCAAACAGTCAGTAGTACGCTCGGTTTTATTTCCGTGCCGTTTCCGCATAGACGGCGGCGCCATATTTTCCCGCGATAGAGCGTTTGTGTATCTATGGATATTAGTGACGCGACGTAGCATTTAAATCGTTCGAAAGACGCTCTTGATTGGCGTTTTGTTGCGTTTGTACCTGTGTCTGGTTGGAAAAAAATACCGCGAAATCTTTAGACTTTTGATTCGTGATTTTGTTGTAGAGAGATTGAAATTTCTTTTCCCGCAATCGATGTGAAAAGTCAAGTTTTCACCTCAAGACTAAAAGCCAATATAAACCCTCTTAGTAATCCTCGGGTTGTTACCACATTGGCGATTTAGCCCCTCGATAAAAAATATACTATTTCGTCTCAAGAACCTTGTACTTTATAAATTGGGAGAAGGAAATGGGAGGAGACGAGAATTGATAGTCACAAAGTGACAAATGGTCAAATAACCGTTATAAGTAGCAAAAAATTGAGTGAAAAATTATCTTCTAAAAACAGTTAAAATTAGTTAACGTGATCGACTTATCTGAACTTACCTTAACGATGCATAGCTGAAATATCATCAAACAATTTTAATATTCTAAAACTGAGCTATGGTTTTTTTATGATATCTCAAAAAATATTTTGTCACTTAGCGTTTTAGTTTGCGGACGGCAGCAATTGGACGAGTAAGAGATAAAATAATGATGTCTTTATTGTCACATACCACGTCTTACAATCTTGTCTGATTCTGATATTGATAACCCTGTGTTTGAACAACCGTTAGGTATTTTTTCCTGTCATCTGAGTTAGGGTATAGATAGTGTTACTGTTAAGCGTGATACCAGATATAGCGGTATACGTTCGAAAGTGATGCACCAAACAGTTAGGCAGTTATCATACTTATTGACGTAGCTTCTGTTTGAGCCGATAATAGCTTAATGTCCATGCATTAATGTTGTTAGGGTTACCGCGCTACTATAGCGCTTCGGGAATGTTTAACGAGGCGCCACTTGACGGCTTTAGTGCCATTTTGCGGAAGCGGGTAGCATCCCTTATGGCAGAGTGTAGAGTGCGCCAATGGCCTAGACGTGTGTTGATCGTGTTCGATCGAATCAAAATGATTCCAACTGCTTTTGTGACCTGATAACCCGGGTTACAAGCTTCTAAATAACCCGATCATTTTACAGTTTCATGGGTCATGCGCTCAATATTCGACTTTATCACTATAATTTTAGAGATTATTCAACAATTCACATGCTCAGTCTGGAACTGACAATATAATTGTTATCGCGTTCACTCACACGTGAACACTCACGACACGGTTCGCCTTCTAATTCTTCGTTTAGGCCGAAGATTTGTTCGACAGAATGTTCGTTCGAACCAAAAAGTTAGGCAATCGATCAACGAGTTAACAGGTCAACGGGTTAACGGATCAACGGATCAATGAGTCTATGAATAATTCATCCTAATTACTCCGTGGCGTACGTAGTGTCTTATGTATTTATGAGTACACTAACTAACGTTAAAACTTTAAATAGAAAACCACCGTGAGACTCAGACATATGAACTAAAAATCACTCATGTATTTAAGTCGAATTTTTGTCCGACATGTTTCGAACCAATTCGTGGTCCTTAATCATGAGATTCCGCGGCGGTGACTCGACGGAAATCGCGCGCTAAAGCTCTGGCATATGGCAGCCCGATCACACAGTACGGCAGCGGGCGCAGGCGGCGTCGGCGAGAAACTACCCTCGTTTACTTCATTTTTATTAAGGTCATATGCAGGATGGCACACTACACTAACAACGTCACTTTCTAAAGTCTCGTCTACGCTATCCACTGACGTAGTACCTAAAACTGTTTTCCAACGGGGAGGTACCGACCATTCACTATCACAATGAAATGTTTTTCTCTCGCAAGTACGAACACTTTATCAAAACGAATATAGTGCGTCGAATCCGAATCCAATGAGTGTTCCGTCAATGCAGAGCCCCGATTGTCCCGGTTCTTCATACTACGTATGTGTTCCGTCAGTCGTGTGGATGTGTTACGGCCGGTCTCTCCTATGTAACTTTTGCCACAAGAGCAGGCAATCTTATATACACCGGGAACAATTAAATGGCTCTTTATCCTTCGGTGAATGCACCGCCGAATCTCATGACTAAGAACCACGAATTGGTTCGAAATAAGTCGAGTAAAAATTTGACTTAAATACGTGAGTTATCCGTTATTTTTAGTCAATGTTAAAATATTAATGAATAATTAATTAGTAATTTTGAATGCTCATAACTTTTTTGTTATGTATTTTTGTTTTCTAGGTGTTACATTTCTTAGAAAGATATTTTAGTGTCGTAAGTGTGGTTTATCAATGATGCATTTAACTATAAACACATTATCCGTCAGCAGGAAATAATAAAAGCTAATTGTATAACGCTATATGGAAGTATCGTGTGGGACGAGTGACCCGCTAAAAGATCGAATATATTATCGAACCATTTGACCCGAACACATTACGTATGTATGGGTCATGAGTGACCCGGGTTATTAAATATGATCGACCGACACAGGTCTATGATGGCCTTCTTTGTACAGTGGCCGATAGGAACGATAGGCCCATATTATATCAATGGGTACGGGTACATGTCAACGTTTAGATGATTTATATTAACATAGTTTGTATTTTGTTACTAACACTATATGGATATTTTGTCCAAAATAAAGATTTGAAATGAATTGAATTGAGATTAAGAGGCAAAAGGCAAAAGTCGCACGTAGCAAGGATCTATTTGGCTTGCTGCTTTTATAAAAGTGACGAGCCGAACAAGTCATGCGCCTGATCGTAAGCGACAAGCCTGTCCATAACAGTTGCTAGCCACTCAGAGCTTTAAATCGTAAATATCTTAGGGGCACTGCGCCCGTCGCCCTGAGACATAAGTTGACAAGTCCCATGTGCCTGTAATTTCACCAGCACCCTTGCCCTTCCAAACCGGAACCGTTGTCGCACATCGACGCACGATTCCATATTTGCATAACACATATTTGTACCTTAATAACGGGAAAAGAGAGATGAATACGCTGTAGGTGAAAAACAGGACGCGTCGCGACGCTTCGACTCTGCGCCTGTGTGAGTTGAACCTATAAATTTTTGACCGACTCCAGCCGATTCTGCGTCGATAAGTGCGGTAATTCCCCTACTAGTGATCGACACTACAGATTTAAGCACATGAAGTTAAATCCTCGTTATTGGAAAATGTACCTAATAGGAGGAAATCAATCTTACCATTTGAATCTTAATCCCTTGGCAAATGTTGACTCTGGAGTCCCAGTGATTCCAAGACCACGTTTTAAAGTCGAATCATGATCCATCTGTTGGTTTGAGTTCGGAGCATATAACCTGTATTTTTAATTTGACTCTTAATTCCATCGAGTATATAACCAGAAATGGAGGCGAAATTCGTTTAATTTGTTTGAAAACTATTCTGCCAAATCATCACTGTGACAACTGCGCTCTGATTGGTCAGTCCGAATTCGAAACAATTGACGGGTGTCGTCAATTGTTTCACTTCAAAACGAGCGAAAACTTTAAGTTGAGTTTGTCTATAATGGACGAAAATGCAAACAGCCCCCATTGTCAGAGATATTATCTTTATTACAATAGATACAGAACATTTTTGGAATATACGAAGATGTACACACAGGTCAGTTGCTAGCGCTGTACTATTTCAGATTTCTAAATTTGTGATTTCAGCGCAAAGAAAGTTGATATGTCAAAGTGATATAAGGCGCATTTACCTGATGGGTTGAATGGGATGGATTTTGTACTTTGTGATGGATTTGGTTTTGTAAGTAAAGATTTTTGAATGATTCCATTTTGTTCTCCTTTTAATGAGATTTTTTCCATTTTGCATCAAATAGTTTGTAAAATACGCGTAACATGCGACTTTAAAACGTGGTGGTTTATATTTAGGTGATTGTGAAAGCGTAATTATTAAAAAAAGTTTTGAAGAGCAGCGGTACAACGGCTGCTTCTCAAGAGATCCAAGAGTTGAATCCCTTTGGTGGCAGGCACATGGGACCTGTCAACTTATGTCTCAGGGTGACAAGTGCCATCTACACTTTGCGATGTAAAGCTCGAGTGGCATAGCAACTGTTATAAATAGACGTGTAGCTTACCATCAGTCACTCGATATTATAAAACAAAAAACAAACTTTAAATCACATTCTTGGTCTAATGAAGCCACATCGCAAAATCACAACTTTTCGGCAGAAAGGGTTAAAGATTCTATTAACGAAATTAGTCGATAACATTTTTAAGCCTAAATCATTGAGCATATATATAACCAGAAATAGAGACGAAATGTCATTTAATTTGTTTGAAAACTATTCTGCCATATCATCACTGTGACAACTGCGCTCCGATTGGTTAGCCCGAGTTCGAAACAATTGACGGGTGTCGTCAATGGGTGTCGTCAACTGTTTCACTTAAAATCGACCAATTAACTTGAGTTTGCTATGATGGACGAAAATTACAAAATTACATATTTAATATTTAATTACCGATGTAATGGGATTCCGTTCGCTTTGTAATTAAATGTTTTGCTGTTTTTCCTACACCACTGAGTAGAACAGCACGGCATTGTTAGAGATATTATCTTTATTACAATAAATACAGAATATTTTTGGAATATACGGAGACGTACACACAGTCAGTAGTTGGCCTGCCTATATTTCAGTGCAAACGAGAGTTGATATTTATAAGAGCTGTATCGCTAATGTGTGCTAATGTTACCAGGAATATATGGCCCTTATTTCGTCTCTTTTTCTGGTTATGTACTCGATGGCCTAAATACTAGAGTTATAAAATTGCATATGTACATAATTTAATCATGTACTTCGTATTATTGTAACGACTTTCATGTGGTATAATAATTTTTACGTAATTTGATCAATTACGTACGCTAATCGCCAATTTTAGACACGCGCGCGATTTTAAGCAGTGATGCAAATGCGATACAAGCTTGCGGCTGCATCGATACAAACGGGCGATTGCATCGCCACACTTGGGACTTATAGGCAATTGCGCGGCAAATTCAATCGCACTCTTAAGTTACATACAGAGAATGAAACTATTTTTTCGGATTTCATTTCATATTTCGGAATCCAACGTTTTGGGCAGTTTACACTTGTTTTCGATCCAGTATTTCCTCTGATGAAAAATCCCAAGCAGACATAAGACTACAATAATAATTAATATGTTATAATTGATTCTAATTACCATTATTACTTATTAATAAAATTAAATTTAATACTTATAGTGTTAAAAGAAAATAATTTAGTAATGTGTTTTTGTAGCGTAAATTGGAAAGCTTCTTTAAAAAAATTTTTTTTTGGTTTGCATTAATGTTAGACATAACTTGTTGATGACTGTACCACCTCAGTCAACCGTGACCATGGGACCTGTAAAGGGCCCGAAATATTGGGTTGTATGAAAAAAACAAGTAAATGCGATCTAGATCCGAAATAATAGTTTCATTTCCTATACTTAATTTTGTGCACAGTTGTAAATGATAAAGGTAAACAGCTTCTCTGCCGTCTCGTCATAACTAACGAATATGCATTTTGGTAGCTTTCAAACGGAAGTAGTTTTTCTTTGATATAATCTTAGTACAGAGTATTAAATAACCGACCTCAAAAGTCATTCATATAGTTTGCCACCCTTAGAGATGGAATATTTTTACAAATTTAAATGGGACCAATACTGAGGGTACCCTTTTTCCAAGAAAAAAGAAACGTAAGTCAGCGTAACATACATACAAAAAAAATACAGTCGAATTCAGAACCTCCTCCTTTTTTAAAGTCGATTAAAAATGGAGGTAAATTAATTAGCTACTCCTCGTAGAGAGGCGAAACACGTGTCGAGTAACTATATTTGTACCCTCTTTTTAAAAAAAAAATCATCAAAATCAGTTCCAAATTATCCGGAGTTATCGCGTAATACACATTTAAAAAAAAACCACTTTTTTTAAGTAGGTTAAAAAATGTCAATTACGCTGATTGCGCTTAACATAAAACGGAAACTAAATAAGATTAAAAAAAGCTTATAATGGGTCGTTCTGTTGTTTGCAGATATGTTAACATCTCAACTAGGGAAACCCTGCGTCGCGGGTGCCATGGACACACACATAAACAACCACAAATTACATACAAACTCACGAGAGAAATAAATGTGAGCTATACAAAGATTTCTCCCGGCCCGGGAATCGAACCTGGGACCTCGGCGTGGCAGTCCGGCATGGTAAACTTTCGGCCACGGAGGCAGTCAGTGTTGTCAAAACGAGTTATATGCCGACTCACGGGCGTAATGACGACTGACTTTCGGTCGCATCGTGTGACGCGCTGGCGCGGGTGGAGGTAGGGGTGAGGAAAGGGGATCAGTTTGGTATAAACGCTTAAAAGCAACTGAATAAAATACGTTCGTCTGGCGTTCCAACCGAATTTCGGTCGAGGGCAAACAGCGCAACTCAAAAAACACAACCCACAAAATTATGCTCGTCTGTCCTCACTCTTACTGTGTTCCGGTTTTGAAGGGGAAGGGTGCTGATGAAATTACAGGTACATGGGACTAGCCAACTTACGTCTCAGGGTGACGGGCGCAGTGGCAGTGCCCTTTGCGATTTAAAGCTCTGAGTGGCACTGTTGTACCAGGCGCACGACTTGTTCGTTCCATCACTTAATATCATAAAAAAATATATAAGAAGCAAGTTTTATTTAAATATTTATCGTGAGTTAAAATTACTTTCTGAACTTTGATAAATATGCGTGTCAATAACTGGCATTGTGTGTTACAAACTAATTTATAAATTAACGTTTCCTAATATTAGTAGATGGCGCTAATCCTAAACAAAATAAAATAACAACTGGTGCTATGCATAAAAATCTGTGCAATAAGCGCCATGTAGTTGATTTGTTTGTTATAACTAGAAATTAGAGTAGCTTTAATAAATTGCAGCTTGTCTACTGGATACTGGCAGAAAACCAGCACTGTTTGGCTTCTCTCGGTCTACAGAATTTACGCTGAGTCAGGGCCATTTCAGCACAAACTGTAGTCATAGTTACATTAAATTTTATTATTTCTCACAGTATTTATTCGTTTTTCTCATAGTATTTGTTTTTCTCGCAGTATGTGTTTTATATATAAACGTCTATTAAATTAATAATGTGTGTTATACTTTGTGAAGCGATTGTAAATGTTTTGTTTGTTTGTATTTGTGTTGAATAGACGTGTTATCATCTATCTATCAGGAAAAAAAATTAAAGTACCGTCACGCTATAACGGCCGTTTTGACGTTTGTCCGCTCATCAAGTTTCGTATTAATTCATAACTACGTTGAAGGAGCTAATTGCTATACGTTGTTGTCAATAGTGGCGAGCGGTAAAATTTATGGATACCTATATAATTTTACGACACAACTCGGCATTTGCTTTTCCAAATAAAAATTAAAAAAAAATAACATCTAATACGACCGTCACTTACAGATTCGCTGTCCAGCATAATTTGTACCTTCGGCAAACTAGCGTCAAAGCTTAATGCAAATTAAGTAAACATTTTTATTTTCGAGTTCATAGGTTTTCGCGCTTGTTATACATAGGAAATGAAACTATTTTTCTGGATTTATTTATTTATTTGTTTTTTCAAACAAACCACAAACGTTTCGGGCCCTTTACAGGTCCTATGGTCACGGTTGATTCAATCATGCCACGGTTGACACACACGTGTGTGTTGAAAAACAAATATACGCGATTAAAATCCGGAAAAATAGTTTCATTTCCTATTTTTATTTTCATTTTATTGAAACTTTTTAATCAACTACCCCTTGCAATACTCGTTGTAAATCTAAAAAATTATAGGCGCGACTCCAATTTGATTATATTTTTTTCGATATAGAACTGAGATTGGACCTCACTATTGTAATCTGTCAAAACGGCGATCATAGCGCTTAGAGGATGGATAAAACATAGCTTGCCGGTACTGTAATTACAAAAATAGCTATTTCGTACTTGTCACGACATCTGGCGCACCAAAAGCTACTAAATACTCGACTGCACTGTCTTGTAACGTGATCAGCAGGCTCTTGAGTTATTGGTTCATGGTTAGGATAAGCAGGGCTGTTGTTCTACTAGGTACTCACATAATGCTTAATAGTAGATGGATGGAAGACCGGGTGTTTAAGACTCGTGAAAAGTATATAAAAGAATTACTCACTTATTGAAGAATGTACCAGAATTTATTTCGGCAACGGCATCATAAGAGTTTAAAAACAAAAATGTGATCACAAAGACTATTGACTCCATCCTGAGCACATCCAGCAGCGACTTTTTTCTTCGTTTTCCAAATTATCAACACTATGTTCGCCGACCATCTGGAGAGTGGTCTTTTAAAGCTTATGCTATAGAATTTTGTATTTTTTGTACTGTGTCCACACTTGAGGTGTAAACGAATAACGGAATTTGTATTTGCATTAATATACCAAATCGAGCCGAACTTAGAAATATAAATTTCTATTGCATGTTGACTCTGTACTACCTCTTACTACACGAAATATGTCTAATAATATAACTAATATTATAAGTTCGTACCGCTGGTATAATACAGCCATATTTGATCATACGCCAAAAGTGGTTATATCACATCAAAGTCATTCAAATAATAATACCTATAACTTTTTTATAAAAAAGAAACCGATCTCAAAATTATTTATATTTGCCAAGTTTTAATATTGAAACTGGTTTCCGGAAAGTGCGCGAAACCGGATTCATCCCTTAGTTTGCCACTCTTAGAGGTGGAATATTTTCTTCAAATTGAAATGGGACAAATACTGAGGTATCCTCTTTCAAATAAAAAAAGAATCATCGAAATCTGTTCAGAAATGCCGGAGTAATCACACACAAAAAAAATACAGTCCAAATGAAAACCTTTTTCTATCGAGTTCTTGATTTTCAAGATTGTAAATGGTGAAAAACTCATTAGAACTCAGTGGCCAGCTGTGAGCATGGAATCTGTAAACAAGCCCAAAGCTTTGGCGTTATTAAAAAAAAAAAATTGTCAACCTCTGGTAGCTGTAATGGTACCTAGGTGCGTGAAGAAAAAAATTCCATGAATTTCTCGCAGGTGGCGTTACGGCAAAAAATCAGTTAAACCCAAAAACCACGATCTGCAATAAAAGCATCTCTGAGTTTCTTAGAAGTTATGTGCAAATTTAATTTCAAGTTTATGACTTTTCGTTGAAGGAAAATGTTGTGATGAACTCCGCACATAGAAGAAGGTTCACAACACTCGGAAAACGTGTGAAGTCCCAAAGTGGCAGTGGGACTTATAAAGGAGTTGATGATGATAATAAGAAGAGAGTACGGTTACTCTGACTACAAAAAATTAAAACTGCAAAATAATTCGCTCACATATGAACACACCACAATTAATATCAGGATAGTAGTAACAATGCGTTAGGCGCTATTGTTTGGGACAATGCAACAGGTGGTCATGAAGGTACTCGTTTTAGTCTATTTAGCTTGAGAATCGTGTGTCGATTGTTTTCATTCGTTCATTCCTGTAATGCGGTAGTGATTACGGATACCTTGTTCAATAAAAATAGATCGTTGTTGTTTCACGTTGATGACGTTATGTAACGCGGTTTTTCGGTTCTCTTGTTTTGCTTTGGGTTTTGGAAGAAAGTTTTTAAGAATGAACTTAGCCAAACTTGTGTAACAAATTTATAGTCTTTATTTGGTGATGAGGAGGGCTGGTTAATGGGATATCAAAAGGTCAAGTTATCGCTTTTTAAGCTTTTTCATTACCTTCATTCATTAGGGCCGCAGTCATTTATTTGCCATTATGTAATGTGCATTGACATTTAAAGTTCTTAGGTTTTCGCGATTGTTACTTATAGGAGATTAAACAATTTGTTTTCGTTAAAATACCTTACCTATTTCTGCCGCAAAGCAGTATAGTCAGCATTACTGTGTTCCGGTTTGGAAAGGTAAGGGTGCTGGTGAAATTCAGGCATATGGGATTCATCAACTTATGTCTCAGGGTGACGGGAGCAGTGACAGTGCCCCACAGATCTTTGCGATTTAAAGCTCTGAGTGGCATTGCACCTGTTATGGACAAGCGTATAGCGTACCATCAGGCGTACGACTTGTTCGTCCCGTATGGTCCCGTCACTTATTATAAAATAAAACAATTTTTTGGATCTAAATGTAATATATTTTGGAACTACCTATATTGAAATATCAGTACAGAGTACTAAAAAACCGACCTCAAAAGTCATTCATCACTTAGTTTGTCATCCTTAGAGGTGGAATACTTTCTTCAAATTTAAATGGGACCACATTTGAGGTACTATCTTTCCAACAAAAAAAAAAGAATCATCAAAATCGGTTCACAAATGAGTTATCGCGTAACACACATAAAAAAAAACATACTGTCGAATCGAAAACCTCGTTTTTTTGAAGCCGGTTACAAAATATGGTGGTTTGCATTAAGACGAGTCGTGGGAAGAGAAGCGGGAAACCCTATTTTGTTAGATCATGTTTAAGGCATTTACTGGTAAATTCTAAAGGTCTTACAAAAAATATACGATACACGTTAGCACATTGTCCAAACAATATGCTAATGCCAGGATCGAAGGATTTTTCCTGAGTGTTCGATTTTTGTATTAAAAATAACAAACTAGTGGAATAATTTCACAAAAAATAATTGAATATCAATTCAAGAAAAAATTTAAAATACTGTGAATAGCGACGTCTCTCGCCTGGGCGGGTAAGCTAGAAGACGTCGGTTCGAATCCGGCTGGATCGAAGGATTTTTTCTGTGTGTTCGATCTTTGTATTAATAATAATTATAACAAACTAGTGGAATAATTTCACAAAATATAATTGAATATTTATTCAATTATATTTATTCAATCAATTATATCAATTCAATAAAAATTTAAAATATGGTAATTTGTTTCACGATACGACGTATTGTATCCGATTACATAAAATCGAATTGAAAATAGGCTAAAATAAAAGTTTAAAACGAATTATTAAAGAATAAAGTATATAACTTTGTACATAATTTTCATATGGAGATATTTCGCTTTGCGTATAGAGAACCTGCTAAGTTTTGGTTTGAAACTGAAGCCCTATAGTTATTAAATACACATTTTTGTTGTGGGATACCACAACTTGAAAATTGTCCAGCGGTAGCTATCCCGTCAGTCGCCAATAGATGTTGCGGTTGAGCCTGCCAACAGATCCGCCGCGGGGGCTGGGGGAGCAGCCACTGAACTTCACAGTTGAATGGATGCTGTCCTGGCCCCCCATAGCCCCTGGGTAGCGGACTCGAGGGAGTTTGTTGCCCAGCATAGAGGGCTCCGGGATGGAACGCTCGGAGCCTCGAGCTCGAACCTACAGCGGAGAGGAGGAACTCTCCGGGGTTTAGTGCGGTCGGGCTGCTCCCCTTCAGGGTTCAGCCCAGGCCCACATAACCCCGGCTCTGCCCCCGCGGGGCCGGAGTATCCGTAAGCAGAATCCCCCGGATTAACAAAAAAAAGGGTAGTACTGCCAGTTTATTTCTGCCGCCAAGTAGTAATGTAAGCATTACTGTGTTCTTGGGTTTTGAATGGTAAGGGTGCTGGTGAAATTACAGGTACATGGGATTTGTCAACTTATGTCTCAGGGTGACGGACGCAGTGGCAGTGCCTCTCAGATCTTTGCAATTTAAAGCTCTGAGTGGCACTGTAACTGTCATGGACAGGCGTGTAGCTTACCATCAGGTGCACGATTCGTTCGTCCCGTCACATGATATAATAAAAAAAAATAGTATTATTACTAATCCATAAATTCCATAGAGCATTTCTGCTTAGCCCTCTCTGACATATGATAAATACCGTAAATGTCACGGGGACAGGAATATGGACATGGTGAATGATCTGGTGGAGTTCAGTTTACAATAAATTGACTTGTTTGTAAAAGGAAAGTAATTCAGATGGTTACATTTAGCTCCATTGTTTTGGTAGTTTAGTACAAAAAATCTTGCAAGTTCTTTCTTTAGGAATAGAAAACTATAATTAAACAGATTTTCTAAAGGAATCTTTTCCTTTTCTTCGTGTCGACGACAGGATCCAGATACCAGGTTACGTTGCCCCCACAAGAGATCAGCACGTAGCAGCCACCGAAAACTATTGGCGGGTCCGTGTCAAGCACGCAGAGGTTTTCTTGGCAGAAGGTAGCCGTGCCTGAAATACAGATATTAATATTTCGTGTTTTCAGTTATAGTAGCTATATTCATGTCCACTTACACTAAATTCAAGTACGTCCTAAACCAATTATTAAATTGAGTGTCTTTTGCATTGCAAGAATTGGTATAAGCATGGTATAAGTGTCAAACACTGTAGAGAAGCTCTGTCATTGGACAGGAATGGCATCACACTGCCCACTAGAGTCTAACAGGACATTGTGGCTTGAACAAGCACATGTCAAATATTGGGCAGAGAGAGAATAGACAGTGTAGATTCTGCCACGATTAGGATGAAACTCCTGTTTATCTTCTCACCCAATACTACCCTCTGATGGGCGCACGAAGCTCCATACTGGGAAGGCACATGCCATAAGCAGAGGAGATTAAATCAGATCTCCTTCTCACCTGATGGAAAGTGACGATGAGGTCGACGATGTAGCATGCACATCTGAATAATACCTATTCACTTTCGTCCTGAAAAGGTCCAACTCATAGCGTTCGGGAAATAAGTCCGCAGGCAGGGAATTCCATTCTCTAGTCACTCGCTATATAAATGCGGAACGCTTCGTACGAATCCTGGGAATGTCCACAACATATGGGATTTAACCCCAACCCACGTGTAGTCCCCCGACGATGGAAAGGGGAAAGGCGGAATTAAATTATGCAATTCCATCGCATACTCTCCGTGATATTATCCTCTCTAGGTGTCCTAATAACCTCTCGATTACATCGCCCGACTATAGTGTTTGAAATCTATTCGCGCGAACTTAGTTCGTACGAACGCACGATCAAACATATTGATGCCGGAATAGGTGTACTGATTTATAATCGCGTCGCGTCATCCTAAGCGGGCTCCGCGGTTGCACCCATGATCGCGCGAAGACGGGCTCGCGCGACTATATCGCGATATTAGGACACCCGCTTTTTGTCATTGCGCGATGATCGCGTATTCGAGTTCAATTACGACGACCCTTTAGAATGATCTATTTAAAAATTCATATATTCGTATGAAACTAAAATCTTCGCCATGAATTATTATTATAGTACTTACCAACATATCCAGTTGGCCTCGCCTGTCGTCTATTCTTTACATAGTCCACGACTGCTTTAGCCAGCGCATAAAAATGTTTACTAGCTTTATATCTCATCTTAGCCAGAGCAGCATCACAGTCACTCTTGTCAGCTCGACAGTGATAGACCAAGTTACGTGTGTTGGTTTTCACCATCTCCTCGCGAAGGACCTGGTATTTGCTGTCGGTGTGTAGCAGTTGAGCGAAGCGGACATTCACTGCAGTACAAAAAGATAGTTATTGTTTCCTTAAAATATTCTGGAGAAATTTTAAGTAGCATTTTAATCCCGATCTGTGAGATGTAATCACATGGCGCGTTATGCGACCTCTTTCATCGTCAGCCCATCTTTTTATCATCATTTTCTCTGGTTCCTGGCCACCTACTATGAAATTTTGAATCGTTGTTTAATTCCTTTTATTCGTCATTCTTACATTGACTTACAATTATATGGACGTCGGGTCCGCGCTAAAAAGTGTCCGCACTTGTAAGGCGCTAAAATCGTATACAGAGCGCCAAACTCCGCTTTAGTCTTCATTTGTTCGACTGACAGCGCGATACTGCGATGACATTACAATTTAAATTTCGAATAGGTTGACTTGGGACATTTTTTTCGTGATTTTTGTATTAGACCCGTCGTCCATTTATTTGTAAGTCAATGCATTCTTAGTTTTCTTTGTTTCGTCGCCACTCTGCGCTAAATTTTCGTTTTTACATGATTGTACCCATCGATTTACCATTTATTAAATCTATGATTGTACCTCTGTTTATACCGTTTTTTTGTTTTGTTACAGCCTTTTCCTTTTTCTGTTCTTTATCTGTTTCTATTTTACAATAAATGATATGGACCGAGCCTTTAATTTGAATGATATGAACAGTAGGCATACAGTAGGTGTCAATAATGTTATATTTTACTCTGGATCACAAAACGACTCAAAGCTTTCTCCTTATTTCAGTTGATTGTTTTACAACCCATAAAGTTATGCAGGCCTGTCATATTACTCACTTTATTGTTGCAATTGTACCCTAGCGTTGGCAATTAAACTGATATTATCCACAGGTACAAAGCGAGAGCTCCTAGTTTCGAATCTTTGTGGAAAAGATGTTGGCAGCGTTTGTATAGCTATGCTAATGCGTTGAACAAAGTATCTGCTGACCCTTGGGTTTCCTAGACAGTCTATTAATTTTGGATAAAATTTTGTTCAGATGAAGGGTCCCCGGGACCCCACGGACCAAGGGTTTCGACTCCAAAGAGCACGAATATCCAGCTCAGCTGCGGAGCCAGCCCTCTTGCTGGCGTGCAGGAGATGGGATGGGGCAAACTTATCAGCACATGTGTAAAAACACCAGTGCCCGGCCCATACTCCAAGGGATGAGTGTCGTTCCGTCATGTTTGCCATCATTTCCCAACATATCGCTTGGCTCGAGTATTTTTCGAGTTTCGAAACCTGAATTGTAAACTACGTCTAAGTTAAAAGTTTTTTTTGTCTTTTTGTGGTTTTATACACTTACATCCAGCGCCAACGATGTATCCTTCAGACCATCCAGCGTAGTTGGTTAATTGTACCAATACAAAAGTCAATAGGGCTCCCTTCATGCTGGCACCTTGACGGACTGAATATTCGCAGGTATTGTGATCGTTACGGGCCAATTAGAATAACCAGAATGGTCGTAAAACACAATTGGCGATCGAGAAAGTACATGAGAAAGATGAGGTGTAATAAAATTCCTATATAAAATTGTTAAGAGTTAATAAATTGGTTTCAGTTGATAACCCGTTCGAGTGAGTACGACATTCAGATGTTTCTATTTAACTTGCATACTGTTAGGTTGCAATCAAGATCAGGGGGCCTACCATGAGCTCTTATAGTAATGTTTTGGCTCATAAGTTGGATAGTCTGTCAAATTCGTATTATGACCTCACATTCCCCATCCGAATTCCGTTCACCTTTTCTTTCATAGTAAAATCTTATCACGACGCGTCATTTGCCATGCACATGGTGGTCTCATCTGTCGAAATAAGCAGTTCAAAGAAAGTTACTCCGTGACTAACATTTTTTTTAAATGTCGAGAGTTTGTTACATTTTTAAGAAATTTCGTTTAAGGTTTATTATATTTTCAGTTTCATAATTATTTGTTATCTTTTTAGGCTATATAGTCAATTGTCAATAAATAAATACTATTAACTGTTGAACTTTTTTGGTCAATTTAGTTCGAGTTTCCCATCTACAGAGTATTGTTGATAAATAAATAATAATAAATAATAATAATAACGCACGCGCTCAACGTAGCCCCGCACTATATTTATTTTTGTATCAAAGTAAAAACTGAAAGAATTTTTATTAAGTCTCTGAAACAAAACTTATTGTTTATGTTCCACGTGCTTGAATGACAAAAACTTTTGATAGTGAACCGTGTAGTTCCTGTAAGTTATCTCGATAAATTATCACGTAAGATTTTTGAAATAAGTATTGTAAATAACAATAAAATATCGCAGGTACTCAACATAGCCCCGCACTAGGGAAACCTTGTGTCGCGGGTGCCATGGACTCACTCACGAGAGAAATAAATGTAGGCCATACAACTATTTCTCCCGGCCCGGGAATAGAACCTGGGACCTCTGCGTGGCCGTTCGGCATGGTAACCGTTCGGTCACAGAGGCAGTATAAATTATTAGCATCAATGGAATTGCAATTTTTTAAATTGTATTTTAATCCTTTTAAGAATTTTATTGACGTAGCGAAAATCGTAAAATAACTTTTAAACCAACAAATAAATATAATAAATAGGGCCAAATTTGACGTTAACGGATTCAAAAGTACAACTCATCATAATATCATGCCATTCCCGTTCAACTTTGTGTACGTTATGATAGGAATTTAAGCAATTAAGTTTTTTTACCACGTCAAGTGAATTGCATGGAACTTGGCTGGCTGTTTATAAGCTCATAGTAGGCTCCCTTCGTTGAGCCTAGTCTTTTTTGATATTTACATACTTTGTTACTGTGTAGTCAGAACACTCTGTTGCTTATTAATCTATGATTCATGTTTTGTCTTGTTAACACGGGTCATTACATGCTTGCTAAACGAAATGAATAATGTGACATTTTGTATACTATTTCGCGATTATAATACACAAATTGAACAAAAACCACGACATTACTTACCGAATCAACGTCAGTAATTTAAAACTTTAAATTTATGTTCACATTATTAGACAAAAAGCAACACACCGATATAAATTAATTATCAAAGAGGACCGCATCTGCGTCCGCCATCTTGAGTGTTTGACAACCAACTCAATGATGTGTAGCGCCTTCACCGTACATCATTGAAACACCGCTTGTGTATGGAGCATCTAGTACTCTACTACATAGATATCGTTGATACTCAAGGACATATTTAGAGGAATGCTAAAAAAGGCTGAATTATGGTAATAATGTTCACATGAGTCGAAAATTACATTCCGCGTCTTGAAAATGTTAAATTCTACCACATAATATACTAGAACGTTTAATCGACATCAAAAAACGAGTCTATTCGTTCTATTTTCAAATTTTCTGGTGCCTGTGGCCAGAAGTATGAACATTGTTATCATAAAATTTTTATTAAACTTTTATTAAAAGCTGTGTTTCACCACCATGTTATGCAATTATTTTTTTTTAGAAATTACTTCGTTTGTTCGTTATAATTATAACGAATTATATTAATATTTTTTAGCGTTTCTCATACAGGTACGTATATTCATTAGTGTATACTACTTTTGTATGTAAAATTGCATTTGGTCGGTATAGTATAATGCAATATATGCAATATAATATTTTACATATACAATCAAAATGCCAAACTAAAATATACCTTTATTTTTAAGTAAATAAATTACTCTTGAAATCGTCACATTGATTACAATTAACTACTTAAGCTCCTGTCCGCCATTTTGATATACTGTGTAAACAGTACCTACATCAAAATGGCGGACAGGAATTGGTCAAGTATCAAAACCCTTTTAATACTCTTATAAATAGTGCAAAAGATCAACAGAACAGAATAGAATTTAATTGAAATAATTGAATTATGGCGCCATAATAGTGCTCTTGGGTATCAGGACGTGATAAGCAATTCCACTGGACAATTAAGGCATTGTACTAACAAAATGGTGGATATGTTGCATTTGAGGTGGTATGATGTGTAATACATATTAATATTATTATACTAAACGCTAACTAGGACGATCCCTGTGAGACTTCATTTGACGTTTGAAAAGGGTTGAGGTTAACAAAAGTTGAAGCAAAAGTTCTCTCTTATAGTTCAGTTTTTCTGATTCAATGAATTCAATAGATCTTTTAGTAAATTTCAAAAAACATTTATCATGTCATTAATTGTGAATTAATGACATAACAAATGTTTTTTGTTTCGGGCCCTTTACAGGTCCCATGGTCGGGCCCGAAACGTCGGTTTGTTTGAAAAAACAAATATACGCGATTTAAATCCGGAAAAATAGTTTAATTTCCTATGTGTAACAATCGCGAAAATCTAAGAACTCGATAATGAAATCTTGAAAAAAAAAAATGGTTTTCCTCTCATTTCTTACAAATAAACATTGATTTGGTGGAATTTTTCCTTTAGTTTAATGTAATAACTAAAATGAAGGCTATTTATTTCAAAGCAAAGCTTTTAAAAATAGTTTATGAAATACATAAATTAGTGCACGTCGTTACAAGGTTGTGACATTTTATGAACTATCACAGGAACGATATTCATATGTTTCTTGTGAAAATAATCCATTAGTTTGTTATTATTATTGATATATTTTCGATCTTTCGAACCGACTCGAACCAGTGCATATTGTCTCACCGTAGCTACCACTCTTACCGAGTTACAGATCGAGTCGACAGACCTTACGAATTTCTCTGTGTGCTCGTTGCAGATCTTTATGTTTAGTTTAAACGTTGTTTGTTCGATGTTTATAGCAGTAGAGCTCCTTATGAATGAGTTAATTCAGGGAAGTACTGTCAACTTACCTATTTCTGCCGGCAAGGAGTAACGTGAACATCACTGCGTTCCGGTTTTGAAGCGTAAGGGTGCTGGTGAAATTGCAGGCAAATGAGACTTGTCAACTTATGTCTCAGAGTCCCAGGCGTGGTGGCAGTGCCCCTCAGATCTTTGCGATTTAAAGCTCTGAGTGACATTGCAACTGTTACGGACAGGCGTGTAAGAACACGACATAATCGTCCCGTCACTTGATATTATAAAAAGATACCTATCTAAGCTAGTTATTTGTTTATTAAGAAATAGACACAAAGAAACTTTAATCTGGGTTGCTAACGGTGTGACAAAAACCAGCCTCGGTTTGACTGTACACCGGCATTGACCATCTAGGTAATCAATAAATTAAAAAAAAAGAATGAAAAGAATACAAAAAATTAAACATAACTATGTTATTTATAGGGCTATTATTCAGATTAGGAAAAAAACGATTCCAAAAAACTTCCGCTTCTTTTTAATCTACTCTAATTTCATACGTTAAAAATTAGACTTTAACCCGTTATGAATAAAGAAAAATAAATGTTTATAGAAACGCGGCGCCGATAAGTGTTATAATGATTCATTTCTTAAACGATTGCTCAATATCAACTCTGCATTTTGATCAGATCATTTATGACACTAATAACTCGACAATATCTATTCAGCAGCTTAGTCTGTCTACCATAAAAGGCGTGCCATAGATTACTTTGGAAGCGTGAAATCTGAATATAATTCGGTGCTATCTTTAGTTCGGAATAATGCAAGCCGTGTTGCAAACGGCTAGCCGGTGACTCACGAACTGACCGTTGCCCATTGTCAGTAAATTAATTGCTCTCATTGATTATCTTCCGTCTGTCTTTCGTGTAATTAATGCCGTGGTCTTGTGTACTAACTTTCGGTAAATGGAGTAGTAATCTTAAGTAGATACTTGCTGTAACTATTTATAGAATATCAGTGTTTTGGACACTCTATTCAATTTTCTATTTCATCTAGCCCATAGGTTCCCAAACTTTTTTTAGAGCTTTAAATGACAACTGAAGGGCACTGTCACAGCGCCCGACACCCTGAGACATAAGTTGACAAGCCCCATGTGCCTGTAATTTCACCAGCACCCTTACCCTTGTAAACTGGAACACCGTAATGCTTACATTACATTGTTGCTTGCTGGCAGAAATTGTAAGGTGGCAGTTAATTCCCTGGAGGAGCTCTTTCATAAAGATCTCTACTACTTTGTTATAATTATTAATACAAAGATCGAACACTCAGAAAAAATTCCTTCGATCCGGCCGGATTCGACTCTATTATTAACTTAACTAACTACTATTAACTTAACACAATAGTGTATATAGATATATACTATACAATAGTGTAGTTTATATAGATAATTGAGGTTTTTTTCAATTGCGGTAACACCTCCTGAACATCATCAACGCCCCTCAATTGCTTCCGAGACCCCTACCTTAAGAATCTTCAGCGCCCACTGGGCGGCAGGGACCACTTTGGAAACTACTTAGCATATTTTTAATAGTATCTCATTTTTAACCGACTTCAAAATAGGAGGTGTTCAATCCGACTATACGGTTTGATAAGTTCATGACTTTGAGAAGAAAAAAAACTTGTGTTTTTTAATATGGTTTATTTCCACG